AATTCTGATTTAAAAATGTTTTAAAAGTTTTTATAAAAATTTAAATAAATTGTTTTTCTCGGAATTAAAATTAAATGCTCTAATTTTGATTCAGAAATGTTCATGAAAAAGGCTTTTTTTGATATTTTTTATTTTTACTCAAGCAAATTTATCTGTGAGATATTTAAAAAAATAAAGCACACGTTCAAAAACAGTTCGATAAAAGTTCAGTTTTACCTGAGACCACACTACTCAAATAAATGTCAATGACGTTCATCGCTCTATCAATTTGGTTAAACAGAAACAAATTGATCATAAAACAGTTTAGTTGAAGATAGGAATCGAAATGTTTAAGTTGTCTGTTTTCGTTTTAATATTTCTTGCTTCACAAGGTACTTCATAATGTAAATTTTATTATCACCAATTTTTATAATGAATTTATTGAATACTTTGGAACTTAGGAGAGGCTACTGAAAAGTGTGTTCAAGGAACACTCGTCACAGAATGCATCTTAAGGCCCTACACCGTCTCTTGGGATGAATGCCCTGAATATCCTGTTTGTGGTGAAAATCTTGTTCTTGCAAAACACGTTGAAGACGGAAAAGAAGTTTGTTGTTGTAAAAGTAAGTAGAAAATTTGTTGCTATAAGTTTTTCGTCAAATATTTCGCTATATTTTAAATCTAGACGAAGGAGATGTCGTACCTTGTGGACCTGCAACCCAATGCGAAGGTATGATGTATCAAGCCTGGAGGCCTGAACCATATTGTGAATGTCAGACATATAATGACGGTATAGAAGTATGTCCAGACGGCTTGAAATTTGATTTTTGGATAAGCAAATGTATTGCGGACTGTGACATTTGCATTTAGTTTTTTGAACTTCAATTCTGATTTAAAAATGTTGTAAAAGAAGTTTTATGAAAATTGAATAAATTTTTTCCGGAATTAAAACTAACTGCTCTAATTTTGATTTAGAAATGTTCATGGAAGAGGTTTTTAAAAAAAAATATTGTTCCACGTCATGCAGATATTCATTTACTCAAACAAACATCGTGACATTCGTCGTTTAAGTACATATTTGAAAAGAAACGACACGAGTAAAAACTGCTTCAGTTGTTTATGTTTATTACTGAAATGTTTAAGTTGTCTGTTTTCACTTTATTTTCGCAAGGTATTGAATGATTAAGCTGGTTTTGGAGACGAGAACCATATTGCAAGTGCATGCCTGGCTGTGACTTCATTAGAGAATGCGAGGAAGGCTCTGGGTTAGTGTGGGATATTTGGGAATGCGATTGTGTAAATCCTTGTCCATTTACTGTCTGTCCAAACACGATTAATTATGTGATTGATCCTGACACATGCAAATGTATCTTAATAAGTTGAACTAACAAGTTTTCTTAAAAAAATTATGATTCAATTGTGATGAAATTCTTTTCATTTCTTCGAATTACAATTTTATGAATTTTTAAATTGAATTTTCTGTGCTTTTACTTTTTATCCAACCCCAAGAACCTCTAACGTTTTGCTGCACTACTTTTGATGATTCGATGAAAAATGACAATAAAAAATCTCTGGAATCATTTTTCTTTATGTTGCTCGATTTCTTATTTAAGCATACATGGAAGAATAAATTCACCTTTCAAGGAATCTTTGCTGTCATTGGGAACCACCCTGTCAGCAGAAATAACTCTTTGAGGATATTTAACTTTCTTTATTGTGCAGCAATATTGTGTCATCCTCTAAAAATTTCGAAAACATTTAAATATAAAAATGTTCGACCTCCCACAACTCTTTTCTAGCCGATGAATGGTGAGAAAAAATATAAATGTTCATGTGCTACATGGTTTTTGCTGATCAAATCGTTATTTTTAGTGCGCCTCCCTGAAATAAAGAATCAGCTTTGAGATTCATAAAATAGTTTATTAGGGTATCTTTTATTGATTTTTTAACACAGAATCTTATTTTAAAAGCGAGCCTTTTTCAAACTTCCATCGTTTGAGTATCATGACGAAAAGTTTATGCTCAGTAATCGCCCATATATTTCCATCAGAATAAAACTTCTGAGCAAACAAATTCAATTCAAAGTTGGAATACTCGGAACAAAATATTCGAGAGAAAAATTTGCAAATTTCACTGTAAGATGCCAAATGGGAAATGAAAATTAAAATGAAATTAAATTAAAATATCACCTTTGTTTCCTGTACTGTTTTTATTTTATGTTGTTTCTACATTACGTTGATTGCCACGAAAAGAATCTGCACGGAAACGAAGGAAAGGAAAAATGTTTTCATTTATTAAAGCGAAGCAGAGAAACTGGAGACAAAACAGAAATTTAATTGTGTGTCGCTTAGTGTATTACTCCCTCGCAGAATCAGTGTCATCAACTGTACTCCTGTGGTACTTTAGCTCAGCCCAGGAAGACAAAAACGATTAAAGTTTTACTGAAATCTCCATCTAACTGATAAGAATATTAAGATTCCTCTTCCTTCCTGGGATGACAACGTATTTAAATGTTAAGCGAATCCCCCGTGAGTTTATTTCTCCCTCGACAAGGAGAAATGCAAATTTTTTTATTGCAGTTTTTCGTAACAAATAAAATTTATTTTTCATTTGCTTGTTTCTTTTAGCACGAAGATATTTTTCGTTAAAATTCGACGAGATTTCCATTGTTTCTTCCTTAATGAAATCACATGAATTGTAAATTGAATCAGGGCAAAGATGATACAAATTAAATTTGCTGTGTAAGATGAAAAGTTATTCAGAATTCAGGAATAAAAATAATTACATTTGAAAGTTAAAACCATGGAACATGGCAAAAAGAGATGGAAAAAACTACCTAAAAACTTTTGGCTCCTTCTGCAACGAATATCTTTATTTCATCTCATCCTCGAAGCGTTCATGACACCTATAAAATAACAATTGCAGCTTGGGAAAAATTTATTCGAGCAATGTTAAAGTTGGAGGAAAGGAAAATTTATTTTAATTTTATACAAAAGGTGGTTTTCCCCAGTTCATGTACGAATCTTTTTTCCTTCTCTCGCATCAAGGCACGGCAACTACGGGAGGGAGAAAAATAACATGAATATCCTTCACCCATTTCTTCTCCTGGAATTTCACAACACTGGAATAATGAATTTGTTTCTGATGAGAAAGAAAAAAAATATTCACAACCAAAATGACATTAAATAAATTTTCATCTGATTTATTTTTCAACTTTCTTTAAATTTTTAAGCAAACTTCCCTTTGAAAGAACTTTTTCATCTTTAATTCAATTTAAACAACCTTAAAGGGAGACGATATCATCACAAATTGTGATAGCTGAAATTCCACGAGTAAATTATCAATTATCATTATGTTTCAGGAAGAGAGAAATAAGTGACATTTAAAGCCGAGCGCATATCTCAATATTTCAACCATTTATCATTTTTAATAAACCACCGGAAAGATGCTGTCTCGGATTCTGTTTTCGTAGCTTTCCTCGAGTTTCAGATGATTAAAAAATGTGATTTTTCTTCCTTCGAAGATTTTCCCTAAGGTGAAAATTGAAACCATCAAAACCTGTTTGGAATTTTATTTTCATACAAACTTTCTAATAGAAGAATTTCATATCACTTGGTTATGTTATGGCCAAACTTTTCATTGTGTAGTAGAGAAGTGTTTGTAGAGCGAATGACGACAAAAATAAACTTTTTAACAGATGCCAATGGCGAACATTTTACAATTTGGTTAACAAACATCTTTATATAAAAAAGAAATCTATGGAAAAGCGAGCATATTTTTAAGATCACAGACAATATGATAAATGGATTTTGATGTCTGTAGGAAAATAGGAAAAAAACTTACATTTCTCTCATCTGGTATGTTTGATGATGGCATTCATTATTGCTTTTTAAATAAATAATTTGTGTGGGCGTTAATGCTTATTTCATCAGAAGTTATAACGACAATGTTAATTGATATTAATTTATGAGGTTTTTGAAATGAACTTTAAATCTGTTTGTGAGTAGACACTTTTTGAGTTGAAAATTTTGGAAAGATATCTTATTGAAATGTTAACAAATTGCCTTATTTATTTGTTTAGATGATGATGATGATATTTGTTTAGATATTTCAAATAAAATAAACATCATTAAAGTTTCTTCTTACTACAACAAGCTGTGGATTTGCATAAAAATCGAGACAAGACTTTAATTCGTTTCGAAGTGAATAACAAAACTGATCCAACATTTCATAAGAAATTGTTCAAAGTTAAACAAATTCCGATAATAATTTTCCGATCGCAGTTGGCATATGAAAGAAAATTTCATCAACAAATCATTCTTTAATTGAAAGTTAAAGTGAGAAGTGAAAAAAACTGAAAATGAATAAAAAAACAATTATTGGTGTTGGTGGAGTGATGGTGATGGTTTATTGTGGATATAAGTTGTATAATTATTGGAAAGGTGAAGTGAAAAGTGAATTGAAATGTGAAGGTGGTGAAATAAAAAATTTTGAAAAAAGTGAAGAAAAGTGGAGTGAAACGAGTGATAAAGGTGGTGATAGTGAGTGGGATGAGTTTTGTGAATTTTTTGATGAATTTGAAAGCGGAAATTGTGATGAAATTTAAAAAAAAATAAAAATGAAAAAAATGAAAAAATAAAAAAAAACGCCAAAAATTATTCAAAGTCAATGGTTACTAGATCGAATTATGATTTTTTTAAATTTCTCTTTCACATTTTCCTATAGGTCTTCAACAAATTTAATCAAAGTAGTCCAAATGAAATTTAAAATTTTTCTCTTTCATCTTTTCAACAAACTAACTAAAACTTATCATTGACCAAATAAGCAACTATCAAGTAAATTTAGTGAAAACAATGTTACTGTCATTGGTCGGAAACGCAAACAAAACAAGGATTGAAGTTTGGATTGAAAAATCAAACAAAAAATTTCTCAACCTTGAAATTAAATGTTAAGTTTTCAAGAAAATAACGTTCACTTTGTTGTATTAAAATAAAAACTGTTCAGTTTGCTGATCCAATTTCTCATCTCATGAACATGCAAGCATTTCTCTCATGTTTCCTATTTATTGATAAGGAAACCATTATCATAAAAAAGTAAAAGTGTACACAAGAATCTTTTCCATTTACTTTTATTGTTGTTGTATGTTTTCCACCCTCAATTTTCCACATCCTATGATTTCGATATGCCTCGTCAGAGAAATGCGTGCAGATAGAGAAGGGAGAGAGAAAGATTCGAACCATAAATTGTAGCTAACGTCTATAAAAGGTAAATAGGTGAAAAATCCAATAAAAACAAATATAAATAAATTTCCATCGTCTTTAGTCCCATGTCATCCCATCTAACATTGTTCTTCTCCTGATAAAGACTTTTGTGTTTCATCCCAACCATTTCTTGCTGATCCTTAAAAGGCATCATAAAAAGGACATCATAAAAATCATATCGCAACATAATATGTGATGAAAATTCTTATTTATGGTTGCGATTCTTATGCCCAGCTCAACATAGAATTTCTTTCTTACTTTGCACTTAACATAAAACATTCCGAAACGACTTTTAACGTAAACTTGTAAATCTCACTTTTGTTTCAAGTTGACTATTAATATTTGTGATGACTTTAATCAACGATATTAATAAAAGTAGAAGTGGACGCAACAAAAAACAAAAGTTTTCTATTGACAAATTTAATCGAAAACATTCACGAAATTTAATGTGACTTTGATTGCATTTCGGTGTCGTTTCTAATTGACATTTGCCCATTAATTTCATTATTATTGTACTTTTGAGAATTTTTATTGTTCATTTGTGATTAATCTCGCGAGTTTTGGATGTCCATTAGAAACGAAAGCATTTTTATTATGAAGGCATTATAAAAGCGGGTCATTAATTGCTAAGTTTCGTATTTATGAGATGACTCAGAAGGAGAGAAAGAAAACAAAAGTGATGATGTCAAATCATTACAAAATAATTGACAATTAAGGACTTTAAATTGATAATCAAATAGCTCTCAGACACAATTAAGCTCACATTACATTCACAGCATCACATCAAAGGATCAATTATGTTTATTCTTGGAATTGTTAGTAACTTCCAATAGAAACGATGCTGAGCTCTTTTTGATTTCATTCACCTAATCAATTTTATCCATCGAACGCACGCTTATGTATGAACTTCTTCCAATTGATGATAATAACAATAAATAATGGATGGAAAGAAGAAAAAGATGGTTGAAAATAAATCAAATAAGACAAGTCATTTAAAAGCTATAATTGATTCTATCACTGATATAAATTTCTACTTTCGTCTTTATGTTTGTGAAGTTTTTAAGTTGCATCGGAGGGATAGCAATTGCGGAGGAAAGTCATTTATTGTAGACAAAAAGGAGAAAAGTAATAAATTATTTTCACCTAGATATTCATCATTTTAAAGCTCACAAAATAGATCAAAAAGTTTCATTGTTTTGTAAAGTTAGTCAATTCTTCCGTCAAAAAAAATGGAAGAATGACAACAAATTTTCAACAAAAACAAACAATAAAAATAGATCCTTTAAGAAACATAAAAAATTAAATATCGATTTTTTATTTATACGAATCGCTTTTGCCATCTCGATTGTTCAAAAGCGTCTTAAAGATGGCAGAAAATGTCGTAGAAAATTCATTTTCATTGCGAGACAGCAAAACAGATGTTTATTATTGCGGGGAAACATCATTTGGCGATGAGAGAAAGAAACAAAAATACATTTTAAATTGTTACAAAAAGAATTTCTCGTCTTATTGATTTTAAAAACTTTTCTTCTCATTTCTTCAGCTTTAAGTTTGACGACGAAGAAAAGAAAAATCAATTAGAGCTAATAATGAAAAACTTCTACATGACCAATTTAAACTTGGCACGAACTTCATACATTTCTGATATTCAAGTTTAAGAAATTAAATCAAATGGAAGTAAATATTGATTAACAACACATGTCTGAAAATGAGTCGTCAATTCAAAATGAAACCTTAAAAATAGTCACTGATTTAAAGAAAACTTATATCTGTCATTTAATTTTGTTACTCAGCCATTGAAATACTTTAATTGGAAATTGTGATGAATCTTTTGTGATAACAAAGAAACCCTTTCTTTAGTTTATTTGTTGACAAGTACATGAATACCTTAGACATCCTTTTACGACACAGATCATAAAAATTAATTGCTGTTTAGTCTACGACGAACTGTCGACAACGATATGTTTCCCCCTTCTCATAAGTAGATGGAAGTTTGAAGATGTCGAAAACCACGGGAAATTGCATGAATATCTTCAAGTAAATTTTCTTACTTATCTCTCAAGAATCCACTTAATTTCCATTTTATATCTTCATTTTTATCGTCAACGTTTAATTTCCATATTTTTCTGTGTCGCTTTCATGTCCCCCTTCACGAAGTTTTCCACCGCAGAGCTAAAGATAGGTAATTATTACCATAATAATAGAAAGGTATTCAACGTTTTTAGCTTACAGCACTTCATGAGATTATTTCCTTTCTTCACCACAAAGCGACAATAAACTTTTGCCTTCTTCTTTTCCTTTCAACCGAAAAATGAAGTGACAAAATAATCGTAAAAATAACTTTTCATTAAGCGCTCGATGAAAATGAAAATGAATTTTTCCCAAACCGACGTGTGTAGATTCCGCTGTTGTTAAAGTTAAACATTTAACAGAGAAAAAAAGAAAGTTTCAGGATATATGTTTTGTTTAAGATCCCTGATGATATTCAACAGAAGGATGACCAGATTTTAGAGAAACGAACCAAACCTTCAATTTGTATCTGTTCAAATATCACAAAGATTTTATTTTACTTTAAATATTTGAAAATTCTTTTTCAGATATGCAAATTTTCGAACTGCTAGAGTTACAACCTCTCCTTAACATTTAATTGAACTTCTTATGACTTTATTTAAGTCCTTTAAAATGACAAATTCTTCCCTTTTGGATCATTAACGAGCCTTCTTTGCCTTACACACATTTGTAGACAAAAGTTATTCATAAAATCAGAATAATGCTTGAAAAGATGAAAGTTTTCGTTCTTAACAACCTCTTATGTCATAATTCTTCATTATCTACCTTTTTGAGTTGTTCCAGCGGGGGTTGTATAATCATCTCATACACATACCTTTTCCCATGTGAAGAAGCAACATTAAAATATAATTCGTCAGTGTGAGGAATGCGAGGGTGTGAGGGAAGATGAAATGTAAAACATCAGAGGGTGGAAAATGATATTATCGCGTGTCTTTGAGGTTTCAAAAATTTGGATGATAATTATATAAACCAAACAGAAGCAATTGTTATTGTCATTGTAACATTACTTTCTAATATCATCGTCACATCTTGTGGATCAGGAGAAATGTTTTCATGTGAATATTGTTTATGTAAGGAAAACATTCTCGTCTTGTAATCTTTACATTCGCCCAACATACGTAGCTTTAACTCTCACACCAAACACCCAAAAATTATGTACTTGCTTTCGTTATGTTTCCGCTCATAATGAAGATATGTGCTTGCTTATGTTGAAATTCATTTAATTTTGAGTACTTTGAAGAATGTTTAATTTACACTTAAGTTCATTCATTCATTTTTCCTTGTAATGAACCTTGAGAAGAGAGAAACAAAAACAAAAACCGCATTGATCGTTAACACGTGGAGGGTTTTAAAAAGAGATTAAATTTTGCGAAACGACTCACGTACTTCAACCACATTATTGAAGATATTTCGAGTATAAAAGAATATAATTTTGCAACTTATAAGACAAAGAAGAGAATTTACCTTGATGTAAGAGAGATCAATGGTTGATTGCATAAATTTTGCCCACATAATCAGAGAATCATTGGAAATGCTAATCGATTTTTGACGTGGCGACTGTTTACAATGTGGATTCTGTCAGCATATTGAACATTGCCAACTAAATTTTGCTACACAGTGGCGCGCACGAATTCCATCAAATTATATTTTGATAGCTCTCAGATCGAAGATAAGGTAGTCGATGGAAAATTTATTCATAGAAACTCAAATCGTCTCTGGCCTTGTCGCTTTATTCTTGCGACTAAGATCAAGACAACAAGTGAACAAGAGACAACGAGAAAAATAGAAAAGTAAAAGGAAGGTTCATTCTCGGGGGCAAACAAAGAACCTTGTGTACTTAATTTGTTTACTTTCTTATTTGTGTACCATACATATTTAACTAAGGGATATTTTTGCGAATATTTTGCATGCTGGAAGGAAAATTCTTCCTTTACAAACATTCTCAACGATTTGCATGCAAGGAAGAAAATTATTCAGAAGCTCTAAAACCTATAAATTTTTATGGTGAGAGATTTAAATGAATTTCTAATCAAACAATTGATGAGGGTTGATGAGATAAGTTTTGCGACTCACCCACGTTTTTCGTGAATGATTTTTGTTTGCCATAATTTTAAGTGCTTCGTGATTTGCAACGAAAGTTATTAAGCATAAAGTTTTTCCCTTTTTCTTCTTCTCCTACTAAAGCCACTCAAGGACACCTTTTAGCGGCCGTTTAGACGAAACGAACATAAAGCCATTAACGAAACTGCTTTAACATTTAAAAATAAAATTCAACAACATCATCTTCCTTCCACGCCATCAGAAATTTTCTTCACGAAATTGTAAAATCATCATCATCATTAAGCAGTTTGAGATTCGCTTTTTAAAAAAGGCAAAAATTAAATAAAGATTCTCCCCGACTCAAATGTTTTTGTTTGTTAATGTTTTCTGATCCATCTTACAAATTTAATTTCGACCGATATCTTCATGTTAAAAATTTTTCTCAATTTTTTAAGAGCTTCCGAGTGAAATTTTCCACATCACTAGGCGAAACTTTTAGCTCGTGAAAAACAGTTTTCCACTCGAAAAGATTAATTTTCTTTAACTGTACAAATTAAGTTCCATCATCAATCATTATCATCGTAATATTTTTTTACGAGCGCGTCACTTTTTGCTGGAACATTTTCTTGTTTTCTTTTTCTTTCCCAGTCAAAGCAAAAAAAAAGAAAAAAATTTCATCATCAGTTTTTTGCTCTCGAGACGCAGATGCCTGAACCCGTGTGGCTGTGTGTAGCACGAATACGAGCAAGAAGAAGAAAGTAAGGAAAGAAAAGGCACGAACGGGAGGAAAATTGAAAAACCTGGTTGAGAGTTCTTGAAGAGCGCAACTCAATTTACGGTTGGCACCGGAGGGGGCGAGAATGAAAAAGGTGGAGGATGCCCACGTGAGAAAAAGTATTTTCTCTCCTGCTGCTTTTCGATTGGCTGTTTCAGCCGTAACACAGGTAGGTGGATGATTTTATAAACGAAACTGCGCCCACCTATGAGAAAATGTTTCACCCGTACGAACACACCGGGCGAGAACACGGTAGCATTTTCTCGCACACTAGCAAAAAGCTTTTGCGCTTCGCCAGCCTTTCACAATTTGATTACGCTGTTCTATGATAGAATTATTTTCCCACGATTCGCCAAATGATTTTACTTTCACCATTTAAAGTTTTCTTAGATATTTTTGAATGTTTTCTTCTTCCTTTTTTTGCTTTCACTAAAAACCAAACTCTAAGAAAATTTTTAAAGACTTTTATTTCGATTTTCTTCGTTCCTCTTTCGCATCGTAAAAGTCAAGACAATAAAAAAGAATGTTATCGATTTTCCTATCTGAACTGCTTCCAGCTGCTCTAATTAAAGCTCCATGTTCACTTGTATGCTCTTCAATATTCTTGTCTTTTTCATCCACCGAGATACTAAAACGCAATAAAAGAAAATTTTCTCGCTCAGCATTTTGCGTTCTTCATCGGTTCATATGGAAAATAATTTTTTGCTTGAATTTTATTTTCTGAATTTTCTTCAGCTCTTCATTTTCTCTCGTGGTTTTTCACTCTCTTTAAACAAAATTTTGAGAGAGTCTCACAAACACTCACACATTGAAGAAAACTCTTTACATCTCCACAGGAAAAACTTCTCCGTTTTATTTTCTATGAATTTCCCTGTAAGCGATATGACCATAAAGAGGATCATCTTCGGACAACAAACTTTAAACTTTTCCCATGGTTGTCTTATTTCTATTTCTTCCTGTTCAAAGCTAAAATTGAAATTCCTTTTTTTTTATTAAAAGAAAAAGTTTTGGAAAAAGATTGCAGACAGAAAATTTTCCTAGTGGTTAACTCAACGGATTATAATGCAATGAAAAGATAAAGTGTGATGATACAAAACAATTGAATCCGGGAGAGAGAAGGAAGAAAAAATTGCATCAAGTAGTAAAAGAAAACTTCTTTCTCAAAACTTTGCAAAAGCGAGAAATAGAAAAGCTTTTGCAGGAAGGAAATGGTCAAACTTCCTCTCACAATATACAAAAATTGTTTTAAATCTTTTTTCTCGTCTTTAGATATTGAGGAAAAGTTTCTTCCTTTTAATGTTATGAAGGGAGTATTTGTGCAGTCGAAGTTTTCAGGATATTACGCTTCATTGCAAGTGTAAAACAAGCCTTGAACTTTCCTTTATTAAATTTTCCAACTTGGTGAGTTTTTCTTTCAGAGAATGTTGAAGAAAAAAAAAAAGTAGAATTATATCGTCGACACAACATTTCAATTCAATGAGTTAGAGGTAATCCTCATCGAGACAATAAAATATCGCAGCTGGATGCTTGACTTATCTCAGTAAGTTGTCAGTCGAATAAATGTGGAAGAAGAACTGACCTTTCTGATGCTTTATAAACCAAAAGAAAAATCTTCTTGAATTGCGGTTGAGAAGTGGAAATCGATTGGATTTATGAATCCGTTTTGGAATAAATTTCTAGCATCTTATGACAAAGTATGAATACAATTTCTTTGTTTTGCATATCAATAATATAATATTTGGACAAAAGCCGAAACCAGGAGAGTGAAACATACAAAAAACCTTCATTTCCTGTATATTGCATTGTGAGACTGTTCGACATAAAAGGGATATAAATGGACACACAACAGACGTAGATTTATCATCACAAAACCAAAGTCGACATCATAAAAATTGGGAAATGGAAAGAAAAGGGAAATATTTTCATTCATGTAAGGAAAATCTTTAATCCTACCGCTTTTCTCTTTAAGCAATCATATTATTCTCGTTTTGTGTCAAAGAATCTTCATTCTTCCTTTGTAACACATGCTACCAGGTGGAATCTTTTCTGACACGAACCTTTTTAATGTCTTTTGTGTTTGACGAGCAAAGACTGAAATAACATAAAAGGAAAATCAGAAATTTAAAACATTCGTAGAACTCTATCAAGCGTAATGATTTTTCTATTTTCATCCCGACACTCCTTATCATTTCGTTTTTGAGACAATCGAAGTCTTGTCGCAATTTTCTTGACAAACATTAAGTTAGAGTAAAGCCTAAAATGTTACAAAGAGATGTTTCTTTAAATTCCTACACCGTCCACCTTACTCTAAATAAAAGAAAGAAAATAAGAGAAAAATGGAAAAGAAAGTAAACCCATAATGTTACGATAAATAAAAGGTAAATGAATTGGAAAATATTTGCTTTTCATTCTCAAAAAGGCATGAATTTTATCGCTTTTCATTCGAGTTCGTTTCAGAGGTTGATGAATATGAAATTTTCCATCTCCTTTCCCTTCCACCACTTCAATTTCTTTATCCTTTAATAACACCTTTTTGTTCCATCCTTCAATCATTTTTCGCTTTCCTTCTTCTACTTTATTATGATAAATTTCCCAAATGGTTTTCACATGGCAGCATGCAAAGCTTTACAGTAGCTTTAAATCACTTTTCACTGATATGAAAGATAAAAAAGTCTACGTCATTCTTGAAACAGCGCTAGGTAGTAGTTCATGTTGCGAAACAAACACAGATGTGATGTGATGGATAATTTTAATTTTCTACCGCTCGTGTTGTGAAACATATGGCAACACCATGCACCTTCTTTCACCGAGGGATCAACATCTATGAATGGAAAGAAGAAGCAATAACAAAAAACAGCTTCAACTCTCCTTCATAATCTAAATTGATTATTCGTGTATTCACCCGAAAGATTAAAATAAAGTTGTCGCCCTGTGTCTCGATATCGATTCGTTTAATGTAATTTTTTTTCTCTCCTGCCAGGTTTACGAAGTTCCATTGCCCTGCCTGGCGCACGAGAAAGGTTCACTTGGCAGGAGTGGCTTAGAAATGATGATGAATAAAAGAGAAATAAAAAAAAAACAGTACAACAACACATGGAAAATTGTTTCGCTTTTTCCATCTTTACCGTGTCACTCTAAAGATTTTTTTGCTCTTCGATTAATCTAAGCATCAAGTTAAATTTTCTAAGAGTAACGATTTTTAATGACATAATTTTGCCCTTCTCGTATGCAGGCAAAAAGAAGGAAAACGAGAAGGGTGATTAATGATTTTTGTCGACAATGTCACACGGTGTTTACGGCTGAGAAGAAAACTGCTGATCCAAGAGACTAAAACGCCGCCAAATGGCTGAGGCTTAGGAAAGGGGTTGGTTGGAACGTAAAATGCTTTATAGATTTTGTTTTCTCGGTGACTAAATCACAATAAAAATATTTTAATGCGAAAGAAATTTATGGGCTTGAGGCTTGATACACAACAATTGATGATGGGTTTACTTACTCTTCAGCAACATAGTATTCAGTATCAAAGAAGATAACGTTTACAACCTTAAATCTACATAAAATGTAATTAATGATTTTCACTTATGAAACAATCTTTCAAAGGTTAATGGTGAAAGTTTGATTAAATTTTAATGAAGGTTGATGTTGCTGAGTAAAATAGTTGACACCCAGGTGATGATGAACATTCAGCTTTTGATACGTTTTCATCATCAACATGTAATTGTCTTAGACTCTCTGGGCCCAAGGGCAAACTATAATCAATTATCCCTTGCCTGAGCTATGATGATACCTAAGTCAAATATATGTTTATACGTTCATCATATATTCTTCTATGATGTAGCACGAAAAGGGTTTTTTTGTTGGAAAAGCGAAGGTGGAGTTTACTGATGTTCAATTTGTTACGAGAAAAAAGAAAACAATTTTCTGACCTTTTCAGGAATCGTTCGTCTATCTAGCGTATTCAATCAATCTTTAATTACACAAAATATTAAAGGTTTCATCATGTTCAACATTCAATTAAAGCTCAATTGTAAATAAATCCTTAATCTAACAAACCACACGATTACATGTTTTTTGGCTTCAAAACTGTGTTGAAAAAAGTATCAAACATTCGTTTGTCGACAGAGAAGAGAGAAAAGCAAATCAAAAACATTTTCGAAATTGAAACAAGAACCATATCGCTTCATACTGCAAAAAAAAACAGCAAAGAGAAGCGTGGCGATAAAAAAATGAAAAATTGGTGAAAAGTCCCTAAGGTAGAATAATATTGCAGACCAAGCAAGTTTCATCGTGATACAGAAACAACATTCAAACAGTAATGAAATCAGATTTTATTAAGGCCCAATCCTAGATGATTGAGCTTCAAATATTTCTGATATTTAATTCATTCATTCCAAATTTAAAGCTCTGTCTTTGTATAATCGTTATTTATATATATTTCTCACAATTAAAAGTATTCATAAATAAATACCATAACAGCACATAAGAAGCCTGAACTGGAGTTTTAGTTAAGGAATTGTTATGAACTCACATAGCTAATTTTTTATACATCACTTTTTATGAATAGTCGCCTTCCAATAGTAAATTACGAAGATTTTGCTCATAGTTTCTGATTCGTCATAGACAGGATAAGATTCTTGAAGTAAAATGCTTGGGGTTATTTTATTTAATCCACCCTCGCACGATACATTAAGTAACGGATGTTAAAAAAGTCGTCATTCAATGTTCAAACTGAATATGTAAGTAATTTTGGCAAGAGAATGAATAATAAGAAAGGAAAATTTGGTAATACAAAAGCGCAAGCCACGACAAACGAAGCTATAACGATCAACGATAAAAATCCATTGAGAAGCATTCAATTGAAACTAATATGAGGTGCATTGCGTATCTACTTCATATTTTATCGATGAAATTGTTACAAAACATTGTCAGATGTAAAATTTATTCGGAAAATTTAATGGCTGTGACAACCCTCGACATTGAAACTTCTCAACTTTTATTTACAGAGAAAAATAAAAAAATAAATGTAAAGAACGAGAATACTATTTACTTGAAGGTATTAATAATAATCTGACAATAAAAATTTCCATGTTAAAATAATTTCGATTTCTTTTTACAGCCTTTTCCTGTGTTGATGCGAGAAGAAGAAAAGACGAGTAGAATGTAATGGAAAATTTCGAGATGATGATGATGGAAATGTTTCTACGTAGGAAAGAAAAAATTTCACCGTAAGTGGAGGCCGACAGACTGACGCCAATATGGATCCTTTGATACGTACTTCGTTGTAGTTTTTTCCCTTCTCACTCTGTTTCTACGTTTCGCATTTTTTTTTCTTACGGCATTGCACTCACAATCGGTCTTTTCACTTTTACCCCTGGAACGATCTCTTCTTCTTGTAGATGTTTTTATCGCAGCTTGTTTTCATCTTCACCAAAGCAATTTCCTATCATGTCGAGTTGACTATGCTAGCTCTAATGTGTTTTCCTTTTTACTAATGCAGGTATTTTATGTGTTTCTTGTAGTTTTTCCGACCGAGAGTGGGGGAAAATTATAGTGGGGAAGTCTCTAAGAAAATTTCTTTTCTTCTTGTTTACATTTGCCGAATGTTGATTTAGATGGTGAACAGCACTAAGAAGATATCATAATCATAAATATACAGTTCTGTGAACTGTGGAAATAGTTATATAGAAACATTCATCTTTAAGGGATTATCATTTTAGTTTCCCAATAGTAAAGAATGTAATAAGAAAGAAAGCATTGAAAGAGAAAAGAAAAGTGTAGATAAACAAGGAAAATTTATATGGTTTTAGTCGTCTTCTGTTTGTTCTTATTTGGTTAAGTCAAGAAAAGCTAAAGCATAAAGCAGAAAGAAACTACAAAAGGTCAAACGACTCAAGTCATATGTGAGTTAAAGTTTGAAAAAGGTTAAACTCTGTATGTTGATCTTTAAGTATTTAATTTCACTAAACATCCTTTTCCACCTTTCTCAACTTTCTAATGGGTCAATACTGAAAAGATTTTATCCATTCAATTTACTTCTTTTAGTAAAGTAAAGAGAGAAATTCGAAAAGATAAATATCTTAGATGAAGACATCACGAAACGATAGCCAACGTGCACTCAACACTCAAGAGATAAATGGATGGGAAAAGTGGAAGGTATCGTTCTCAATCTCTTCTCTTTATTTGCTTTTCCCATTTTACGTATGAAATTAGTTTACGATAAGGATTCATCTTGAGTTAAAAGCTCCTGGAAACGGTGGTAAATGGAAAAGAAATTTTTATGATAATGGATTTCGACCAAAGCACGCAAAGCAAATATGGCGAATGTTCGTTTATACTTCCGAAAGTGGAATTTATGACCATTGTTGAGATTTCGCTCTTTTTATTTTATTGCGATTTTGCTTTTACTGAACACTTTTTACGCGCTTTATCGACAACAATTTGCCATAACATGGCATGATGATTGTGTATCCATTAACATCAGACAAGAGAGTGAAAAATTCTTTAACCTTCCGAAAAAATTAGTTAAGCTACCTTAAAAAAATTATCCCTTACAAACAATTAACATGGAAAACACGAAAAACAATTTGTTTTCGTTGCAGAGATTGTGTTAATTAAATGCTTCTGACTTAAAAGCCTTCACCGACTTCGATAACGTGAAGAAGCCAAAGAACACAAAAAAGTAAACACATTTAATGTTAAGAGTTCAGAGGCATGCAACTATTTACTACAATTAACATGAACAAAATAAAGGCAAAAGAAAATCATCATTTTCACCCTCTTGTGTATAATCAACATCGAGAAGAAGAAAAAAAAATCCTCACACAAATCGAAGACAAATGAGAAATTAAAAGGAAAAGAAGATGGAAAAGTTTATTATTCGCTTACATGTGAACAATAGCGAGTCTCTGGATGTGAAGGCTATCAAATCAATTTATTTTATTTAGCCAACCTTCATTCGTAAACTTCTCGTCTCATCTTCACCTTTTACTTCGATTATATTCAGTGGCGTAGAAACCAAAAATATAAGCGGGAAGACGAAGGATTTCGACTTCTATGGTTCATTGAAATGAAACAAATTAACATCCACAATAAACACATGAGATAAAAGTAAATACACATCTTGAGTGGAGAAGAAGTTGAATAATCAACCCTCGTGTTGGATAAACCACAAAGCACATCTCATTTATATTGATAACATTGTTTTAATACTTATCAACATAATCTCGTTTTTATTTTTCCGGCTCAAATGTAACTGTGTCGTGTCAGTTGTATTCGTATCGATAAGGTGTGGGAGGTGAAAGTGCGATAATTTAATATCAGCAGGGAGCCGAAAGTGGAGAAAGGTGAAAAGCTTTTAGATTGCTCTGTCAATTTGGGGTAATGTGAAGTTGTTCATTTTATCGAACGAATAATGATAGATGGTAGTGGGAGGTATTTGATTGACATAAACATCTATTAATAGGTCAATAAATTCAGCAGCCAATCGACATTAAATATTGAAGAGAAAATTTAATGAGTCAAACTATGAAGTTCCTTAAATTGTCTCCAATAAAATTTAATATGACTGTAATTATTTCATTCCCCTTCCTACCTCATGTCAGAGTTTGATGAAGGAATCTGTAAAGACAATAAGGCGAAATTACAATACTTCAACTTAATCAACTTTAACGAGATGAACCTGAACGAACAAATGTGAATAGAGTTACAACAATAACAGTTTTCATATCAAACTTTTCCTTCTGAAATGAAAATTTTGAACACATGTGCGGTGCTTGCTGTGCTGTTTGAAAAGATGACAGCAGGAGGTGGAGATGTTCATCATACATTACAGTAAGGTAAGGTTGAAAGAGGGCAATTGTCACGGAGAAACAATTTCTACTTTCAATGAAAATCTCGAGCTCATCACCTCGTAAATGTTCAGTTCTGTCACCACAAACATACTCACAGGGCTCGTAAAAGAACTAAAAAAGTTATTCAACATAAAATCGCAACATTGTTTCTAAATCTCATTCGCTTCTCGACTCGAAAATTTAAATTAAAAATAATTCACTCGGCATCACATGTGGGATCGCTTCAGATGCTGAATGACTACGTGAAACATATCTCTACCTTAAATATTCTCCTTTTTCCAAACATCACATATTACAATTTTGTAGCAGGCGGCAATTTCTGCTGTTTTGCATTTAATTGCGATGGGAAATAAAACTTTTGGTCGGTGGTTTAGTGAAGTGAAGGGAAGCAACGAGAATTAGAATGAGGATGAAATCAAGTTTGCGATAGTTTTTGTTTCATTTATAACAAAAGACATGCATGAATTACCTTCGTAATAATAAACTCCATAAAATGTTTCAAATATCAGAATAGTTCTGATAATTATTTTTGCAATCACACTTGAATGGAATGAAAGTTTTCATAAGCTTCAATCAAGACATCTTAAGCGAAGACTTTCATTCTATTGAAATAAGGAAAGGAAGATTGTCTTAGACCTCTTTATTTGTTACATTTAATCATTTTGTTTTCAATGTCTTAGGGATTTAAATTCTTCACCTTGAAAGAAACTGAAACATTTCCTGAAAATATAAATTCCAAGCACAGCAAGAGTTTCTGGTTTAGAGATTTAAGACAATTTTGGGATTTAGAGACTTCTAGATCTCTACTTACTTACTCCCCCTCTTGGGTATTCCACATTTATTCAATGTTATCAACCCCCAGGAAAGACTATCAACTTCAGTCGAATATGTTTTGTGTGTATCATCCCGTAAGTAAATGAAAATGTTTTCAAAGTTTTTGCCTGCTGTACAGAACAATCGGAGCATAAAAAAGCAACATATAATCTGCTTCCGAGATTTTATAGCACAGTCTCGGTGTCTCGTTTCGTCGAGAAACTCAACTTCAACAGTGCACAATGTTAATCTCGTAGCAGGTGTAAAAGATAATTGACTCAATTTCCATAATCAAATCTGAGAAATCTAAATGAGACTTTTTGAGTATTCTTGAGATCTTATTTTGAACACTTTTTTCGTCGTCGGTCGTTGCTTTCCCCACCACCGGTGAACAAATAATATTTATGGCAATTTTTCTCTCTTTTTATGCTGTTATATATTTTGTTGTTCGTTTGATGTTGTTGTCGCGTCTGCCAAACAAAAATAGAAACTTTTTGTTTAGTTGAAAAAATTCGAAGTGTTAAAAAATAAGTTTTTGTGGGTCGCAACAGCACTCAGCTGACGTTTTCAACAGTACATGTGCATCCAATTTCTGTTGAAGATTCTTTTCCGGTAAAGAGAATTTTTATTACTTATGGGAAATGAATTTACTTTATGCTTAGAAAGGCATTGAAGAGGAATTGATATTCATGGATTTTATGTATGATGCGTTCCAGACTGATAAACATCATAAGAAGGTTAAAAATTGTGAAGTTGAAGGAACTTTTGGCTCATCTGCCAAGTGATAAAAAGTGAAAGTCTTAGATACATAAATGTTTTTGCTTCTTACCATCCATTCTTGGCAGATCGCATAATTTTAAATAAATTCCCAAGCAATCGCCTTGTCGTTTGCATAAAATGAAAAATATTGTGAAGGCAAAAAGGTGTCTGAACTGTGAAATTAAAATTTATGGATCATGTAGGGAGGGGAAAGGCGAACTTTAGATGTCATGAAGGAAAAACAAACAAGAAAGTGTCGCGAGAACATAAAATCATTATTTTAAACTATTTTATGATTCATAAAACTGTTACGGTGCTGTGAATTGTCACACGTGATATGATAAACGTTGCAGTGCGGAAAAGTATTTTTAACTTCTTGTGTTTTGCACCCATGAAAGTTGATTAAAACATATTTAAAATCACGACTAAGTATCTTGAAACTAAATACATGTTGTTAATTAAAATTTATTATGACACATTATTCATATTTGGACCATAAAAACGCGTTATGTGTGACCTACGTTTCGAGATTTAGAAAGATGAGATTATTACAAATGAATTATGATGGCAATTATATTAACTTGCTAATGTCACCTTTAGTCGTGAAAGTTGTTGGAAAATACCGTGGAAAAACAATTTTCCGCATAATCGCGATACATTTAATCCAATTAGTTTCGCGGTAAATTTTATAATTAAATTTCTGGCAATGAAAATCGAGTTGAGGATCAATGTCGAGAATAATTTTTCTACTTCCCCGTCAGATTTGTTTCTTTTATAAAAATGAAGACTTTTCAGAAGAATTTTCATCTCGCCCACAATGAAATATTGACGCATAAAACTTTTCCTTTCAAAGCAGTGAAACGAAGTGTTGAGTGGGAAGCAGAGAGAATTAATTAACATAAATTAGTGAGTTCAACTGCTTACCGACAACTGAAAAGAAAATTTTTTCGTGTAGCAATCAATATGCAAATTATTTTTAAAGAAAATCGTAAAATTTCGTTTTTCGCTGCATCAAAGGCTGACATGAAAAGAAGAAAGTAAAAAAAACTTTAAGAAAATTGTCATTAAAAGATTTTATGACTTCAACGGAAAAAATATTAATTATTTGCGACTGATGTCAAGACATTAACAAATTTAATCTTTTAAGGAGTGAACAAGGTAATTTTAAGTTTAAATATTATTAAAACTTTGTGCAAAGATGACCTGAAGTTGGACATGAAGCAAGAACAAATCTGCTAAAATGAAATTCTCGTCATGATTGCCTAGTGTAAGGTAAAAATATTAAAAACTTCAAGATTTTATTTAAATTTACGATAATATCTGCGTTCAGCTAGACTGACAAATTTTTCCTGTTTCATCGCGTTGTAAACTCATTTGTAAATATTAGCGAGACTAAATTTTAAATTTTACACACAAATAGTTAAACAGACAGAGAAATGCGAGAAGTAGACATTAAACTTCAACGTAACTCATGTCAATGTGAAACATGTAAAGTCATTAAGGGCTTAAATGTTTGTATAGCTTTTTCTACTCTCTGTAAATTTTAAACAAGAAGATTCCATTGAACACAAAAAAGATAAATTTGTTCACGTTCATCATTTTTTTTGTGTTCACTCTCATTGTCCTCTACTTTCTATTCGGAAGTTCCTGGACGCGCGGCTATAAATTTTCTGTCATTTAGTGGGTACCAAAAAGAGCAGTCGCTTCATTTATGTTATGTATCCAAAGTACTTTATGATCTGGCAAAATAACGAGAACAAAAAGAATATCTCCAGTTAAAAATAATTTATTTCAACGATACTTCTCCACTAATTTATGCTGTTTCGAGCTCATCCATCGCGGAGTGTTATTGAGCGATATATGCATGTTTATTTTTTGAGTTTCCAGTGTCAGTTTATATCAGGTGTTAAAATTTTGTGTGCCATTAATTTACAAATCTGCAAAATATCAAGCTCGATTGATCTCATGTATTCCTCTGACAGCAAGAAGCATGACAAAATAAATCAGCGAAATGGACGACACTTGGAAATATTTTATCTTATACAAATATAATATTTTTTCTGCGTCAATCTTTTGTTCCGGAACAGAGCGGAAACACAAATCTATCCCGAAACAAAACAGGCATACAAATTGGCTCTGGAAAATAGCGAAGCATTTGTTACGCGGACCACAAAAGTTTTTTTCAGGACGTACTCCACAAAAACGGACCACGGACCGAAGCTCCGGAAAAAAGTGAGATCAGAAATCGAAAATTCTGAATGAGAATCGGAACAAAAGCGGTGGAACAAGGTCCTAATTAAGAATAGCTGAAGGTGCATTGTTTCTACCTCAAGGTCAATTGTCTGCGTTTTGAAATTCATAGGATTTTTCTTACTTACTGTGACTTTCATGTACGAACAAAAGGAAATTGATTTAAGTACCGACAATGATCAGTTTGCTCTCCAAGAAGCACTTTTATTATGCAAATCAAACTAATTTGAATTATCAAAAAATTAAGTTTTTTAGGATACTCATATTTTTAAGCATTTTATGTAAACTTAACAAATAAATTAAACTTCAAATTTTCAGCAGATTAATGTTATCACTGAGCCAATAATCAATATTGATAATAAATTTTTGCTACTGAAAATGTAATCTTATCAAATTTTCAAAGTTTTATTGATGAATAAATTTCGAATAAGGTGATCACGTTTTCAGTAATCCAGTTTATAGTTAAAACTAAGCAGGAATAAACTGTTTTGTTTCATGTGTGCCTCATTAACTATCTTCAGTAATTATCAAAATGAAATTATTTAGTGAACGGAAATCCTATAGAGTTTCGAAAGCGTGTAAACGCTCTGATGTGAAAGTCTCTAGTGAATTGGCTAACGATTTCGTGCAACAAAGTGATGCAGCAAACATTGATGATACAAGCACATTGGGTTTCTTAAAATCAAAATTAGTTGCATTTTTTAGTGAACGGAAGTTCTATCGAGTTTCGCAGACGCCAAGACGTTCTGATTTGACAGTCTCTAGTGAAGTGGCTAATGATTTCGTGCGACAAAGTGATGCCGAAAACATTGATGACTCAAGCACATTCGGTTTCTTAAAATCAAAATTTGTTGCATTATTTGGTGAACGGAAGTCGTGTCGAGTTTCGCAGACGCATAAACGTTCTAACTCAACAGTCTCTAGTGAAGTGGCTAATAATTTCGTGCGACAAAGCGATGCAGTAATCATTGATGACTCAAGCGCATTGAGTTCCCCAAAATCAACGCGTAAACACTCTGGCTCTACAGTCTGTAGTGAATTGGCTAACGATTTCGTGCAACAAAGAGATACGGCAAACATTGATGACTCAAGCACATTGGGTCCCTTAAAATCAACCATTCCAATGAATGATTTTAAATCTGGAATGAATATTTTCGTAAAAGATTCAAAAAATCTAAAAATTGGCGACCATAATACATATATCTACAACAACTACTTCTCGAAAGTTAAGTATAATCTCGAAATAAATGTTCAAGCTAAAATTGATAAAGTTTATTTTTATATTCGTAGATAGTAAAAATCCTGCTTTTATATTGAGCGATAGCAATGTCAATTCAATTCACAAAATCAAATATACATTGAGTAGACCATGGTGTTGGGGATTAATGTTTTTGATTATGATTTTATGTACTTCTGTTAACACCATTCTTATAGTAATACTATCAAGGACATCGATTGTCCAACGAAGAGATGATTGGGGTGCACGTCCGCCATTAAGAGAAATGGAGCCTTTACACCTTCCTGTCTCTAAAATCATCGTGACGCATACTAATGACACCGAAAGTTGCTTCTCACAAGTAATTTAAAATTATTTGGATTTATTTTAAAAGAATTTTCAATATTTTATCCAACAGCAAGAATGTATGGAAGATGTTAGAAAGCTACAGGAATACTATCAAGAACAAAACATAACTGACATTCCATATAACTTTTTAATTGGTGGTGATGGAATTGTTTACGAAGGTAGAGGCTTACCATATCAAGGAGAGATTCTTATCAACCCTTCGCAGTCTTCATACGACAACGTTTTGAAAGATGGATTATTGATTGCATTTATTGGAAAATTTGTTGAAATTGAACCAAGTGCAATTCAAGCCAATGCTTTTCATACTTTTCTGGATCATTTGGTTAGTAGCGAAGGATTAATTTCGAATTTTACGATTTTGGCTGAGTATCAACTTGTTCTAAACGAGATGATACCGGAAGGATTGGTGAAAATCCTAAGGGAGAATAAAGAGTTTTACGAATGTAATAACTTGTTTTTGAGTAATAAGGTGCCGAACTATCTATAATTAAAATTTCAGTACAAAAGATATTCAGTAGAAACCAGTGGAATGCACTGCCAGTAAATGTGTCATCTTCAACCAAATTGGAGGGACCAATTTTCGATTTCGTTGGTTATACTAATTTTTCAACTAAGTGCACAAGTTATGCAAGTTTTTTTTTATTATATTGTTATAGTAGATAAACTTATGATCAAAATTTTTAGGATGATTGTATCGCATATTTACAGTGGCATCAGAGAAATGATATCATTCATGGATTTAATGATATCAACTTTAATTTCATGATCCTAGAATCAAGAGTATTCGAAGGTCGTGGATGGGATACCGCACCGCAACGCTTCATCTCCGAAGAAAAACTTGAAGGTTGGAATGGTATTATAATCGGAATTTTTGATGAAACAATGGAAGAAAGTACTAGCAATATACTTGAAAAACTATTTGACGATGGAGTTTTTCTTGAAAAAGTCCAAGAAAATGGAACGAGGGGAGGAATTAATTTATGCTTTCCTTACTGTTGCTGTGAAAACGAGTTGTGTTGGGATGGTTTGTTCCAAAGTCGAGATGATTGGGGTGCACGTCCGCCATTAAGAGAAATGGAGCCTTTGCACCTTCCCGTCTCTGAAATCATCGCACTGCGAAATTACGGATACTTCAACCCTTGCTTCTCACAAGTAATTTAAAATTATTTGGATCTGTTTTTAAAAAAATTCAATATTTTATCCACCAGCAAGATTGTACGGAATATGTTAGAGAACTACAGGAATTCTATCAACTAGAAAACATAACTGACATTGCGTATAACTTTTTAATTGGAAGTGATGGAATTGTTTACGAGGGTAGAGGCTTGCCATATCAAGGAGAGATTCCATTCTACTCTTATTATCCTTATTACGAGACCGTTTCGAAAGATGGATTATGGATTGGATTTATTGATTTCAGTTGCGACCATAAAGTAGTTGAAGTCAATATTGCATTTAACACTTTTATGAATCATTTGGTTAGAAGCGGAGTATTAATTTCTAACTATACTCTTACCACGGATTATTTTTGTAATTAGTTATCAACCAAATCTCTGTCTACTTTAACCAAAGTTTAGTGTCAAAAAATAGAGGTCAAAAAAGTATCTCCAGTAAATAATTTATTTCAACGATGCTTTCTATTATAACGCTGTAAAATTAAAATATATGAAGGTACAATTGATTACTCTGGAGATGTTATCTCTTTGATTTAAGTAGTCGGAAAGAATTTCTTTATTTGCATTTGTGGTTTATATATAATAGTTCAAGGTTGAACTAAAGTCGTGAGATAATTATTTTAATCTCTCAAAATTTGAGAGTCTCAATACTCTAAAATGAATGACTTTATAACACTTTCTTATCTAGTTTATGCTGTTTCGAGCGCATCCATCGCAGTTTTATTGAGCGATTTATACATGTTTATTTTTTGAGTTTCCAGTGTCAGTTTATATCAGGTGTTAAAATTTTGTGTGCCATTAATTTACAGATCTGCAAAATATCTACATTGACTTTCAGTAATCTCTCGCTTCAAGCTCGATTTATCTCATGTATTCCTCTGACAGCAAGCAGCATGACATTATAAATCAGCGAGAAGGACGACGTGTAAAAAATATTTTTATTTTATTTCCTTTATTGGTGTTATCGTGCAAATAAGTGGAAACGTAAACGTTTAGCTGGCCAACTGTTATTTATTCTTCGATATTTTCCACTGTTCAATGTGAAAATTTTCAGGTCAATTGGCAGAAATATAAGGCGGGGGAAAAGTCATCGTAACTACCATCCCCAGATCGAAATCATCACACGGAAGCCGAAACACAAACCAAAGCAGAAAAAGCCACGTTAAATAAACAAAACAAGGAGACAGAAATTAAATACACTCGGTGGACATGGTGAAAAACAAATAACCAGAAACTCGATTTCTCGACTCTCAACTTTCGAGTTCGATAGCAGCGACAGCAACAGAAAAGCTTTAAAACAAACAGGAAAATATTTTCCCAAAGCAAATAAATTTCTCTGCCCATGTCACGAGACTTGAATGAGAGAGTGAAAGAGAACAATAAATGAACATCAAGAGCCATGAACCGAGAAACATAATTTTTAATTATTTCATATTTTTCCAACATAAATCAGTTGAGCGAAAGAGTAAACATGATTTGAATGGAATCGAGCGGCGACAACAATCAAGATTCAGTGACATGTTTGCAGTGTATTGTTTAACAACACCTCCACTTTTGCTGTAGTCAGCCATATATTTGTGATGTCTTTATGAGTTGATAGCGATGCTAATCCCGAGTTGGAAATTATAAAGTCGCAAATGATTTACACATGCAAAGCATTTTTTTGTCGTCGTTCATGTTTATCTCTCGTATATGATTTAAAAAATAATTCAGGATATCTAAAAGTGGGTGGAACTGACTGTGCTCAGTTCTCGTAATGACTGAGAAGAAGTGCCAATGATAAATCATCATTTTTCAGAAAATTGTTTGAGGTTTTTCACAGCAGATATTGGAAAACAATAAAAACCACATCGAATATCAGTTTTAGTAAAATTGTGATGCTGATTGTCAGAGTAAAAGCAAAGAAGGATAAAATGAATTAAAGGCCAATGTCGCTTAAATTCTTCTTGTCTAGTCATAAAAAGTTTGAAAGAAAAGCAAGAACATTTCAAGCACGTAATAAAACGTAATAATAATTTTTACTGCATGCACTTCGTGCCCACCTCGATGTTGAACTAGACAGTAAACGCAGATATTTCGCAGATCCCTCGGTATCGCATCCTCGTTCAAGTCACACAATTTATACGAGAGCTGATAATAATAAATTATTGCTTAGAGCGCATCTCGCACACACGATTTCATCACACATGTGTCCCGTACTCGTTTATCTTGAACACCTTTTTATGCCGTTATTTACGAGCCAATAAAAGAAAATCTAGAAAGAATCTGTCCTTAAGAAACTCACGAGGGAGAGGCACAGACTAGTCTAGAATTTTAATGCGATTTAGAATCAAAGTAAATATAAATTCAATGCACAATCCAAAACCACAAATATAAACTCAATGAAAATTGATTTTGTAATTTGTCGAAATTGAAATTAATCAGTTTCACGAACGCAAACAGTTGAACTAATTTTTGTGGCACTTTACGTTTGATTTTGTAAAACATTTTTTCTCACACTCTGAAAGCTAAATAATAAATAAATCCGACAACAAAAGGTGCAACAAAAGAGATAATCGTATTAATTGTATCAGCAAACGAACAGTCGTGGTATACGTCGAATGTTTAGTGAAACATTGGAAAGTTTTTTCCTTCATAATTGAAATTATTGTTTGTTGATAACGCGTGATAAAAGAACTTCCACCTCCAACAAATGTTTATCTCAACATCCACGTAAACTCTTCTACTTTGTCAGAGATCTTCTCATAAAGAAAAGTTTTTTCCATTAACAATAACAAAAGATGAATGTTAACATATGGAAAAGGTATCAAATTTTTATGTTGTCATGATTGGATGCAATGAAATCAATTTTTATTGCAAATTTATCGATACCGCACAAATTCAACACCAAAGGATGTTCGATGGCAGCCGCAGCACATGGAATGAACATTTGAAGCCATCCCATTGCACCAATCCAATTTAAATCGGAAAATAACACACATACAGTGAGTCTCCAATTGGGGATTTTTCTTTCCTTTTGCATCGTTTCAGATATCGGATTTATGATACATTTTTATGATGGAGCAAAAACGCAGAAAAAGACTTTTTTTTATAAATATGAAATAAATTTCATTTCTGCTTGAGGGAGGAGAAAGAAAAGTGTGAAAATTTATGAAAATTTCTTCGAGCTTTACGACTAAAGCGATCGAAGGAGGACACTTTTATGTTTTGTAAGAAACTAGTGAGTTTCTCTTTTGCAGTTTAATTTCTCTCGTGTAAGATAAAAAAATAAGTGAATCCCTTTTTGTGCACATACCGAAGAAGTCACATTCATTACATTGTAATTGAATACGCTGCATATTCAATAAATCAGAAATGCGAGCACATATAAAATGAAATATTCGCTTTATGCATCATATATTTAATAAAATTTATAAGACACCTTCCTTGCTTCTAGTCCTTGTGCAATCGAGTATAAGAAACTCCTTGCGTTCATCGTTCGCTTATTGATGTCATAAATTTCATTTTGTAAGTGTTCGTGGAAAGTCATAAGAAGTTGAAATGAAATGTATGGAGAAGCATTTTCAATTTCCAAAGTTACCTCGGTCAACTTTACAGATCGGAAACCTCAACAAATGAATATGTGAGAGCAATATGTGAAGCAAAGGAATTTAATTTGTTACTTATCTGTTGACTGTAATCTGCAAGGGTTATGTATGTGTACATGTCAAACAACGGTACCTTTAAGCCATAACGTTTCATGTTTCCCCTTTTTTTCATGCTTTTCGGTATGCTTTTTTCGCACATTCATGATTTTCCTTTTCCTACTGATAACAAACGGTAAGAAAAACTTCAGTCCTTAGAATTGGGAACGAGAGAAAGCAAGGAAGAAAATGATAATAAAATCATTGGTTCGGAAATGAAATGTTAAATATTGATAAAAGTTTTCTTTCCCAGGAGTAGAATGTGTTGGTATACCGTGGCGAAGCTCATTTATTGATTGTTGGGGGAGAGGAAATTGGAAACCTTTCAGTCTTACCCGAAACATCATTCGAACATTGCAAATGGCCTTCGATCCCATCATTAACGATAGAAGATTCTCATCAAAAAATCTTAGCAAGAAAAAAAGGTGAAATCTGACATTTTCATTCCAGTTGAAAGGCATTTAAATGCCTTCAGTAGCAAAGTAAAAGAGAAAGGAAAATTAATGAGATTTTAAATACCTTCTGTGCTTTCTCATTCACCTTGAAATTGATAACATGATGTTTAGTGAGATGTTCTTTTATGCCATAAAGCATTTTAACGTTGAATGTTGAACATAAATGGATAAAAATGTTCCTTATTGTAAACTCTACATAATGTTTTATCTATGACTCATGCTTACCTTGCTACTTCCATTCGACGACTTTCCGACACTGGCAAAACCGATGAGTCAAATCTAATGACATCACAGCATTATCCTACTACAACAATAAATCTCTGTCTCGAGGTAACATGAGTCACCTTAAACGACTTTTTCCACCTCGTCACAATCAATGACATTCAACATGATGATTACCTCAACTAAGTAAGTGAGGGGGGATTACGAAGGAATCAAACGAAGCAAAACCGAAAATTGTTCGTAGAAAGAGAATCGATTTTCATTCAATTTCCACTTGATTTAACAACAAATTCCCTTGTCGAGTCTTTTCTCTACTTTGTTTCTAAAGTATTTGGAAATAAACGTCGAAGAATTCATACGATATTAAAATTCTTGTCACACCATAAAAAACGCAGCAATTCTCCTCTCCTATCACTTGCTTTAAATCTAAAGCTGTTTTCCTTCTAACCTGTTGTCCTGTCATATGCTGCAAATATTCTCGGTATGATAATTCGTTTCATACAAGTCAAAGCTTAAATTTAACAACGAATGTTGCAGCAGAGAATGCCGCAAACTTCCCATGATTTATCATCAGTACTTGTAGGATTATGAAAGAACAAGTGTAAGTTAAAGTGACGAATTTAAATCCCCTTATTTTATCAAGCAATTTACTCCAAAATGTTTCTTATTCACCTTTTGCACTCCACATGCTCCCGACAACGAATGAAGAAAAATCTTTTTATGCAAACAAGTGAAGCGGAAACATCATAATAATAGAATTTATTACATTTTTCATATTTTTTGTCATTCAATATTTTTCTTTCACACTTCTTCATTCCTCGTTTTGTAGAAAATAGAGAAGAATTGCGAACACACAGCGACATCATTCCACCCCATAAAACTTGAAAATTTCCTTGTTTTTTCCTGTTCGCGGAATATTTTTTTTCTGTGATTTTTCCTTTCAATATTTGCCGTCTGCAAAAACAAAATTCACCGGGAAAACATTGAATATTTTTTTTAGGAATATTTTATCGCTTTTATGATACAGGAAACTCTTACACATCGTTTCCTTCTTACATCGGATGGGGTTAGCAGCAATTTTCAACGGGAAAAGAGTGGCAAAGGAAAACACGGAAAAGTGAAAACACAACAACCTGTTCGCTTATCAACGAGGTATGTGTAACGTGTTCCAAACAAAAATAATACATTTCTTCAACTCCCACACCCTTTAAGCTTGTTAACAGAGCAATAAAAGTGTGGCGTGGGTGGATGATGACGAAGATTCCTTCTCGTTTACTTATACACAAAGTTGGATTTGGAGATATTATTTGTTTAAGCGATCAGTGACATGAAAATAGAGAGGGGGAAAGTGGAAGTTGATGTGTTTACAACTCAAATTTGATAAGAATCTCTCTCAGTGGAATTGAAATTGTTTGATTGAGTTGAGAGAAATTTGTGGCGGATTTGTGATGATTCTTGAGTTCCACTTATTGTAAAGAAGGAAATATGTGTCGGAAAATTAACTACAGTGTTCATGTTTGTGTAAGAAACAATGAGTAAACAGGGTGTGAATTATGTGGAGCAAATAAATGCTTGTTAACTTGTTAAAAATATCTAAGACAATTACAACTTGAAAAGCTTTTTCGGAGATAAATATTTGGTTATTTTTACATCGTTTTTCTTTGAAATAATAAAATATGGGAAGATCTTTCTTCAGCAATCTTTAATCAGCATCAATTAATGTTCATCACATTGATTGTTAGATTTTTGTAGTGAAGTCATCTACGTAATTACGTCAATTGAAGGAAAAACAACCGAAAATTAACGAGAACATTTAACCGCGTTTAAAAAGCCGACAAGCTGTTCTGTTTTTCAATCTATTTAGTCCCGAATTTTCACATAATGCTAAATTAAATAAACCACCAGAACCGCATATCATCAGGTTGGCGAAACGAGCATTGAACATCGATGTGCGGGCAGTTGTAAAAAAATGGCCCAAATTTATTTTTAAAAAGTTAAATCCATCATTTTGTCATTTTCATTAAAATTAAATTTTCATTTCTACCCTCGAAAAAAGTGTTTCTCGCCTTGTCATCGCACTCGCTTCGGCACGGAACGTTTTTTGTAAATAGTAAATCATCAGCAAAAAATTTTGTTTCTCGCACAACTCACAGCACTTGTCAAGGTTTGAACGCTTCCTTTTTTCATTCTGGGAGTTGGGTGTCTGTTGAAATTGTAAATATTTAGCAATTAGCGTGAAGAGAAGCGTTAGCTGACTGTATCAGGTGTAGAGACAGTGAAAAGTGTTTTTTAATCCCAAATTGATAATTTGTCGTTTTTCAACTCGACCATGAAATATTTGTGAACCATTCGAGGACGAAAGATGTGATGAAATGTCGCAAATAAATGGCATGTTCTTGCAAATTCGATTTAGTCGCTGTTGGATTTCTCTTGGGCATGTTGGTTATTAAATGAAATTTCCTGCGAAATTCCAAAAAAACTTGTGAATGCTATCAACAGCATAAATGAAATTCAATTAATTACTCGTAAATTTCATCATCTACTGCTTCCAGTGTGTGATTTGTTAGAAGCTCACAGTGAGAACAATTGTTATGTGACCTTCACAGAAACCATCGATGAATTTGCATGCCTATCAAAGTCCTCTGTGTTCTCGACTATTATCTAACTGAACAATAGTGAATGTAAAGGTTTTCACTATGAAGTGAGAGTGTTTGTTAAATCACCGATGAATATTTGTAACTATCTCGCTTAATTGAATTTCCTTCAAACCTTTCATCGTTTCTCACAATTCTCATCAATTTGAGAAAAAAAAAACATTCAATAGATGCCAACGATAAAATTTGCATGACATCGAACGTTTTGCTTACTGGTGCCAAGCATCAGTTTATTATGCTGTCGGAAAAATATGCAAGTGAGAAAGTTCGTGTATGTGAATTTATGACACCTTCGCTCTATGAAACCTGTTAAATTGATGAAATATAGATGACTTCAGCTGAAGCAACAATTACTGTGACTTTTATGTGACCGACCAAGGCTGCTCGTACGTGTGTCACATTTTTTCTCTCGATTTTGTTGACTCACGATTCTTTCCACAGCATCAGTTCAGCATATTAAGTGCATGTAGTGGAAATTGATTTACAAATTGTGTTAATTGTCTTTGGATCCGGTCACAATTTGTCAAATGTTCATTTTCAGAAAAATGTAAAAAAAAAGAAAAATTCAGCGTGATGAAAAATTACTTTTGCTAACATAAAGTTATGGTAGATTTTTTTTCATCGAATTAAATCGGAAGCGTGTATCATGAACGCGAAAGATAAAAATGATTTAACATAAATATCGCGTTCGCTAAAAAGTGTGGGTGGAAATTGATTTTTTCCCATTCAATAAAATTCGCATATATTTCGACCAAAAATTTTCATTCACTCATTTTTTACGCATAAGCATCGAGAGTAGAAAAACTTTCCATCGTTTCTGTTAATGTTTCAGGAAAGAGCAATAAATTGTTTTTGAATTGCATTCTTTGTTTATGTAAATTGAATTTTTTCATGGAGAATTGCACGGTAATGCAAGTGAATCGAAAATATGTTGAAAATTATCGATGAATATTTTAATGTTTCAAATAAGATTTTGATTTCCTTGAGTTGTCAAATTCAGAAGTGAAATTTTTGAGTTTTCTTTTTTGAAAAAAAAATTCAAGTCTCATTCACCGTTTAAAAATACTCCGCGGTATCATTACACTTTGACGAGGATATTGCGCAATATTTTATGTTATTGTTGTAACGCTTTAGACAAAAGTTTCAAATGCATTCACAGAGAATTTTTATTGTTGTCGGTAAAACGCATCCCAGTGGGAGAGTAAAAAATATGAAAATATTTAGGAACTTCTTCCTGTCTGCATTTGCAATTTCTTTTATTTATTTTAATAGCATTTTTTTTATTTGTTTAACAGCTTGAACATTTTTGTAAAATGCAATTTTTTTTTCTCTTTCATACCTCATTGATTGAGAGGCTCGAATGCATTTGATATCAGTTGAAGCGCCCATTCTTCATTCTCCCCTGGAAACAAAAAATTGCAGTTATTTGTTCAGCGGCTTTATGCACTTTTAACTTCTTTTTTATCATACCAGCCAAGCATTCGTTGATTGTATTTGAGCGGTTGATTCAATGCGAATAATAATAATAAATCAATGCATTTAATTGAACGTGAAAAATCGCTAGGAAAAAAGTTACAAGCTGAAAGTGACGCGATTACTTAAACTGATAATTGATATTTGACTGCATAAGAATTTCAGTGACAAATTTGAGAGTGGAAATGTTGACAATCCATCTTCAAATTACTTATTGCCGAAATGATATCCCAAAAGTACATCTTCAATCTATGTTGAATCATTGAAATAAATTCTTTTATTGATCTTTCTACTACTTACACTCAATTTCATCGAATAATGTCGCCGTTTGCTGGAACATCTGTTTCATAGTTCTTTTACGAAACTTTTTCCCTCTTTTCTAGAAAAAGAAAACTTTTCTTCGTCTTCAATTTTATTGGCTTCGTTTGAAGCTATTTTCGCATTCAACATGATGTACCTTTTACGTGTTGGGTTGAAATTTGAAAACCTGGATGAGTTTCGATTCCCTTCTTATTTAAAATTAAATTATTAAGTTTCTTTTTCGACTTTCCTGAAAGTGGTCCCTTCTGGCATCAGACAATTGCTATCTTCCTATGTCCCTAGAGCAAGTGACTGCATAATTCATTTGAGAAGTCAATATAAAGCATGAAGTATTGAAGGTATTGCACAATTCTTTCGCGGATGTTCTGAGAGATTTGTAATATTTTTTATATCCATCTGTTTCCATTGCTTAAGAAAATATTCAAGATTTTGTAAATAAATATTAACTATTATTGCATTTTCAATGAGAATTCAAAAGAAAGAGATTCGTTCTCCTTTCCATACATATGTCTCCACCCTCCCTTTCAAATAAACTCTTAGAATTATTATCTTCTGAAACAAGGAACAAAAGTACATCATGACGTTGGGTGTTTAGTTGCAGACAACATTGAAATTTTTCCAAAAAAAAAAACCAACGGAGATGCCAAGAAGTGAATAAAACTTTCACGTTTCAATGCTGTTATCCGTGATGTGAATATTTAAGACATTATTGAAAAAAATTGGAAACAAGTTTTCTATTTCTTTTAGGTATTGTTTCAATACCTTCACGAAACCTCTTCCTGCTTGATAATGCTAAACGAGATTTTCAACCATGTTCACTTCTACAGCCTCACACTTTATCTCTTAATCATCGGGAAAATCTCCGTGGAAAATTTTTGAAAGGAAATTGTCTTCCGATGGTTTTCCACATGTTTTCTAGCGGAATCTCAATCCCACATTTTTCAAGCAATAAATCACTTTATAAAGGAGAATTTTGAATTTTTGCTTTCAACAAATATTACTCCAGAAAGTAATCACGTAACCTGTACGTTCAATTTCTTGTAGTTTTTCTATTTAATTGGTTTTGACATCTACCAAGTCCCCAAATAACTGAGAAAATTGTTATGTCAAAAATGTCGTCATCAGTTCTTGATTTCACTTTCAGGAATTCATTGGACATAACTTTTGATAGATTGATTCGTATTCAATAATCCTTCTCTTAACAAACATTGACAAAAGTTTAATAAAAAATTTCCCCACCACAAACAACAATCCGTAGCGGAATGTGAATGAATGACCAAAAGGGATTTTTCAATTTCCTTTCGTTATCGTTTCACATACAAGAAGACGGAAGAAGAATATCCATTTCGAAATAGAATAGATGAAAAATCTAAATAGAAATCTTTACAAAGAGAGAAGGGAAAGGAAAATACTTATAATCAAATGCGTGGGTGGTCGATAACGTCTTTCAAATCTAGACGTATGAAAATAATTAAACTTCTATCCACCGTAATTAAACTTTTCAAAAAGCCCTCTCAAATGTCCCAAATCTTCGATTATAATTAAATTATTTTCCAATTTACCAATCGAGTCTCCCACCATTTGCTAAATTACCTTTCGATGTCACTTGAAGCGCGAAAAAAAGTTATGAATTAGAAAGAATTTATGGGCATTTAAATAAATGGAACGCTACCGCTCACCTACAGTTGTGGGTGGAGAACAAAAGAGGGAGAAAGCAAAAGGCAAGGAAAAACCATTAAAAATATTTTCCTGCTTTTCTTCTTCGCTTTCGAGTCGACGGGGCAAAACAATTCAATAGAAATCGCCAGAAGGAGGCGAACGTAAAACTTTTTAATTTCTTTTTCATGTTTTTAATTGATATTAAACAGATTTTTTCAATTAATAATTAAACTTATGGTTTGTATGAAACGTGTACGGCCGTTTATATTTTATTTTTCTTCTTTATTCGAAGGAAGGTGCGTTTGACAATTAAAAATATGGAACAATATTTCTTACGTCTCAGGCAGCTCAAGGCGGTTTCTTTAACGTTTTCCTTTTTTTTGTCATTTGAATTTTAATTGGGATTATTTATTAATAACACTGTTAAAAATTAAACAGCTTAATAGGAAAGAAAGAAATCATTTTTCAGAAAAGCATTGGTATGAAATTATTTAATAGCTTCACTGTAGTTGTCAAGTTGTCAAATTATTTTATAACAAAAGTAGAATAATGTTGCATTAATGTTTTTGTAAAAAAAATAAGAAAACATTAGGCGAAGAGAAATTTTATTATTTAAGTAACGATAATGAATATCAGATAATCCCTTTTGATCTTTTCTCTCTTAAGTAAGAAAGACGAAAAAAGTCGCCACCATGACTTAATTTTTTCTTTCTTCTTTATGAATGTAAAAGAACCTTTTTTCTTTGAATGAAAAATTGCTAAATATCAAACGTCTTCCCATTGTGAATGGGAAAAGTCGACAAGTCTTTTGCGGGTAATAGAATAAATGCACTTTGCTTGTAAGTCTCGCTCTTATTCGGAATAGAAAAGTTGCAGCCAAACGGAAAATATGTGAAACACTTGTAGTGCCACCGCGACACAATGAAAAACGTCTTTACGAAGTCTATTTCGAGATTTCAGCGAAAAGAAAGTTTCTGAGGTAATGAAAAAAGACAAAAAGGAATTTTCTCGCTTTTCTATCACTATCCAAAGTTTAGTAACTATGAGATTTTTCACGTAAATGGAATGTGTACCATGAGACTCTATATCGAGACTTTTCCTACAATTGAACTGCATCAGAGTGCATTAACGCGACGTGATTCTCATTTTTCTTGTTTAACGTTAGATTTCATTCTATTCCTTATTTCGCCTTTTCCGCATCGTAAAGATTGCCAGCTTTCAACCTCTTTGAAAAAGAAAAGATCGTGAGACAAAAGTGTAACAATGAACAATTTGATAGGATTTAAGAGTTTCAGTTTCTTTATATTTTCATGCTAAATGAAATTGCAATATTCAGTGTTGCATTAAGAAAGATTCTTGAAACAATTTCTACATGTCCAACATGCATTGTCTTAATCATCACCAACGAATATTTATGGTTTCATCTAAAAGGTTTTTCTCTTTCTTTTATTAAGTAGCTGGTCTGCTAATAATTCTGGATTATAATGAATTTATTCTCAGGGAATTGTTTTCATTGTTACACGCTTGAAAACATGTCCAAACAGCAATGAAAGAGTAATCGCAGGGGTTGTGGATACAACCTTCACTTACAATCGATCCCTGAAGAAAACAAAGAGTGGGGGAGAGAGAGAGAAAGTCAGGAAGTGGAAAGCAATCAAACCTGCTTAAACAGACTTTTCGAACGTTCCACTGTTCGTAAGGTTTACCCATCAATTTCTCGCATCGTCGAAGTTTGTAATGAAAATTAATGATTGATTGTCAAGAAATGTACCTTTGCACTCTTCCATTTGCTTTCGTCTTTTTTTTCTCTTTCTTTCTCTCCTTGACATGCCGTAAAAACATTTTCGTATGAGCAACATTTAATTTTGACAAATGATTTTGAAGTTTGATTCGGGTACGAGTTTGTGTACCGTTTTACCGCTTTATATGGCAGATCATTTCTCAATCTTCAATCATCATTAATAAAAGTTCTTCGCAGCTTCGATTTCACTTTCACGTGTCAATTTGTTGTTGGAATTCTCTGTTGTTGAGAATAAATATAGATCATGGAAATATTTATCCACCCGAAGAAAGGGAAAGAAAAGCTAGTTAAGAAAAAGATGTGTCAACATTGTAACGTTCTCCCATCATGTTGATTTCTTCCCTTCTATTATTTTAATCTCACCTTCTGAAGTGTCGTGTATGAGACACGTCAAGACATCCACAGGGGATTTCACGTACACCATATGCGAGAAGGGAAGTGACTTTGCAAAGATTAATCTCTTCTCTCGCATGAAAAATCATCATCAGCTTAATGAAAAAAGATCCACCTTTAGTGTAGACACGTTCACCTTATTATTAATTTGCCATTCCAAGTGAATCACGTTAAGATTCTGTTGTTTCTTTCTTCACGCAAAGCGACATGTAGTGAATGATGATGTATGAGTCGCCAAATGTTTTTGTCAGCTTGATTAAAAAAGTCATGATGCCTTGGGAGTACTCGTACTCGTAAGAAAAACGGAAGAGAAATGGAGAAAGAAAGATAGGAAAGTCTGATGGATTTTCTTTTAACATCAACAACTCAAACGAAAACATTGCTAAGGAAACTGTAAATGGCACATAAATGAAGTAAAAACTTAAATATATTTACGAGTCAAAGAAGTCACTCGAGTGAAGTGTTTAAGATTTCTTTGTTCTCCCTAAGCATGTGGCACAGTTTTCGAAAGATTTTATTGCTTACATGGTCAAACATTCACTGGCTTAATCGTTTATCAAATTCTTATAGAAATTCCATTTTCTAAGTTTATTGAAGGTTCTTGTCATAGAAGGAATGAAAAAAACAATAATTTTCATCATCAACTGTAATCATTCGTTTCAAACGTGGAAATAATTTTAAATATTATTCATTGAATCACTTTTCACTCACCCGTAATGATTATGTGAAAAAAAGACAATAATGTATGAGAGATTTTTGACCATAATTCCTCACCATCGTCTGCTATCTCATTTGGCACTCAAGCGTATCCTTAAATGGACAAAGTAGTAGAACAGTTTTTGCACAAATCATAGAACATACAGTAAAAAAAGAAGACTTTTTCCTGATGCTGAATAAATTAAGTTGAATTGTGTCCATGTACGGTAAGCTTGCAGGTCTCGACAACCCGAAAAATTATAAAACTATTTATTTAAATAATGTCACAAATGATTAAGTTTGAAAAGGCGAGAAAATCGTCCGAGCTGATGCGATGAGAATTTTAATGCTAAACAAAAGGACGTAAAAATTTAAGGTTCAACGTGGAAAGCTTTCTTGCTCAAGTGGAAAATCTATAAATTAAATATGAAAAACATGTGCAGGAATTTACGGATTTTACAGGAAATTAAATTTTATTTGCAAAAGATGGAAAAGGAGTAAAGACCAAAATTTAAAGACCTGTGTGTGTGTGTGTTTGTATATTTCCATTTATGATGTGAAAAAATGTTTTTCATGGTTGATTCGGACTTGCACACATTTTCCATATCTTTTTAACCACCAGCAAAAAACGGGCCAAAACTATTTAGAGAAATTAGGTGATAACAGATCTCTCTCCCAGTTCGTTTTCACCAAATTAATTTTCCATTTCAGATGGGATTGCATGAGTGTGTCCATTTGGAGAAAATCTTTTAATTGTCGAATGAAGTGGGGGATTTAATTAAAATTTTCTTCGTATCCTTTTTTAACAAACTCACTCTAAGCTATGGGCCATCAAGATTAAAAAAATTATGTGACCATCAACCATACAGGCACAGGCATGAACAATAAAAGAGAATTAATCCGGAAATATATCTAGTCAGATTCACTTCATATGTAGCGAAGTTCATTTCAATCATTTCAATCTTTTTATGTATTGACTGATTATGAAATGTGAAGGCTTGAAGTAAAGTTAAGATAAAAACGTTGAAATAGAATAATATTTCCATTTCTATAGTCAATTTATAATCTCTGACATGACTGAATCAGAGACTTTATTTTCATAATAAACTGTGAAGAGGAAAAATTATGTCGTACCTTTTATTTAATCACACAATTCAGTAGGAAAATTTTAATTCACTATGTAGTAGCTTTCCACTTGTTCAAACACATCAGAAACACTCAACGTTTATTAATTTTCTATGCTTGTCGTCTGCTCCCTAATTATCTGTGAAGTGACCTTTTTTAATGCCACACAATTTTGCCTCAGTTAGGAGCTTGACTGAAGCCAAGAGAGAAAAATTTGTGGTCGAAATTTAGTGCTGAGTTGTCTCTCGTTAAGGTACCTTTTTTGTGTACCTTTTTGATGCCTTCCACCTCAATTTTCATACTTTACTGCTATTTAACATTGATAATGACTTAAGAGGTACAATGATGGAATGAGATTCAGTATATTCTCCCACAAGTATTCGGATACCACCATCTTTTGTGTCGAATAGAATAAATTGTCCTTTTGCATTTCCCTCCTCATAAAAAGTGAAGAATGTTCAAAATATCTACAGCTCCATATTTCAACAAGTTCTTTCATAAACCTCAGAAACCACCAGAAAGAGGGCAACGGCTTTTCTGATCTCCTTTCTTTGCACAAATGGGCTTATTCAATTCATTACATAGCACATTTACCTCATATAAAGTACCGAAAATGAAGCTCAACGACGATGCTTGTCATACGGCTAAAGATTTACAATGTCAGCAGAAAAGAAAAAAGAAAAGATGTGAAAGGGACTCTCAAAGTATCTTCAGAGCTTGTTGTTTTATTTTCGAGCCACTTATCTCCAGCTTTACGTGCCGGGTATATCATCCTATTTGAGTTTGCTACCTATAAATTCTCTCCTGGCTTTATTTCAATGATGTAAACACATTATGCGATTTATGTTACTTTATAAGGAGGGACGGGATCTCTTCGACTTTTATCATGGGGCTATTGTGAACATGATTCTAAAATGTATTTATTACATTTTAAAAGATATTTTGTGTTACAAGAAATGTGTATCATAAGTTGTAAATTCAACTCACACTCTGTTCATCCTCAGAACAAAAGGTTCAAAAACTTTTATGTTACAATTTTTTTCGAACATCCTGCTGAGGTGGTAAACGTTTAAAAAGCAACTTATTCACACTCCAATAGATAGCAATGATTTTAGGGTCAGTTATGATATTATAAAACAAGAATGTTTGAACACTTTTTACGGAAAATTATTAGCAAACTGATTTAGACCATTCTTGTAAGATTTAAAATATAATTTATTTAGTCCAGAAAATGCCACTGACCCTACGCCTACGAATAAAACTCCCCCGACATCCATATGTTCAATAGGAAAAATATTGAGTTATGGATAAAAAAAGCACACATATATCCAATTTATCTGAGTTCAACATCGAAGTAACTAGAAGAGGAAAATTTCTGCTTTATTAGCAATTTTCACATCATCCCATCATGCAGTTATCGAGTGAAGTATGATACCTTATAACAAAAAGAAGAAAAAGAATGAGAGAGAAAAAAGCTATAAAGTAAAAAAAGGTGAAATTTATGTAATTTTATGTTTAACATGAGTCTTTTATTCTATTTTCCTCTCCGGATATTGCTGTAAACAGATTTCTGCAACGAAAGGCATTCTTGCGAAGGTGGAGAATTGAATGAGAGTGAACAAAGATAAAAGAGAAGGAAGTTCATAACAAACGTGTTTTTAATCAGTTTTCCTGCTGAAGCAAGTGAAAACTTTATCTACATTCGACAGGGTTATGTGGTTAACGTGTCTTAGCATGATAGTTTTCCTCCATTTGAGAAATTTTTCAATAAATTTTCGCCTTTCTATCTGAGTGTAGGAGAACTTTTCTGAAAATTCAATTTTCAGGTCGCATCATAAAATGTTCAATTTCTTCCTATTTTACTATTTCGTGTCGCTTGCTTCCTAATGTTAATTCAAGAAAAAAAAATTACCGACAAGTGAACGAGAGATAAAAGCTTTTGATTCGTTGCCAAAGTCGATTTACATAAACTGGCAAACAGTTTGAGTATGGAAAACTGACAATCCTCTAGATTTTCATTTCACCTTTTATCTTAATGGCTGTAAAGTGTTTTTCTTTCACTGCAACAATTGAATTTTCCACAGCTTGAGGATTTTATCTTAATTATTCCATCTATGAAATTGCTACCTCTTCTGCATTCACAGTAAGTACTCAGGAAGTTTCTCAATACCCACACATTCTCAGCTTGCCTCAACAAGAAGTGGAGAGGATAATTGAATTACATTGCCAACAAAGTATACATGTCGAGTTTTCAAAAGAACAAAAAGCAAGAACAAGAAGAAATAAGTTGAGATATTTAGGAAAAGTGGGAAAAATTCACTTTACCACTGCCGTATATAAATTCATTAATGAGAAAGAAAAGTGGATTAAATGTTTTCTCGTATGAACTTCATATTGTGTCTTACCACGAGAGTGGCTCTCGATTCTTTGGGACGGTACTAAAGTTGTTGCATTAAAAGAACTCTTAATTTAATAAATTTCTACCGGAAAACTAAAGGAAACTAATTTATTATCGCTCCATTTTCACTTTTATTATTTTTTACAAAGATCCGAAGACAAATAGTGTTTGGGAGTGAAATGGAAAATAGAATTAAGAGACCACCTTACCAATGATTTAATTAAGGTATAAAAGGAGAACTTCTGCTTTGGAAAGTTTCTGTTCTGCGGTTTTGATTTAGTTAAGTGGATTTCTTGTAAGAAAATGGAAAGTCAAAGATCAAATTCACGAGTTTTATTTGAATCTGAAGATGAACTTAAGACACGGTATGACCCTCAAGCTCTTTGACTGCTCTTGTTTCATGCAAATTTTATTCCTAAACAAAAAGAAATTGTAAGAAATTCATAACAGATAAAATAAAGAAGAGAAGATGGAAAAATATTCATGAATTCAGTTCGAAATTTATCGAATAAGCGACAAAGCGATAAAATGCAGTGATGTCAGAAAATATCTATCGAAATTATGCAACATTTCGAAAGGTTTTTCATATCTCTCAACTCAATGGTTTTTAACGAATTGAATTTATTATTATTATAAAAAGATGTCATAGTTAGCGAAATGAAATGTAAGAAGAGATTTTACTTATATTTCCATCCATGTCTAACAATGATGATGAAGAGATTTTTCTTAAATCAGTTGCAGTTCTCGTTCTACAACGACTAATTAGCAATGATGGTGTTAAAAATGAAACATTTCAAATTATGTCCACTTCTTCCAATTGCATACTTTTTCCCTCTTCTTCCTTTAATTAATGTTTTCTTTCTAATTAGACGCTTCGGGATGAAACATTTGGGTGGATAAAAAGATCGGAAGGAAGAAACGACGATGACGATAAAAAATGGGTTGCGCATATTTCTTAGCAATAAGAGTGAAGACTTTTTTTAATAACACTTTTTCGCTAACAAATTATACCTTGTTAATTTGATTAATAACTTTGAAAGTCCTCTCAACTTTCCTCGTTGCTGTACTCGTTGTAAATTTATTTACCACTCACTTCAAATGGTCCCAGTGAGTGACATTTTGATGATGTGAAGAAAGTTCAAACATTCACTTTTTATAATCTTTTAAATGGTTGCTGACAGAGCAAATGAAATTGATTCAAGTGTTTATCACTTTGACAAATGTGAGATCAAAACGAATTTTTTAAAGCAGACATAATTAAACTGGGACAGTCTGCGTAATATTTACCCACCAGACTTTTCTTCTACTCTTTCCTCTAGGTCATTAAAAAACAACACTCGCACAAAATTTTCATGTCGACAACAGAAGCTGTGAAGAAAAAGAAACAACGAAAACCGCATTTAAATCTATGAATTATTGTTATGCAAATTTACATCGTCTCATCTCATCGTAGCTCGTGTGTGAGGAAGAAGGAAAGAATTGATGAAATCATCGTAGACAACAAAATATATTTTATAACGTTTAATGTCACGTAAAGAATAACAAAAAGAACTTCTCTACGCATCGTATGACAAGAAAAATTGAAATTTTATTATTTGTTGTTCGGCTCGTGCGGTAATTGTTCATCATCGTGTAACATTCATTTGCTATGATGTTATTAGAACGTAAAAATGTGTATTTGATGGCACGAAATTGCTGTATGATGCTAATGTAAGGAGTTTAAATGGAAAATTTCACGGAAATTTAAGAGATTCATGAGTTATGGCTTTGCTACTGCCTTTTTCCACTTCCTCACACTCCAGGAAGTGAAGTGAAAAATCCAGTAAATATCATTTACAATTATGTACAAGAGAAGTCTTTTCAGCTAAAGTAAATACGAAAATTTCGAGATGGAAAGTCATCATTTTATACAAAAAAAAATTAAAAGGAAATGTGGCGTGAAAATTGTGAAAATGCCATCATATTTCAAGAGTGTTTTCCTCCATCAACAATCATCATTTTAACAACAACATCACGAAATGAACGAGAGAAAGGTATTCAGAAGACTTATCTGACATTGAAGTCATTTGTGCTGAAAATGTCCAAGCGCCCGTGAAATGTAAGCAGATACTCATAGTTAGACAGTAACAAAGTGATTTCACTCCCTCACTAAATTGACATGAAAAGCAATTTTCCATTTCACTTTCCAAATGAAAGTGCTGTGTACATTTAGGAAGCGTCTTAACAAACAGTTGACAACCAAAAAAAAATTCTTCACCATACGGTAGGAAAGAAAAATTTTCTTCACCAACAAGTTTTCTCCTGCCAAAATTTTCTTTTTCAAAAAGCAAAAAAGGAAACTTAAAAAGTTCTTTTTGTTCCTTAAACTTTTCTGCTTGAGTTGGAAAATGATTTTATTTATTTTGTGCTGAAGATGAAGGAGAATGAAGAATGCCCATGCTATCAAAGCCCATTTAAGAAGAAGAAAATTGTCATCTCTTTGCTGTTTCCCCTTTTTAAACGATTTCAATGACAATTTTCTTTCCTGCTGGTTAGAGTTGGTTCGTGAGATGAATTTGAGAGTCAATTAAAGTAAAAGAAAAGATGAACAGAAACTGTTGAGATGCCCGAATGACTTTTCCTTTTGCTTCTGTTCATTTGCATGTTACAAATTAGTTTCCTTAACAGACGATCATTGGTTTAATAAGAGAGAGAGAGTAAGAGACAATAATTTGTTACTGTTGCCACCTGCAGAGTAATGAACAAGGAAATTAAGAAGACTTTTTGTTATTCTCTTAAGTTTCAGAAGCAACGTGAAATAGCAAAGAAAATTCTCATTTTCCTTCCAAGATGAAATCATATGAAAGCAGAAAATTAACTGACATTAGATAAAGTGCTCCTTGTCCTTTTTTTATATAGCTCTTCAACTGCTCACCACCTCGAAATTCCCTCGAGAACTTCCTTTTTTTTCACTCAATCGAAATAAAGGAAATTTTCTGACTTTCTACCGCAAACATCTTTTCCTTCTTACTTTTGGATTTCTATCGAAGTTAAGAGTGAGAGAAATGAAAAATAAACCCAATTTAGATTTATAGATATCCATTTAATAAAAAAGTCTCTTCAGAGTTGAGACAGTTTTACCGAGAAGATATGTATGGACAGGAATTGAAAGGAGAATCACTTAATCTCGTTCACATGAAGATGAAGTTTTCTTATTTTCTTGAAGAATTTTCCAAAATAAGAAGAAACATAAGAGTTGAAGTTATCTTTTGAATTTCCTGTTAATTCTGCTCTTCTGTCTATCGGAATTACAGATTAATGCTTTAACAGAAGTGAAATTGATAGCACAATATTTATCTTGGGCAAGTTTTGATTCAGGTAGGAAATAAAAATGCGAGTGAAAGTAAATTGCAAAAAAGAAACATAAAACACCTTCTGACTTCTGACAAATAAATGGTGTGAACATCTGTTCGAAACAGATACAAAACCCAATGTGTCAGACGAGCTGTTATTAACAAGGATATTTTGTTTTTCTCTCTCTTTGATTGTTTTTTTTTTCATTTATCGCTTTTCGTCTTCCCTCCCTTAAATTTTCCTTAACACAAGGTGTGAAAATGTAGAAAAAATAATAAAAATTTCTCATTTGATATCTATTGGAGTTGAAGGAAAAACATTTTCACACTTGTCAGCAAACGTTTACCTTATTGTAGTGGCACATGTTTTGCCAATGCAGGTGGTGACAGCATCCAAATATCCAAAAAATATGAACATCACAAAAAAATTGATAATATAAAGAGACAAGGAGGACATTTTATTAAAAATTGTTATCAAGCATGTTGGAAAAGGGAAACAAGAAGAAGTTTCATCTTCAAAGTCGATTTTAATCTGACAAAATAAAAAATTTTAATGTCAGCCATGAAATTTAACATTAAGATCAGAAGAAAAGGGAGAGAAAGCAATAAATTTTCACAGGAAATTGCACTGACAGGTATTTATAATGAAGTGGGATGAATTTAGATTCAACAGCAAAGATTACAGAAATTGCAGACTTTTTTTTCATTATTCGTTAGGAGGAATGGTTGGAAACAGATGAAACATGGATAAAAATGCATTCATCTTTCTGTAATCTTCATCCACAACAATTTATTCTTCGTGTCAGTGCATGTGGAAAAGAGTTTATTTTTCTTTCGTCTACTGATTACATCCGTTTCGATTTGACTTTCTTACGTCTTTGATGCTACATCAGTTGGAAGAATCTTTCCTTTAGAACTTTCTTTATTATAAATTTTGAGACAATATATTTCGGTTGGTCAAGCAAGAGATGTTTCCCGAATCATTTCTACTTCTTCAGCACTTTTAATATCAAAACTTCTATTCTTCTAATAAAAGTTTAGTCACTCTCAGGTATGCAAATGAACAAACATGAAATTATCCCTCAAGCAATTAGAGATTATTTTCGCAATTAAAACTGCTTCTTAACATTTCATCATTTACACCTACAACTTTCGTCATACCGCCTTCTGAAAATTATAAAACTTCTTCGTCTTAATCCCTCCCTTTGCTGTGAAAAGATTTCGGAAAGTTTATTCGGTGTGATGTGGAGGGTTCTTCTGGAAAACTTTTCCCTTTATGGACATTGTTCTTCAATTTAAAAGCAAGATGATGATAGAAAATTGATACAGGAAGCCTTAGGTGAGAAAGACGAAGAATTTTGTTGCCTCACCTCACACTCGTCTTTGTCTCTTTCTATTTCTCCGTCCACATCCTAAATCTTTATCTCCGTTTTTCGAAAATACAATATTATTGCTTTCAATTTGCAGTTTTATTTGTTGCTGAATGAGAGAAAAGTTTTAATGGGAAAATTGTGAGTTTCCTGACATCAGTGGATGGAGGTGAGACGAGTGAGCTCAGACATGATGATTCCTACACATTTTCATAATTGATTAAACCTTCATTTATCATGTTTGTAAGCAGAAATATTGAATACGTGTTTTTGCGCTTATGATATATGACTTTCTTGTCTCTCTTTTACTGCTTACCCTGGCGCTCCTTTTATTTGCTTTTCTGCATTTGACGATACAGGAATCTGATTTTCGAGTGGCCTTTGAGACGTGCCACAGCCGGTTGTTGTTGTGTAAATGACAGAAAAGTGGACGTCGACGACAGCATGTATCAGAAACAATAATAAACTATAAATCTAATCTGGAATCATTAGTAACATGTTTCAATCTTTCGTGCGTTCCCCATGCATGTCACTCTCTTATTCTTTATCAGATTCTACCTATTCATGCTTATTCAGTTGCTCAAGCAGAAATAACTCTTCAATGTCAAAGTGGATTTAGACTTACCAAATATCAGACAATAAATATTGAAATGACGCAGTTTACGACAGTTTCATATCGACATCGATCAAACTTTCAGCACTAATTTCTTCTCAATAAATCAGAAATTAAATTTGTGATGAGTCTGACCCCTTCTGAAATAACTGAGCACAGATTTCAGCAGCATAAAAACTATGAGATATTTGTGTCATAAAAGAGTTCCGGGTTTAGAATAAATTCATGTTAAAGTCCACCCACACACCCAAAAACATTGTTTGCCACATAAAAACATGGAAAACAGGTGTTTGATATTACTAAACTTGAATTTGAAAAGCTTTTAGGACGATTGATAATGTAAATGTTTGTTGAATTTATCCCCAAAAGAGACTGAGGTATAACATGTTGACCAAAAAAGCAGCATACATTGAATTTCTGCCACATCAACATAAAATTGTGTCTGGTCAAAATCTGTTGTTAGAATGGATAGTAAATTCCCACACATTGATGCCACAAAGTACAATTGGAAATTAATTTGTAACATCGAAATCTATTTACATTAAAAATCATTTCTCTTGAAACAGGAAAAATCTCAACACACAAATCGAGAGTCGTGATTAGCACAGCATAAAAATCGTCTACATACAATTTTATAAACGGCCATCCAGTTCACTTCATTTCTAGGTTTTTGTGATGATATTTGCATAATTAAATTATCCATGGACATGTATCCGCGTGTAAATATGGATATTTATATTGAATGGAACACTTTACGTTGGCTTTCCGCAACGTCGCACATTTGAAGAGCTTGAAAGGGAAATTTTATGCTGCTTTCAAACGGAAAATAGAATTAAATATCTGCTAAATCAATTTAACTTATTTGTAACGAAAACTGAACTGGTTGTTACGTGATTCTATAATTTTTGGCTGATACTTTTAGGACAGACGTTTGGATGTATCCGAACAACAATGTAATTTGCATAAAATGCATTTTCTCTACTTGCGGTGGACTTTCGTTGTCGATGCATCATGCTGCAATATAAAATCAGATTTTCGATTTGAGGATGAACTAAATGAGTGCGAAATTGAATTTGAATCATTTTCAATCGCTCATGTGCACAATGCAATTTGTGTAATTGAAATTTTCCGTGTAATTAAATGCAATTACCTAGATTTAAGTGAATGGGATGTCTTTCATTGTTGTGAATGGAAGGTGGAAGATGTTAATGGTAAAGCTAGAAACAATTCTGTTCAAATGTAATTTCTCTCGACATATTTATTGAAAGACTTTCAAGAAAATATTTTACGAATAGCTTCTCAAATATATTTTCTTTATTTACGACTTCCTTCTGCATGATGTGATAGATGTTATGTTACACTTAATAATGATGTTTGCTTCACCTTAAAATTATTGTATTATGTCGTTGTGAATAATTTATAATTAATCTCCATTCATATCAATTTAACTATATAAATAATCAATTAAACTTTTTATTTTACTTTTCCATTTTCTTCTTTTTTTTCATAATAATTATAATATTGAGGCAGAATGTTACTTATTACTCACTAACATATCCTAAAATTATTTAATGAAAGTGAATTTTGTTGGATTTTATGCAATGACAATGAAAATTTTATTCTCAATGTTGCGAAGGAAAGAAAAATAGAAGCAATGTGAATGATAAATTAAATAATTTGTAATAAAGTCAACAAGCCGTTTGAAATAATGAAAACATTTTTTCCTCTATTTTTATGTTAACTGAAATCATGTTTGAAAATTTAAGGAAATAAAAATTTTAATCAACTATCAAAATGATATCAATCACGTTCATGAAAATCAAAGAATTTTTAATTTTTATGTTTCACATAATAAATCTTTGTCATGTGAAATTTCATATTTCTCATCCAAAGCATGCGAATGCAAAAATGCATTTAGAATTGTCTCAAGATGTTAAATGGAGCGTTTTGGCATGAGAAACTTTTACGTTATTATGCATCAAAGTTCATTTTTAATGTCTAAAAGATGTCAAATAATTATTCACATTGATCGTTTTGGATCATAAACGATTCTCTTTACACAATATTTGTCATCATTCTTATCACATAGAAAATTATGATGTATGGACTCTCGGTAACATTTATTATAATCAATTATGATCAATACAATATATTTTATGATGCTAGTTTTGTGTGTGTATGCTTGTGTTTGGCAATGGTTATTGAACTGTTTCTGCGGCTATTTTTCATGCTCTATTTACACATTTATTGTCGTTACGAACATTAATGAAAAGTTTTGTGTTTTCCTTCTTTTCATCTTCTTTTTTTTGTTGATGATGATGATTCGAATGAAATTGCCAAATTTTGTATTTTTGTTTTGTTTAAGTTGTCAGATGCAAGGTCGAGTTCACATTGAATGTAAAACATTCACATAATTACTGTCATTAAGCCTATTTTTTCTTTCTTCATAAATTATTTTTAGAACCTTCCCTTAAGCACGTCTAACCCAGTGTTGTCTTTGAACTGCTGGTTAAAGTAGTTGTTGTAATTGTTGAATGAAAAATGCATCAACATATTCCAAAACAATGTCATGTCATTGGATGTATACATTGGTTTATTGATTCCATTCAACGACAAAAGTGATTGGAGTGGATGATGATTTGAGCTTTTCATTTTGACGTCATCATCGTCCATGTCTCTTGAAGATATTTCAACGTCACTATTCATCTTGTTTTTATTCTTCAAACTTAAATCCAATACATAAGGTTGATCTGTCTCTTGTTGATGATGCTGCTGCTGTTGTTGTTGCTGTTTATGTTCCATCAATCGATAGTGATGATGTTCATGTTCCATTTTCATGTACGGCTGCTGATGATGATGATGATTAATGGCCATGGTAGGAGATTGCGTCTCTTGCTCGGCCAAAATTCTCGTATTACGGCGTGTTCGTGATTTGATTGGCATATTTGGATTCATTGATCTACACTTCTTACTCGACATATGTGACGAGAATGTTCCCGAATGTGAAAATCGTTTACCGCAACTTGGACATCCTGTACAGATCGTAAAATATTGGAAGAAAAAGGATTGGATTTTATTAAAAGATTTTCCATCTTTTCTTGACGACATTCAAACCGTAAATATTTATGTATGTTAACATTTTATGATATTTTGATTTGAAAACTTACCAAAAGGTTTTTCACCACTATGAATCCGCAAATGTTCTTTCAAATGATGCTTAAACTTAAATGCTTTTCCGCATTCTTCACACTTAAAGCGCCTCAAGTCATGCGATTGGTCGTGTGAGATCATATGACGCTGTAAACGATAAACATTTGCAAACAATTTATTGCAAATTTTGCACTGCAAGAAAAGAGAGGGAAGGATTATGAACCATAAATGAATGATATTGTTCAAATGGTTATTAAACTTTGTTCGTTTTGATGAGTGTCCAATCCGTGTGCACTTGAAAACATTCGTTGTTTGGGAAATGGGTCGTATGGAAAATACTTTTTTTTTATTGAAACATTGAATTTTTCGTACGGGACCCGGTCCCGTCATCTCTTAAAAGCAAAGTAAAAAAAACTTGAGAAAAGGGACAAAAGCATCGCACACATTTTTGACGTGAGTACCAGAGGCGAAGGTGGACACAACTTTTGATAAAGATATCGAAGGAATATCTTTTGTCCGCCCACCTACACCCGTTTCAGACGAAATATCCCTTCGGGGGATTGTCGACATAAAAAAGGAGAAAGAAAAAGAAAAATTCGAATATGAAAAAAGAAAATATGTGAAACATTAAAGTTTATGGGTGAACAATATTATTTTGTGTGCATGTGTCTCCGTTATCAGAGATGGACGCATGAACCCGAAGAAGATGTAAAAAGACCGGAATATTGAGTGGACACTTTCAACCATTTGCCGATGAAGCAAAGAAGAATCTCAAAATTCATCGTCTTTTCTTCTTTACGTTTTCATCGATTTTTCTTGAAAGGAAATAAAAACTTTGACCCCTCCTGTTCTCCTTCTCTCCACTCAAACCCATCACTTCGCTCCATATTTTATAACTTTACAGAAAATTCATTTTCCCATGAATAATTTTTTTTATGTTGTTTATTTTTATTAAATTTCGCAATAAGAAATCCGAGCAACTGCTAAAACATGCTTCAAGGTTCTCGAGGGCAAAACAGAAAAGCGCAGAGAAAAAGTTTTTCTATTACCAACAAAACTGAATTTCTCTTAAAAGGATTGGAAAATCTTTCAATGAGTTAAATCAACGCGTATTGTTTACACTGCATACGAAGTAAGAGTCAAATGTTCATTAGTAAGATTGTTGTAGAAAACGACCCAGTTGGAAGTCAACGCACTTCTTAACTCAACATCAATCAGTTTATTGTTACACACTAAACGCGTTTAACAAACTTTTGCACACGTTTGAAAGAGTTTAATTGGAAATATTTTTGTGCGGAATTTGCAATAAAAAGAAGAGAAACTTTTTCATGAATATTCATTGAGTTGTGATCTAAAGAACAAGATTAAGGCAAAGATTTTTAATTGAATTTCACTTTGTTTGCTGATTCGGATTGCACAAATTTTAATTAAAAGAAGCATCTTGGCCGCGATTTTTAATATATTCAGAAGCAGTAAAATTAAATGGAAGAAATTTGCAGAGATGAGAGATTCAAAAGGATTGAAGAATATCAAAAAGAAAAAAATGAGAGAAGAACTCACCATAGTTGCATTTGAAATGTGCATCAGCTCGTGTTTTTCCAGCAAATCTCGAGTAAGAAACGACGAGGTACAATGAGAGCATGCGTGACCATAGCCACCGAATATGCTGCTATTTAAATTGTTCGGTGAGCTGCTTGAAGAACGCCCATCGCTGTCATGTGAAATACCTGAAGCGGGCGATGACGATGATGTCAATGATGCTGTGTACGTTGATAAGTTCAGTATCGGTGGTTGATGATTCAAGATGTGACCGTCATGGAATGAAAGCTTTGAAGGTGACATTGTGTAGGGAAAAATGGAAAGAACTTTTCTTCGTTTTTTCTTTCACAATCTACTTTTCTCTTCGTTTTACAGAAAAAAATGGTAATGACGACGATGACGTGTGATGAAGCCACTGAAGCTCGAGTGGAGGCGGAAAAAATATCGATTTTTCCCTTAACTCAACTTTTTGTTGTTGTTTATCTCGTAGCCCAACAACAACCAATTTTTGATGAAATGGAAATTGAATTTGAGCGGCTGATGATTTCTCCTCCCTAGAAAAGTTAAATAAAATAAAGAAAAGGAGTTAAAAAATGTAAATTAGAGAATGACAGAAAAAAAATTGTGATGAACGCGTGTTGAAGTAATTTAATTATTTTGACTTCACAACAGCAAACATGCTAGATGAATGTCGAAATGCAAATAAAGATGAGGGCTGTTGCTGAATACGATGGCTGATTAACAAACGCTACAAGTTGCCAGATGCACATGATTACAGGTCTTGATTTATTTTCTACATATTTTCAATTTCCATTTGAAGCATTTCACAAAGCGAATTTTTTTTTAAGTTGAATGTCTATAAATATTTTAGAATTTTAATATTTTTTTAATTTCCACGCCGTGATTTATTGCCCTGAACTTGATTATGACTATGAGAGTTTGTTTTCCGTTTTCGTCTTCTTCTTCGACTTACTTAAATACATCGTGCCGCTAAAAGTTTATTCATGTAAAAGCCAGACCACTAAACAGATCCATGAATCATTTATTAAACCTGAAACTTCCGACTCGTCGCGTTTGGCTTTTCGCTCATGTTTTTATTTTTACACGCATGATGATGAAAATATTATGAAAACTTCTTTTTTTTTATTTTGGAAAAGAATTAAATTTCCACATAATGTTATTTTATGAGCATTTTCCTCTTTCACCAAAAAAAAAAAGAGAAAGAAAATGAAATAAAATCATTTTCATATCCGAACATTAATCTTTAACTTTTTAATCACTTCCAGCTCATACACATTTGTGTTAAAATTTTGTATTCAAACCGTTCATTCTTTATGGTGTTTTAAAATTAGTTTTACGATTGTTTTATAAATAAATTTCACTTCTCTCACCGTCACACGCTAAATGGATGCTGTCATCAGGTAACATCATCGTAGAGTGTGAGTGAAATAGAAGGGAAATGCATACATGAAAATTATTGTTTACATTAGCTTCGATGTTCTATTTACATTTTAAAGAAAAATTTAAATGTGATTTAAACAAATGTTTGTGAAATTTAATCGCAATTCCAGAGTTTTATTCTGTAATAGAACTCAACATGATGTAAAAGTTTTTCTTTTTTGTGAACAAATTTTAATTTATTGTAGATTTTGAATGAGCATTTTATTTATTGAGCTGATTAATTTAAAGTGATTTCTTTATGTGTATTTGATTTGAATTTTTCATTTCAAATCATTTGCAGGGTTGGGATAACTTTTCAGTTTTACTATTTTAATATTTGACCGAGTTTTGCTTTACATCGCTTTATTATTCAAGATTAATTCAACAACAGAAAATTTCTACGTTGAGAAACAAGACAAAAATCTTTAAACTTAGAATAAATGAATGAATCATATCAAGTTTTTGGTAACTTCCAATAAATGATTCATTGCTATGAATAATAATTGGAGTAGAAATAGAAAATGATGCTACAGACGCTCTTCAATATAAAGATTCTTAATTATTTTACACCTGGAGGGTTTGTGCGACAATCAACAAATCTCCAGTTCATCCTAACTCTTGTTGTAAGGATGATTGTTGGGATTTGACATTCCAGATGGCAGTGCCATGAAATGCCTCGATAATGCACACACATAGAATGGATCGTACAAAGCGCGGTCCAATCCACATGATCCATAACCACCACGCCATTCCGTGTAGAAAGTTGCATCTCCAACATAATTCTACCCTCTCGATTTCTTCATCATTGTCAGAACAACGAAAATAATTGAAACTTTTTTGATAACTTTTTCCATCACGGAACGTTTTGAATGTATTTTCAAGAAGACGTTTAAAAGTTTGAAGTGAATGTGATAGGAAAGCTCCCTTAAATATGCAATTTAAGTAAAGATATCTCTTGAGATAAGTGTTATCATGTTAAAAAGGAACGGATGTGCTGAAAATACGCATAAGGTTTATATTTGCACATGAACAAATCTTTTTGCATGAAAGCTTGATATCTTCTGATAAGATTATCATTTTCAAATGGAATTGTTTTCAATCTTACTCAAAGTGTTCTATATTTAAATGATAAGATAAGCCTCAAGTGGACATCTTCTTCATGGCAAACTTATTTGATATTTAATAGTCAAATGTTAATCAAAGACTTTCTAAATAATTCTATACAAGCATTGCTTATCATTCAACAAAATATTCCAAAATCGAACTGAGTTGAATGCACCAAAATTCAAACATTAATTTAATTTTTACAATTATCATAAATCATGTAAGTAGGTACAATAATAAGAAATTAATTACAAATAAAATTTATTAGTTTATTGAATCCACGAGTGTGGAAATTGTTTTCAAAAGCAATTCAGTGAAGCATCTTAGAGCGATGTAAACAAATCCCATCAATGAGAATTCCCCACAAACCTACCAACCTCCATGTTTTCAATATTATAAACTCATAATTTTGTTTAACTTTCATTTTCCTTTCACACTGTATGATTGAAAACTTTTTATTGAAAAATCTTGGGAGTTTCATCTTGAGAAAGCGTTGAAAGATTATGAAAACAATTATAATTGCTGCCGAAATAATAACAAGAAGTTGAATGAGTTCAATGAATCTATTGAAGACAACTTGCCATGTTCGCCCCCACTTTCGTTTTCATTTGAGTAAAATGTAATTAATCCACATGCATAATCATTTCAATTAGCTACCCCAAATATTTTCCTCGACAAAACCTCATTCGCTGTCATTATCTTAACATCCATGCAAGCTTCAATTCGTTACAAATTCACGAATGAAGTTTTATTATCGTTTGTTTCGCTTCAAAAACCGCACTCAATTCTTTTTGCCATTAAAAATATCTCCCTAAGGCTTTTAAGCGAAATTAAAACGAATTAAAATTCCTGGATGGTTTTTTTCAGCAAAGCAACAGCCAGTCGCACCACGAAAAGGTTTAACGAAGTATGCACTCAAAAGCCGCTTAGCTCTATTCACAGAAGGTGTTTAAATGTCGTAATTGGATTAAGGATTTTTATTTCAAAGCACCAGCGATAGGATGCGAAAAATGAATTGTGAAACACCGCTTTTATCATCACAAATTATCCATGGCTCTGTGACTTGGAATAAAAGTGTGAAGAAATAACAAAAAAAAAAGGGAAAGAAGAATGCGAAAATTGGCTAAAGTGAAAATATTTCATAAAATGTTACGGCTTGAAAACAGCGAATGATTTTCCAACATGAAAAGAAGTCGACATAAATTTCAAAGACGGAAGGAATGTTTGCACTTCCGAGCATTTTTAAAAATTCCCAGCTTTATGAGAAAAGAGAAATTTCAAAATAAACTCCCAGGAAATATTTAAGTGCTTGTTCCAATGCATCAACATAAAATTTTTGTGTTACAAAAGAATATTTCTTAGTGGATTGCTTACATAATTTTAGTTACAATTATCAAAAAAATCTTTTGATTAATGATTGATTTACTTGCATAACGAGCTGGGCAATCAAATCTAATCTCATGAATTTTTAATCGCCTTTATAAACATTTCTAATCAATGCCCAACTCTGAATACGACAAACGGAAAGCGCTATTAAATATTTTGAATACATGAAACATGCAAAGAGTTTTCCTCCGTACAGAAATTCTTTAACGAGTGGAAAACAAGCAGTCAAAGTACTGTCGACATCTCATACATTCTCAAGATCAAACAAAAGGAGGATAATGAAGTTCGTTTTTTCTACCAACGATGCTTGTTTTGTTACATTAAACAAATGAACTTTGTGCCAGGAAAGGAACATTCTTTTCGCTTTGATGTCAGGAAAACGTAGGGAAGAAAAAGATGATGCGAAATAATATTTGTGTTTAGTCTTTGCAATAATTTTTTTATGACTTTTTTCCACTCCTTTATTTAATATTCAGCATTGGTGAGATTATGAACTCATAGGGTGAACTGAGATTTTCAATTTAAGTAATTGACAATATCCTTTAATTAATCACACGCACTTAACGTAGCCACACAAGATGAGATGAAAGCCTTAAGGAAACTCCCCTAAATTGCAGGAGATATTTTTCGATACATTTAAAACTTCCACCCTTGATAAACTGTCATAAATTCATCCTCCCATGCACATGACTCTCTTCAATTTACTGATGATGATGAATATAAAAGTCAGAGCATCTAAATAACAACAACAATCAATTTAATAAATTTATAAATCTAACTTACTGAAAAAGAAATGTCACATAACGCAATTGTGTTGTGTTCATGAGGTAAAGAATGAATTTATGACGAAAAGGCGCACAATAGAACAGTAAAGCGGAGAATAAAAAAGAAAATAAGGGAAAACTCTTTCCCAACTCGTCTCACTTCTCATCACATGCGATTTTAGCTGAAAAATCATAAATTTCTTCCTGTTTGACTTGGTAAAAGCGAACTTTTTTTTTTTTCATCTTTTTACCAAAATGAATGGGAAAAATATAGAAAATTTTTATACTTTCCTGTCGGTGTTTTTTAAACATCAGCAAAAGTCTGCTGAACTGATGCTGAAAAGAGCGGCAAGAAACGACAGGAACACGTCATAAAACATTACATGATAGAGGGAAAAAGTTGTGAAAAATATAATAAAATAAGTCGTCATCAGGATGTATGTATGATGTTTGATTATTAAATAACATCAGAGAAGGATGTGGAAACGTAATTACAATTTATGAATAACGAACTGAATGAGTTTGGAATTGTGATGTGTGTTGTAGATTTCATCTAACTTGTGTTACTTGTAAAAAAAGTTAATTTATTTTAAACACATTTTTAAAGTAATAAAATTCATCATTGGACGACATTTGTGAAAGGAATATTTTGGTCTGAGTTCAATTATCGTTGATATTTCATACATCAAATACTCTAACATTGCTTCAACTGCTTCTAAATCCAATTCTATCCGAAAGAAAATCTCTTTCAACCCTTTTTTATGAACCACAATCACATTCACTTATAGAGTAATTTTTTGTTTCTATGCAGAGACGAACTGACATCAAATGACAAATTCAGTTTTATATCTTTCGAAACGGTGTAAAATAAAATATTCCTATTTCCCCGGTAGATAAATTGAAACTTCCAAAAATAATGCACTGACACATCCACAGACACAACTTCTTTATTTATCGTCGACAAACACATGACTTCGATCGAACGCAATAAACAAACGCATTTTTTTCCATTTTCCCTCCTGTTTTTATTGCCTCTTTGTCGAGAATTTATTTTAAATAGCATCAAGTGAAACGCGCCGCAGACAATGACTCGTTTTTCCCCGGTGTTAGAAAAAGAGATATTTAGAAGGTTGAGACGTGAAACTGTATGAATCATCATAGGCAGCATAATACAAATCGACATGTGTACGAGATTTACGATTCTTTTTCCTTCACTTCACTTCACGTTTGACTAATTCTTTAAATATTTTCAAAGACACGGGAATTTTTTTATACGTGAAAACGTAAGGCGTGCAATTTTTCATCACTTTTCAAGAAAAAAAAGTATTGACAGTGAGCTGAGATATTTACAATAGAAAAATTGTGAACAACTTAAATGACGCGTTTATAAAAGAAAACCACAGAGTTTTCCTCACGAAATTCAATTTATTTCCCGTGTATCTTGGTAATATAATACAGGAAAATTAATTTGAATCTTGAATCTTTATCTCATAGACAATTTTAAGAAACCACTTCAAACGTTGAAGTGGGATTAATAGGAGTTCTTCTTTTGCCTTTAAACCAGCCACCGTCAATTCATCAAAAGCCGCATATTTCACGGGTAAAAATTCGATTTGAATACAAAGTTTCAATACTTACTGAAAATTCAGCTTTCGAAATAAATTTTCTTAAGTTTCTTAATCACTTTCCGATTATTTGTCTTTCAAAATTCTTTAACATCAAACGAAATCATTTTCTTCTTCAGGTTATTTGCCACTTTCAACCACAAATGTTAGATTTTCTTATCAATCACTTTCTTATCTCTTGTCTTTGCGGTTTTTAACTTCTTACTTTGTTTGTCAAGAAATTCAATTCGCTTTTTACTTAAAGATCTGATTGGTTCAATTTATGAATTGTAATAAAATTCGTTTAATGTTTTAATCGCACGGAAATTTTCCTCAGCACATTTTTGCTGTCAAACGGCACAGAATACACTGAAAGTCGTTCCCGTCTGTAACAAAAATAGATCTCAACGATGAACAATTCACACAATAACAAAAAGGCGCAAGAAGTGATGATTTTTCTTCGTGAGAGCGAGAGGAAAATTTCATAGAAGATTTTTCCGAAGCACATTTTCCTCCTGTGATCATTTCTCTCATTTTCCGAAAGGAAAATTTGTGGTGGGGAGAAGCGACTCGTGAGTTTTTTTATGTTTGTTACATTTTCTACATTCTCCCACTCTTTGCGAAATGCCACATGTTGTTCAACTGCGCATCGGATGCTGTAAGTTTTCGCGCATGGTAGGGATAATAGTCACTAATCGCTCTCATAAATTAAAGAGTTTCTATGGGATTTCTACCCTTCCTTTCAGCATTTGATCACACCAAAGATTTTCCACCTACCCGAAAAGAAAGAAAAGAAAGCATCTCACGACGCACATCAGAAAAAATACACAAAAGAAGAATATCAAAAGGTGGAGTTTACGAAAAACTCTCTTGGATATTGTCAAAAAGTATTTTTCTTTCTTTGCCTTTCTCTTCGTGCTTTGTTTGGCTTTTTGAGGTTCACATTTTCTCATCTTCCTTTCGTTTTTTTTTTGTCCTCTTCAGCTAAGACAAACATCATGTTTTATCATCAGAAAGTTGCTACTTAAGAGAAGAAAGACAAACAAACTCATGCAGCCTTTTCACTCCATCCCGATGAAGAATGAAGAATGAAGGTACTTTTCCAACATCACTTTTGTGCTGGTTAAAATCAACAATGAAATTGTGTGCTGTGTGGTTTTTCAATTTCTTACTTTTTTTGGGGGGAAATGGGAAATGAGAAGGACTGACGAAGACCAATTTCATTTGCTCGAGGTCACATGGAAAATCATTTTCATCAAAACAAATTCCGTTCCATCACAACGACAAAATCCGTCAATCAATCAAAGTCTTTAGACTCTCTCCTTTCGTTAAGCATGAGTTTCTTGTCTTAGCAAACCTTAGATTTTCTTGTTTCTTCTCTCATGTTCAAAAAAAAATCTTTTTCTTATATTTTGTGGTTTTGAAAGCTTTTCAGATGAATATTGCAAGTTAGAAACAAAGAAGAAAAAAGATTTCATTTCAAAAGAAAGTTTGTGTCGTATATCGAACGTGATCCCCAACATTCCATCATTTTTCCGGGACCAACTGAAACAAAGAAAGGAACATTCGACCGGAAGGAAGCAAAACCTTCACTTACTCTCTTTCCCTTTCACTCACTCACTCATACCACACGCACAACCATCTCATAAAAGAAGTTAATTCATCAAGAGAGTACGAAAGCTTTTTTCCTTTTCTAGAAGGAAGAAGAAGAAGGAAAACTAAGAACCTTTTGATGGCTCTGGGTATTTATTTCATTTTTATGCTCCAACAGATTTATTTTATATTTTAACTCGGGGGAAAATTAAATAATGGGGATTTTCTCGATTTTCCATTCCCAACTCAAGTTGCCACCGTTTGCTTGCTTGCTTACTTACTCACTAACTTGGTTGGTTGCTACTTCTACTGCCCATCCAAGCCATTTAATCAAGGCGAAAAACTTTTCCTTCCTTTACTTTGCCACCACCACCATCGTCCCAATGTTGTGGAAAAGGCGAGCACGAGGGCAAAAAGTAAAACACCCGACAACTAACGACGTAAAGCAAATCAAGATGTCTTTGAGAAAATCGTCGTGTAGCAGCTTAAGGTTAATTAAATGTTTTGTTTAAGACAATGGAAAATGGGTATTTGAGTTAATGATTTTTGACGTTTTCCTTCGTTTTTTCCATTTTATTCTCGGCATTTTCCATGCTTTCGCATCAACTCACACACGATTCGTACTACGAATTGAACGGGGGAATGAATGAAATATCAGAACCCCACCACAGCTACCAATGCCTGATAAGGATGTTCTACAACGAAGCTTTAATCAATTACTCGGATCGTTGGACCTGCCCGACGATAAAATCAAGGAAATGAATTCTTACGACGACCATAAGAAATGGGAGATTTTATGTTCACGAAGCCTAATGAAGATCCATCAATCACCAAGCTTTTATCTACAGAGATTGAAGAGAAGTATCAGGGTTAAAATGACGCAATCAAAGACGGATGTGACGGATATATTGCGAGGATTAGAGGTGTCCTTAAGAACGTATTCGATTGAGTACTTAAAAAGTTTCTCAGATGAAAGAAATTCTCTAAGCAAACTCGTGGATTTCATGACTTCATCGAATTTATCTTCGGAGAATTTTTTAATAATCATCCAATCCTTTAAAGTCATCATGAACGATGCAAATGGTTTTGGAAAGGCAATTAATCATCAGATACTAACAGATAACTTGGTGCGATATCTTCCGACACTCTCAATTAAGAATCGCTGCAATATACTTCAACTGATGGTGATGGCATGTGAGAAATCACAGAAAGGGCTTGATCGAGTTTTAAAAGCTTTGAAAGCTAATGGTAGATTTGAAATTTTAATGGACTTTCTCACGCTTAATAAGGAAAACGAAATTGAACAGATGGTGATTGTTGCAACCCTCAATTTAATTAAACTTATCATCAGCTTGCCAATCGATTTGAATTATCGAGTTTATCTCCAGTACAAGATTTAAGAGATTGGCTTGGACAAAAAACTTCGGGTTTTGACGTTCAATGAGTCGAATCTGACAGCAGAAGTTATCGATGAGATTAAAAGCTTCAAGTCTATGATAATTGATGTAAATCAATTAGCTAAAGATCGCGTTGAAATCAAAGTGAAAGCTAAAGCAGAACTAATGGATGGGGAGAAGCAATCAATTAATTTGGTAAGATTTTTCACAAACCAACATTTCGACCAAAGCTTGAGCTTCAACACAAAAATCTTTTTTTTTCCTTCTTCTCGAAGCTAAAATCTTTCGCATTGAAATCTTTGCGTTATTTTCCATTCTTCTTTTCTCTTCATCCGTCATACGGATTTACATGAAAAATGTTTAATCAAATTAATTCACCGAAAATTTATGTTCTGCAAAAATCCTTCGTCTTATGAAAAACTTTTTCTTTCTCTCTCTTGTCACAGGAAGTTTCGAAGGAATATGGTCGAATGGAGCTGTCTAAAGATTCGGATGTGGATCAAAGGCCGGAAATTTTACAAAAATCTTCAACACCAAAGAGAGAAACGGAGAAGGAAGTGAAAAACACTGAAAAAACTGTCATTCGGCAAGGTCCACCGCCCCCGCCTCTTCCTCCCGCTCTTATATCAATCAAGAAAAAAATTAAACCAAAATGTAATCTTCCGAAATTAAACTGGTAGGCATTGCGTCCAAATCAAGTCCATGGCACCGTCTTTTATGGTCTAAATGATGAACGACTTCGCAAGATCATAAACTTCACTCACTTTGAAGATAAATTTCACATAATTGACAAGTCACAATCGCCGGAAAATTCGTCTTTTGCAAATAGAATTCGAAGTCCGATATTTGTAACCCTCCTCGAGTCAACTCGACTGCGAAATGTCTCCATTGTGCTAAGAAAATTAAATTTCGATGCTGACGTGGCCATTGAAGCCATCAACGATTACAATTTTAATCAGCTGAATCTCGACAGCATTGAGTTGCTAACAAATTTGGCGCCGAAAGATTTGGAAATCGAGGCATATCGAAGCTACATGAAAATGAAGAAGAACATTGCTGTGTTAAGCGAAGAGGATAAATTTCTCATGAAGTTATCACAAGTTGAGCGACTAAAGACAAAACTAACCCTCATGAATTTTATTGGAAACTTTCCTGATCAAATGAATTTGTTGGCGATTCACGCTGTTTCATCCGCATCGTTATCGCTTAAGAGTTCGAAAAAGTTTAAAGGCATTCTTGAGATTATTCTGACAGTTTGCAACTACATGAACGGCAACAAATCAACCGCAACTGTCTATGGGTTTCCATTGAAAGGGACATTGGAGCGGTTAAATGATATTCAATCAAATGATAAGAATTTGTCGCTATTAGAAAACATTGTGAATCTCTTTAAAAAAAACATAACAGAAGAGTTTGTGAGCATTGAAAACAACTGGAACATGTTCATAGAAGAACGCAAATTTTCGAAAAGCTTCACATTAAAAACATTCGAAGTGGTGTCGAGTGAGAAGTTCAACAAGTTGATAAATGAACATAAAATGACCATGAACAATTACAACGATTGTATTTGCTACTTTGGAGAAGAAAATGAAAATTCGATAGATTCCGATGAGTTCTTCTCGATTGTTTGTTAGTTTGTGGCACAATTCGAGGGACGAAGGCACAAGGTCAAGATCTGAAAATTTGTCAAGAACCTTTTCCCAAACTTTCCTTCGTTTTAACCCTTCAAGTTTAATTTTTATTTCTTAAAATATTTTCAATTCGTTTATTTGTTTCGTTCCTTTTACCCTAGAAACAATGTGCCATGTATTGTTGACTTTATTTTTTTTCCTGTTCTATTATGAGAATATAACTAGGAAAAGGGAAACGTCAACGTAGAGCAACCGCAATATTATGTATCGCTTTCTTCAAATTCCAATTAAATTCATTTTAATTGTTTTCCCTAAGAAAAAGGACAAAGTTCTTGATACTTTTACAGTTTGTAAAGGAGACAAGGTTTGTTTACTCTTAGAAAACTTTAGAATGATTATTAGTGGAACAATGAAAGGTTGGTTAGTCAAAGGTTCTTGAAACTTGTTTTTGTTTACGTTGTGAGTCACAACTTATGACATTGCAGTGTAAAAAACTATTTTTTTTGTCCTAAAACGTTTTTTTCAATGATAACAAGCGTGGGCGGGTGCGTATCAACAAAACAGATCGAAAGAAGACAAAATTCTTTCACAAAGAAATGAAAATACTAAATTTTATTATACATATTGTGAAATTTAATGTTATGTGGAGCTTGTAATCTTCTTCTTCACTATGAACATGAAAATTTCCAGTTCACATTCATCCTTCTCCACTTTTACAGAAATTTTTGGGTGAACTTAATACTTTTTATTGCCGTTTTTGTCTTCAACTCTCTCTCATAAAACGTTATTATCATCATTTAATTTTAGGTTTCACTAAACCATCGTATTTCTTCAACGAACTGAGAGAGAAGTTGAAAGGAGATTTGGGAAAGTCGAGGACAACAAAACGCAATCAACTCAACCCCTTCACAAATAAACATTTACTATCAAAGGTAAATTGCAGACGCATATTCGTTACTTAAGAAGAATAATGATCATAAATTATTCACCCTCATTTATAAAACTCTACATCATGCAGCTTCAATCGAACAACACACACTTACGTACTCGATTTTGTGGAAATAAGACGAAGGGATTTCATGCAATAAATTTAACTTTGAATTTCTTTCTTCTTTATGACCACCACCCTTCGTGAAAAAGTCAACGAAACTTCCACTGAGAGTATGAAAATGATTCACCATTGAACATTGCAAAATTGTTGGCATAAACTCCAGTAGCAAAGATTCTTAAATCTTAAGAAGGTAAAATATCTTCTTATAAAACATTTTCTGACTCCATCCATACTTCAAATATATTTAAAAATTTCTCGTTCACTTCTCAGTTTGGCAGTTTTCCGTATAATGAGATTAAAAGTAATAAATTTTATATCGAAATATAATTCGTGCTTGTTGCAAAAGATTTAAAAAAGGGCGCAAAAGCTGCTCATAAATCCTGATGAGAGGTGTATTCACAGAGAATTATTATGTTTTGAATATTGTTCTGCCTTCATCGATCCCTCATCACACGAGGAATTTTCATTGTTTCTTTCTTTATAGTAGATGCAGCAAAGATGTTTGTTCGTTCATTCGCTTATGGATATTTATTAAATATTCTGTTGCATGAGAGAGAAGAGAAAGAAGAAAAGAAAATGAAATGCTTGTTGGGGCGAAATATGAAATGAAAATACCTCAACAAGACCAGGAAAAAAATCTTATGCTCTTCAAAAATGTTTTTGATTAAAAGCCAAACCAAAATGAAAGAAGAGAAAGCTTTGTTATCATAAAAAATATCGTTCGTGTGCGCTTATTCAACATTCTCGTGATGACATGAAAACGAATAAATATTCAGTAGCTAGGATCAGGAGGATTGGAAGCGATTGCCACAAATATCGACGACGACGATGAGATGAGAGAAGAAAGCAAGCGGAAAGGAATAGAATAAACTATAAAAATACATTAACCGAATGCTTTATGAAAATAATAATAAATATTCTTTCGTTTCAACCTTAAGGCAAATAAATTGGAAAATGTAGCGAAGAATGTTGCGACAAGGCGGTAGCAATTCTCTCTCTGTCTCAATTTCATAAAAAATAACGACAAACCATTGATGGGAAAAACGATTTCTAGCGTGTGTATGCGTCGATTATCACACATGACCTGGAGGCTTCGACTTTCTTCTATCGCTGACTTTCTCATTGCTTTGTATTCCTTCATTGACTCCTCTAAATACAAACGAATCAAATATCCTGTGATTTGTGATGAATCTAAATTGGTTTTTCACCGAATCAATACCTCATCTCTCAATCCTCCCCCTCTGGTCTCAATTTTCGATGAAAATATTTATGATTTTTATTTTGAGAATATGCCAAAAGATGAGATAAATTCCGATTTATTATTTAGAAAAAGATATCGAAAGATGTACGTAAGGTAGAACAGAAAAATGTTAAGCATGTTTAAGATGTTAAAACTCCAATCTTATTGGGGGAGAGAAATCTTGGAATTTGATCAAACGTCTAATTGAGTTGATTGGAGAATTTTGATTTCAACAAAAAGGCAATTAATTAAAAATAAACTAACTCTCTCCCTCTTCAACTCGATTGAAATTTCAAGTGGGAGTTTTATTTGTTGCTTCAATGTTTTGAGCTTATCCAATTTGCTTTTCTTCTACGTTTTAAGACAATTTGTAGTTGATTATATTATTGGGAAGGTTTTGAATGAAAAGAGAATTCATTTGATCTCTTTTATGAAATTGTGACGCAACTTATTGAAATTCAAAATAATTTCAAATTGATTTAATAAAATCCTTTCAGGTTTTTCACAGTAAGACCAACCGCAGTATTTTCTTCCTTAATTTCCATTTTCACCCTTTTTATCGTCTTTTCACGTCTGTCCAGAAACATTAACTTCCTTTTATCTTACCAAATTCCATTTCAATCCGTTCGCAAGCCTATTTTTCATTATCACAATTAAAATAATATTTATTTTAAATTAGATTTGTTACTTTTTTCGTGTACTTTTCCTGCCTCACTTCCTTCGCTTTTCATTCGCCTGCGTCTTGATTATTCAATAATAATAAAAGAAAAAAGAAAAACTCTTTCGGGTAGCGCTTGTCCAAACAACAAATTGCGTATTCTTCTCATACTTTCAAAAGTGCGATCTTAATCAACGATTTCATTTGTTTTTCTGTGGTATTTTGAGAAACAATCGAGCAGGAAAACAAGAAGAAAAAAGGGAAAATTTAATTATGAAACCCCTTTTTCCGGGGATATTCATTTTAATTGATTTAAGGTATTATTGCCTTTACCCTTATGGGTTTTAAAAGAAGGCAAAATCAACGAGTGCACGAAATTAACTTACTCGCTTACTGATAAAAATCATTGAAAAAGAAATAAATAAAAACAGTAAGAAGGCAAAAAGATTTTCGTTAAATTTACGTTCGCAGAGATGAACAACAAAAATAAAATTTACTTAAGTAATTTTTTGAATCTTAAGCTCCTTGTGGGAGTTTGGGATTATTGATACTTTACGACAATGACAGTAAATTTCTTTATTGTGTGCAAGTCTTTGCTCTCTTTTTCTTTTGACTTTTCTCGTCTTAATCTTAATGACTAAAGTTTAGAATCAAATGTATGCCAATTAAAATACTTAAGAATTGAAAGAAAGAATATGTTTGAAGGTCTCTCATAAGCCATAAAAACAAAACAATAGCTTAAGTGAATTTATTCATTGAAGTTTTTAGTGATCTATCAAAATTATTATTACCACAAAAAGGATCTTTTTACAACGTCTTAAAACTTTTATATTCAACTATAGTAGATAAATGAGAATGATGTAGTTCCTTTCAATATGTACCTCACTTTCATTCAGTGTTGTCAAGCAATACTTTTTACTTTATTTTAGATTCGTTTTATAACCCATCCAATCTCTTTCCTCTCTTCAATTTCTTAATCTCATCTCATCGCAAATAAAAGAATTAATTCTAAGTGCTTTCTTCTTCACATGTATGTATGGCGCAGATATCACCGTTGAAGAAGTAATAAAAAAATGCTTTAATTCAGTTGAAAACAAACAAAAAATAGTAGAGAATTTGTAATTGGCATTGAGGTCACAAATTGGTTTTATAGCTGGCGTCAATCGTCTTAAGTATTTGAAAAATTCAACGTGAGATGTGCATCAGTGTCGCTTCTAAACAAATTTCTCTTTGAGAACTACGTTGTGTTAGCTTTGGCACATGAATTAGTTAAATCACAAAGTAGAATTAGATTAAACAGCAGAACATCACTCTTCGATGCACCTCATGAACAATCTCAAATTGTTGCTTCGCTTCTTAGTGCAGAAGATGTCTATTAAATAAATAAAGTGAAAATTATTTTTATTTTCGTGACGGCACAACAATTAATTGTCTAAAAAGAATTCAATTCACCTTTTAGCCGAGCATGCTTTCAGGTGAATTTTATTCAAACACATTGCGAAAGAAAATAAATATAAATCTAATTTTACGATCTGAATCTTCTTCTTAGACTTTAAGTTTTCTATTTCTTTTCTAACATCGCACAGGCATTCATTTCTGTTGTTGACGAAAGTGAAAATAAATTGAAAATTGATCAAATTGATAAGTCTAATTTAATAATTCAATTCCCTATCGTCTCTCCAGCAGTCTAAGAAAGTAAAAGACAACAGAAGAGGAAAAAAATAAAAATAAAAACTGTTGATGATTCTTCACTTATGCTCCATCGTTTCACCCTCACTCAATTTAAACGGCTGACGATGAGCATTGATGAGAGGAAGGAAAAGGTGATTTTTTACAGAATCATGATGCTTTTACATTATTCTTCATCACGTCACACATCAACTCACACTTCCACCACTCTCACTTTTATTTCCCCTGGTTGGTTCACATCGCAATCATTTTATACACCCAATTTCATTTTCCATTTAACATCGTTAATATTATTTGTCAATAAAGCACCATTGCCGTATCGTCACAGCAGTTCATGTTATTTTTTTCCTTCTTCTTTCATCGCGATGGGAAAAATTTCTCTCGAAGCAAGAAAAAAAAAGAAAAAGTGTTTGCTGGATATTGACAGGTTTCAAGTAGAAACGCACGAACAGGAAACTTTGACAAAGTAGAAAATTAAAAAGGCAAACGTGGGTGGATACGAGAACTGTAAAAAAAAATTCTTAAACATTCTTGACAACAGGGAAAAGAAAATTGAATTTTCATCGAATTAATTCAATAACAATGTGGAAATTATTTTCTGTCTTTGTCACTTCGTCGAAAGACATGAAAGTCGTTTAGTTTGATTTCAAAATAATTTAATGTGTGTGGGAATAAACGACTAGATATGTTGAATTTGAATGTGAATGTCATTAAATAGTTGATTTCTCATGGAGATTGATTCAAAGAAATGAACATTAATTTGCTGCCAATTAAACATTCATAATTTCAATTTGTTAATTAATAGAAATTTTGAAATGAATTTTCATTTTTAATATGGCATGATCGTTAAGGGAATCCTCGTTATTCCTTGTGACTTTCACAGACGTGATGCAAGTTGAAAAAAAATAGCAAACGATAAAAATTCTTGACTTCGGCGGAAAATGTAGTTGAGAATGTTTGTTTTATTCATTTACGATTGTACTATCGAGAATCATGAAATTATCAGGGGATAGTTTCACTACTTATTACTGAGATAATTTTCCTTTCACTTCAAAAAAGAATGAATGAATGAATTGTCGAGAAAAATACAAAAGTTGCGAACCCTCCAACATCTCGTTACCAGTAAATTCTCTGTGAAATAAACCGTGAAATATGTTTTTGCAAATGCTTTTCTGATCAACTCGACAGAGAACAGATATTCAACGTATGTGGAAAACTTCGTTGAACCACTGCCAGGAAAATCTAAAGTCAGAAATTAAAGATGAAAAACCGAAAGGTATTTTATTTTCAACATGTTCCCAGCATCATATGTGTGGAATAATCCAAGTGAAGCGACATATTAAATACTTTGAGATATTAGATTTAATGAGCGATAGATGTATGAGTAATTTTCCGACTCATATGCTATGGCAGTTCCATTGGATTGTTGATAACAGTAAAAAGCAAAGTCAAGTTGATTTATTTCACGTCTTAAAACTATTCATGAAACATTAAGATTAATAGGAAAGGTGGGAATATATCTTATAGCGCTATGCATCTTTCCTTTAACTTCATTAATTCTTATCAAGAACATCCACCAATATAAAGAGACAAAAATAAATCTAAGCACATGAAGTTTCTTTTGCTTGACTTACTAATTTCTCAGCTACGTTAGCTCAGAAACTACCACTGCTGTGATCACTGTGAGCATTCTTTTCAGTTCTATGAACAATAAATTCACGCTTTTCCAAGTTTGGAGTCCAGGAAATGGTTCCGAGTCAGAGTTAGAATGACAACAAGAAAAAGCAGAAGCATATATTGAACAGCTAACCTGGCGCAAGAAGCACGCAGTGAACATTATTTATTGGAATGTTCCAACCCTTTTTTGACTGTCGCATATTTTTTGTACCTCGACTTACCATCTATGATGAGGGAGGATTCATAATGACATCAAATACTACTACAGTGGTTCTTTTAATGGCTCTTCATGCATTTGAGAATTTAATGTCGCCCCTTTTCTATCTAATAAGAAATAATTATTCATTCATGTGAGAATAATATCAACAAGAACCGCTGGGATTCCTTTCATTTCGACTTTCGGCACTCTGTTGACTTCACCTTCAAGTAATTTTACAAAACATTCCATTCTGCTATATTTGCCGAAATTGTTTTGTTGCGGCATGAAAAATTTTAATTAACCAACGTTGAAGTGCGAGAAGTAGAAGCAACTAAATAGAAAGAAATTAAAAGCCGAGCATATACCTACTTACACTTAAAAACAACTCACATGCCGAGAGAATAAGCATGAAAAGAAGAGTTAATTAAAAATCAACCGCACACATGTTGATGCGTAATTTTATACCCGCTAATTTTTGTTTAATCGCTTCTCTCTACCATCCCCACATGAGTTAATGCAGGAGAGCGGGAGAAGTTGACAAGAAATAAATTTTCATCTTATTATTTTTGCATTAAGAATCGTGCTGAGAAAAACAAAAGGAAAACATAAGAAGGTGCTGAGATGTTCAAAACAAATAAAAAAAACTTTTTTAGGCATTTTATAAATTTTGTATATCACTTGATGATGTTAATTTACTTTTGCTTTTAATAAACAATAAAAATATAATTTCGATGGTAACATTTTTACTAAATTCAGGTTAACAACTTGTTTCAGTTAATGAATGAGAATTGGATGAAGCAAACTTAAAACCGGAATAAGCACAAGTCAAGGCTATAATTTTTACTGCATATAAATATTTGATTTCTTTCTCCGACAAACTTGAAAGTCACTTGTACTTTTTAACAATTTATATTGTTTGCTTAAGTAAAGGGCGGTGAAATTGAAATCTAGACGATTTTGAAATGTAGATAATCAGGAAATTTATTTTTCATTCGAATTTATAACTAGATATACATGTCAACTTTTTCACANTTTTTACTACATATAAATATTTGATTTCTTTCTCCGACAAACTTGAAAGTCACTTGTACTTTTTAACAATTTATATTGTTTGCTTAAGTATGTTGTGTAACATGAAGCTAATTTGGATATGTAGATAATCAGGAAATTTATTTTTCATTCGAATTTATAACTAGATATACATGTCAACTTTTTCACAATATCAAATCTCTTTAAAGAAGAATGTACTAAACCACAAGGTCAATTAAATACATTTGTACGCATAAAAATATTTATGTAATCCGTTTATGCTTTCATACATCAAGAAAAGAAGAACATTTGAAACTTGACATAGTGAAAAGATTTTTTTATTCTCTTCTGTTTCTTCAACTTCTTTATCGTTTTAATTCAATTTTCTTTTAAGAATTGGCTTATGTTTTATGTATAAACATTTCTATTCGCATTGCTCAATTCACTTCATGCGGCAAGATTGAAACAGTTCGCAGTGAAACATGTAAATAGGCGAATGTATGGAATTAAAATGCGTAGTCAGGGGAGATGTCGTGTAATTGGACGGTTACTGTTGAAGACTTTTATGAACTGATTCTTATCATCTGTTTCATATCTGATGCAATGTAATTCGCTATTTGAATTGTTAATCAGCATTTGTGCTGTCGACGTTACATGGAGAGTCCTCCCTTCACTGCAAAGTGACGTCCTATTGTCGACGCCAAGTAGTTTCTTATGGCATTTTATTCATTTTATCATCTGCCATCGGTAGCATCATCAAAGTGAATTGAATCATTTCTCTTCACATCAATAAAGCAAAGCAGTCTTATGCAAATCTCTGCCTTCACAATCAGATGAGATTGCTTATGTTTTCTTCCTCTCTTTCTTCGCATATTTAGTGAAGAAGCAAGTGCTTCACTTTCGGGGATGGAACACCTTTAAGATAAATGGAAAAATATTGCCAAAATGCTTCTTTAACGATCACTGAAAGAATGACGAAGACAATGGTTAGAAGAAAAAAGTGATTTTGGTAAAGGAGAAATATAAAAAAAAGTGATTTCATAAGAAGAAAATCATTAATCATCGTGAGTGTGTGACTGATGAAGGATTGAAAAATGTGTGTATGGATACGTCGGAGCTTGCAACGAACGAACGGCAAATTTTCGGGGATGTTTTTTGATGAAAAATTTGTATTTTTCTTTTCTTCTTTTTTTATTTCTTTCTTCGCTTAACTCATCCCTATGATGATGATTTGCCGAGGCAAAGAGACTGATGATGATGGAGTATTGATTTTTCTTAGTATTTCGTTTGAAATTACTTCGAATAAATTGATGTGGCTATTAGTCTTTTCGCCCTCCACCGACTAGATGATAGCTGGAAAAACAGTTAACCATTTTCTCGTTGATTTTGGTTTCTGTGTTGCTTCCTCCTTCAATCCTAAAGAGTTCATTTTTTATCGCAGGGAGAAAGTTCAACAGGACAATGTCCTTTTGAATAAATCACCTCGTTCTCTTGGAGTAGCTATAAATAAACAACTTTTCTTCTTCATTTCTTACATTTCTTACTTTCGTCCTTTCGCATTCCATTGTCCGAAAGAAAAACAATGAAAGATGAAATAAATATATGATTGCATTCAATAAAAGAAAAGATATTATAATGGGGATTGAAACAAAGGAGAACGACAAGAAAGCAATGAAAATATGAGCGGAAAATTAAAAGGAAATAAAAGTAAATGACTTGAGGAAATTTAATGCTAAAGGGAAATTTGTGATGATTTTGATTTGAGCTTTGACTGTTGTCAGAATAATTGAAATGACGATGACAAAGTTGTCGGTGTTTAATGATTTAACTTTATCTTGTTCAGTTTTTATTATAATTAATCTGAAATGTTTTTATTTCTTGAGGTTCACTGAAGAACAATGAAAACGTTTTTTATTTCCAACACCGACCTTACCTTTCCAACAAATTCAAAGTCAACATGAATAATTGTTCAATTAAATTATTTGCTTGGTTTATTTATTGCTGTTTAATTTCATTCCAAAAATAGGAAATTTCCAGATGAAATGAAAATAAAAAATCTTCACGAGATTTTTAGCATAATTTTCGCATTTTCTCCATCAAACAGTAAAATCACAAAATAATAAAAGTTAAAGATAGAAAGAAGCAGCAACACGAGTCGAAGCAACACAAAACATAAATTTCTTCTCCATTTGATATTGATTCGCTTTTAATGAGCGTATATTGTGATGTTATTTTTAACGGTAGATGACTCGAAGTGAAACGATTTTCTTTCTCTTCTCATCACATTCTTCATTGCAAAGTAATTCTTCCCCAATGACTTTTCCAGCGAGGGAAAAAGATTGAAACCTTCACAAAAGAAATAGAAAAGAAAAAAGAAGAGAAAATAACATTCATTGACTGTCGAGTTATCCCAAGTGCATTGTTCCACGTTTTGCTGTATTGAATTGTTATTTCGTGTTCACTTATTGCTGTAAGTAGCGTGCCAATAAGGCAATAAAATGCCAATGAATTTTCCATTCAGGTAGCAATTTTCTTCTCCCCCTTCGAAACATCGAACAAAGAAAAGCCTTCTGAAAAGATTTCATTTGTAATTGATGTTTTATTTATGATGATGCCGAATACGTTCAACCTCCACAAACAATTTAAGTCTCTCGACGCCAACCTTCTTACACTTACACTTCAACCAAGGAAAAGAGAGACAAAGAAGAGTAGAAGCATTTCATTAAATGATAGCACGTGGATACTTACAACTAATTGATTGACTAAATAAATAGGATCATGTTGGTAATTTATTGCGCTTTTTTGTGTCTAGAGAATGATGAAAATCTCCCGTTCTGATTTTTGTATCGATGTTCTGTTCATGTCAACATTGTTGGAAGAAATTGTTGATGATTTGTAATGAGCAGGAATTATTATTAATTATTTGTGTAAATTGTAGTGTCCAGCAGAAGAAAAAGGGGAAAATGATTCCATCAAAATAAATTGCGTACATTAATTTGACATCTGTCATTGTCAACGATTTTTATTTGTTTACGAGAAGTACTTAAGAGATAGAAGAGTATCGTTCATGTTATGTAATGAGATGCAGTTACCAATCTGCTTACAATTTGTCATTCTTAACTTCGCCAATCGTCTTTTATGAAATCAGCCGCTCGTTCTCCAATCATGAATGATGCAGCATTTGTGTGACTTGTTGTTGACTCGGGAATAATACTCGTGTCCACAACCCTCAACCTTTTCACACCATAAACTTTAAGTTCAGGACTGACAATTGCTGTTGGGTCACTTGACGGCCCCATCTTACAAGTTCCAACTTGATGGTGAAGTGACACACAAAACGTTCTGATTGCACATCGCCAATAGTCATCCGATCCAAATTCATGTTGTGCACAACTTGGAATCGGAATATCATGAACTCTAGTGCCGATTTTCTTAAACGGTTCAGTTTCAATAAGCCTTAGAGTGTACTTAATAGCATCCAAGAGAGTTTCGACATCGTCTGGCTCCTTGAAAAAGTTTGCAAAAAATTTTGGACTACTAAGCGGATTACGATTTCTTAACTCAAGATATCCAACAGATTTTGGATGGAAAAGTGAGAGAACGATGAGAAAAGTGTAAGTTCCCATATTTTCCAATGGCTTATACACTGCATCATAAATCGATGATTGAAGCCTTTCACTTTCTTTCACAGCATAACCACCATCAGTTTGAGGTGTAAGTGCCAGGAGAATTAATTCGACATCAGGAAGACCTGAATGCGGGCTGTTAGATGTCGGTGTTTTAATAAATCCCAAAGCTTCAACGCCATTCGCAATTGTCATAAAACCTTTTCCTCCCAAATATTGGAACATAAATGGAATCACATTTTGGAATCCTAGAAAGTCTGCTGTTGGATTTGTTAAGTTTGTAACGAAGACAAGACCGGGAAATGAAATGTGATCATGCATCTCTTTACCCACAGGAGAATTATGTAATAATGGCACACCAATCCGATCGAGATCATGCTTAGGTCCAATACCTGACAACATTAAAAGTTGTGGTGAATGAAAACTTCCCGCAGACAAAATCACTTCTTTCCTTGCCCATATTAAAATTCGTCGATTTCTTCTGATCATTTCAACGCCGTGAGCAATTCGAGTTTTTGGATTTATTAAAACTTTTGTCGCATGCGTGTTTAACATGATGTGAAGATTCTTTCGTCTCAAAATCGGTTCAATAAACGATTTATAAGCTGAATGCCTTTTTCCATTTAATGTATTCGCTTGAAGATGAGCCACACCGACAGTGTCATCAGAATTATAATCGATTTCATTTAATCCCATCGCTTTATTAGCGTTAATAAAGATATCAGCTATTGGTGTCTTATGCGGATTGTGTTCAACAGCTAGCAATCCACTGTGGTTATGATAATCGGGCTTGTAATAATATTTCAAATTTGCCTTTTCCGATCTTTTAAATGCTGGCAACACAAACTCTTCATAATCCCATCCATAATTGCCTAGTTGAACCCAACGTTCGAAATCTTGTTTTGTTCCACGAGTGTAAAGCATTCCATTGATAACTGATGTTCCCCCCAACGCTCTTCCTCTAGGAAAGCCGCATTGACCATTTTTGAGACCTGTCATGAAGGTCACTCATTAAAAGTGACTTTCACAGCTAACAGAAATTATCATCTTACCGAGACATGCATAAGGTTGTGGTTCTGCATTATATCCCCAGTTATATCTCGTCAAGAACATGTATGGAGCAAGAATTGGAATCTCTTCAATTGGCCCTTCAAGTGTCCCAGCCTCAATCAACAAAACATTCCAATTGGGATTCTCCGTTAAACGATTGGCAAGCACACAACCAGCTGGTCCACTTCCAACAATGATAAAATCATATTCACGCAGATAATTTCTTTCTGAAATATTCGTTTAACTTTAAAATTCTTCGGATCATGAAAAAAAACTTGATTTGACCATTATGAATATTCACTTTCAATTATTATGTCAGCTCGAGTCTTTAAAAATTGTTCAACGAAGGGTGCAAATTTTAAAAATCGATTTTGTCCCGTTACGGTTTGAATTTGTACTATTACGATACATGTGAGCACACAAAACACGATCAGTTTCATTATTTCAAAGACAAAGCTGCGTGTCAACTTTCCTCTGCAAAGCTTTGAACGCGACTGAACCACAAAATACCAAAAATAAAATGAATTTGTAGGCATGTGAAATATAAACGCAATAACAATCAACGGTGTTGATCAGTGAAAAGAGACAAAACGAAATTCATGTACACAAGATGCAATAAATTTTATGGATTCATATCAGGTTTTAAACATCATTTGTATCAATTTTTTTTTGTCTTTTTTTTATTTCAACATGCCTCTGTAAACATTGTAGTTAAACTACGATAAGTAGCTCATGCAATTTATAAAAATGTTTTTAATTGTTAACACGGTTAAACCTCCGTTCTTCCGAATTTGTTAAATACTTCTGGATTACTTGTTGTGAATTTAAGAATACGAAAAATTTGCAAATCACCTTGACTCTTCAAATGTTTCGAACTTCCACACCATCAATTTGGAATTCATAAGGCAATAAAGCGGTGTTGTTGTTATACTTGTACATAAATCAACGAAGAATTGAAAAGTTATTTAGATTCTGACCACGCATTCTTAAATTTCTTAAAATATGGTATCGGCGATTCAACTCCCATTAGATTAGAGAATTAAGTTGACGTTTATTATGTTTCTTTCACAAAGCAAACAGGTCCCCATTCACTATCCCATTGCTTTTTTAGATATTTTATTTTATGATTTTGACACTTCACATCTTAATAAACACCTTCAATAAAAGATTAATAAAATTAAGAAAGGTATCAATTCATTGAACTCAAAGTTTTAATCTAGCTCGATTTTTTTTATATTTGATAAATGTGTGGAAACACGTAATTAAAATACTTGAAGTCTACCTTGGAAATTATGAAAGTTAATTTAAGTTAGATACATAGATTGAGATATAAAGAAATAATTAAACATCGTCAACAAAATGTCAATATCAAGCTTCAAATCTAAAATTACGGTTTTTAGAAAAGTGATTAGTTTTTTGTGGCTATAACTGATCATTAATTGAATTAATAATTGCAAGTCTCACGCGAATTTTTTTAATTTGAAGAAAGTGAAAACACGTGGTTAAAAGACTTGAAGTACATTCGAAGTTATGAAAGTTAATTTAAGTTACTCGATGTCTTCTCTTAAATAACTAAATATGGGAATTGATACAAGAAAAGGTCAATACTTGCTAAAAAAATCAAAACAAAGATTTTTTTGGCAAAGTCATTACCTCCAGGTTTGGTTCAAAACAAATTTGAATTTAAATTTGACGAAATCTGATAGCTTTTTATTACAGCTTATCTCTTACTTCAGCTTCACAACACAAACATAACTAAGTAATATATGTTAATGTACTTACAATGATTTTATCTCATAAACTCATAAAGATTAAAAAGCTTATTTCGATAAATTAACAAATCACCTGTTTTCGCTTTTGTTTTAAAGCCTTTCATGATTTATTGCCATCAATTATGAATAGATAAATGTTAATGAGTTTACAATTTGTTAACTCTCACGATAATCGAATAGAAAATGAAATGTCAGCTCAAAGAGAGAGAAATAAAGAAAACGAAACAACGAGAAATGTTGTCATAATTTATGTGAGATTTGTGAATTGTACGTCATGTGGCCAATAACGTGATAAAACAAACAAATAAAATTCGACAGAAAAAACAGCGAGTAATAAAACCAAATCAATCTTGTGACCTCTCCAAACATCAACATAAGTCAGCTGATAACGCTTTTCAAATCGATCCCATTCTCAGTTTCTCTATCAGTTGACTCGTAACTTTCAAACCATTCGACTCTTCACTGAACATTAATTTTATTCAATTGAAGAAATAATGACTTTAATTAAGTTTTGTCTTTCGCGTAATTTTAATAAAACTTTCTCAATTAAAAATTTGAGATCATTTTCATCGTCTTCGGAAGGAAAAGAGCAAGAACGTGCCAAGAAAACATCATTATTTGACTTTCATGTTGCACGCGGTGGTAAAATCGTCAACTTTGCTGGATACTTGTTGCCAGTTCAATATGCTGATCAAGGCATAGCTCAATCGCATGTACACACAAGGACAGCGGGTTGCGCTTCAATTTTTGATGTTGGTTTTTACATAAATTTCCTACAATTTCTGTATCATCAACAAAGAAACAATTTTTTCAGGTTTCACATATGCTACAAACCTACATAACTGGAAAAGATGCCATCGAATGCTTTGAAAATATAACAACAGCGGATATTCAAGGACTGCCTAAGGGAAGTGGGTCTTTGACAGTGTTTACAAATGAAAAAGCTGGAATTCTTGATGACTTGATTGTCAATCGAGTCAACTCAAAATTCCTTTACATTGTCTCAAATGCTGCAAGAAAGGAACATGACAGTCAATTGATTCTTGATACCGTTGATAGATTTCGTGGAAAAGGTAAAGCCGTCGATGTGAAATTCTTCGATCCAATGGAACGAGCTTTGTTAGCTTTTCAAGGGTCAGCAGCTGCTAAAGTCCTACAAGAACTGACAAATGTTAATCTCAGTGAGTTATTTTTCATGAACACAATCGAAGCAGAAGTTGCTGGTGTTAAAGACTGCAGAATAACTCGATGTGGTTACACTGGTGAAGATGGATTTGAAATCTCCATTCCAGCTGATAAAGGAAGATTCATTACTGAAGTTTTACTTGACTCGAAAGCTGGAAATGTTAAACTTGCTGGTTTAGGAGCGAGGGATTCGTTGAGACTCGAAGCAGGTTTATGTCTCTATGGCAATGACATTGACGAATCAACAACTCCCATTGAAGCTGGTCTTGCTTGGCTAGTCGCTAAACGTCGACGAACTGAAAAAGATTTTCCAGGTGCTCAAACAGTTTTAAATCAACTACAAAATGGTTGCACAAAACGAAGAGTTGGAATTGTTCTCAAGTCGGGACCACCAGCACGACATGGTGTGGAAATTTTCGTCAATGGAAACAAAGTTGGAACTGTCACAAGTGGTTGTCCATCGCCAGTGTTGAACTTTAATATTTCCATGGGCTATGTACAAGAAGAATACAAAAAGCCAGGAACCAAAGTCGATCTTAAAATCCGCGATAAACTCTACAATGCTGAAATCTCAAAAATGCCATTTGTTCCATCAAATTACTACCAGAAGCCAAAGTCATAAATTTTTTTCCGACGAATTTTATGTAGTTTGATAAGGAATGCGAGAAATTTTTCGTAAGCTCTCGTTTTCGACTTTTTCATGGTCATTAAACTTCATCAAGATGCTTTGTGAGCTTCGTTTTCTCATGTTCCGTTTAATTAAAATAAATTAGTTTGTAAAAATATTTCTACTGTTGTGTGTGAAACAGGAAAAGAAAGATGAGAACCTTAGGAGAGGAAGGGAAGTTATTTTAATCTTGTAAGAAAATTTGATAAATTTTTTATGTTAGTTAAATTTCTTAAACTTCAAACCAACTCATGGTCGATAAAATTTGTTATTCTTTAAATTAAATAAACGTTTGAAAGTGAAAGCCTGAATTCTTCTTACTCAAAGCCCTTCACATCACTTCTTAAAGGTTCTCTTAATCCCTCAAAACTTTCCTTTTCTAAATATTACGTTTCCTCATGACTCCCAAAAGATCTTATGGATAATGATTATTTGTTCTCCTTTTTCTTTTTCTTTTTTTTGTTTTGAAGAAAATGAACTCAGACATGTTTCTTGCTGTTCGAGGAGAATAATTTTTAATTCATTAAAAAACTTATTCCTGAGGAATGTTACAAGAAGAAGCTCTTAGAAGAGATAAGAATGTAAAGTTGATTTCCGTTATGCTGAGGCCGATCTTACATCTAAACTCAACTCAACTCATTAAACCAAAATTGGTTTTCGTCCGAAAAAATTTTATTTCCTTCGAAATTCCAACGTTTTCCATCCAAGTATGAAGCATCATCATCATCATCTTAGAATCTTAGGCATCATAAGATGCAAATTCAAATTCCCTAAGAACACACTGAAGCAACAAGAATCATGATAATGAAAATTAAAAAAAGAAAAATCCATTATTTCCATCTTCAATGAAAATTGAAAACAAATTTTCCACATTATAACAAAATGAGTGAGTGAGTGAGGGCTACTCTCGCTTTGCTTTATAATGAATGGTATCTGGTATGCCTTGATTGTATCATATCAAACATTATTAGAATTTTCCGGAGAGTTCTCGACGTCGCTTCCGGCAGTGTATTGATGAGTTTTTTCAATTTTTAGGTTTTTATTTCTTTATTAAAAAACTCAATGGTGGAAGATGTTATTGAGTGAGGTTCGTCATCATCAATTAAATCAAAAAATTTTGTATTGGAACCTTTAATCTCCCTATTTTCAGATTTAGAATTCAGACAAGGATCAAAATATTTATTTCTTGACAGAAAATCGGCATGATTATTAGAGTAAGTAATTAAATTTAATGTTCACCTGTCAGTGTAAGCAAAGACTTAATTAACAGTAATTCCTTAAATACGGAACCTTAAAATGAATTTAATAATATAAAAATATATTCTGAACTTCTACCACGCTATGGTATTAAAAAAGATTTTCTCTTGCCTCAAATGTAATTATCATTTTTCATTTCCTCAACATTTTTTTTATTCTGTTTACCATTTCCCACCGAGTTGGTCATTCCATTGTTCACGACGTCTAACTCTACCAGACAACCAACGCTCCCAAACGTATTTAAAATAATTTAATTTGTCGTAGAAATGTCGGATGTTGGAAGAAAAATTGAATTGACCGGACGAGTTTTTCAATTATGATTTTCATGAAAGCTCCCAGACACGATGCATTCTCGCATTTGAAAGAAGTTCCATGACAAGAGACTCATTACTTTTAATGACTTACCGGGGTCAGAAGGTTAGCTTCGGACATCGAAGCATACTTTTTAATGATGCAAATTTGTTTGCACTTCTTCTTGTCCATTTGAGTGTTTTGAATGAAAGAAACTTTTCAAAATTTTACTCATTCCAAATGCCCACAGCAATTTCTCATTATTTTTAATCTTCATGCTGAACAAATTGGTTGATTTTTATGTGTTGATAAAATCCGGGGAAATCCTTAAAATTGATATTATGTTTCAGTTCGGATCCCCTTTTCCTTCCGATCATCTTTATTGTCGTCATTTTTCTTCAGTGAAGGAAGGAAAACTGCAAACAACATTATCGGAGAATGTGCGTCGTACCTTAAGTTTAGAAAATTCCCATCGCAGACAAACATGAACATCAAATCAAATTTAACGATGTTTTTCCGGGTGTCTCTGTAAATACCTGTCAATGAAGTGGAAGGAGAAACAATTCACTAACTCAGCATCTTTCAACCCTAACACACACACAAAAAGATTCTCTCGTAATCGTATCACTTTTATTGAAATCACATTCAATGAAAAGGATACGCGGGAACATTGATTTGAATTTTATGTTATTACGTAAATCTGAAATTGATATTTGCTAGCTACGAAGTCAACGGGATTTGCTTGCTTTCGTCGTTGACTGCAATAAAACTAACTGCTCGTATGCTTTCTCGTTTACGATCGAAAGAAGTGAGAAAAGCCAGGAGAAAATCTTTTAAATTGTTATTGGAAAATTCTATTGTGTCAAATAAAAGGTTCAATAAATTTTCCAATGTGCCGTGCCGCCGTGTGTTATGTCATTGTGAACCCAGAAGAAAATACGCGATTTCAGTGAAATATTTCTCACAACTTAGAAAGGAAAAAGTTATTTTCAGACTGGGCTGAGAGAAGTCGAAACAATTGTTTACACATGTTAATAATTCTCGACTTAAACGAAAGGAAAATTCTTATGTAAATTTTCTCATGCTGAGACTTTTACTGTTGTAACTTTTCACCATTTCGGCTCGTGCAAGGTTAAATAAAGGCAAGCAAGGCAACAACAAAAGGACGTATGGAGGGACATGAAATTTGTTCCTTTTTTCCCCCTTAAAACCTTTTCAACTTCTCTTCGTGATCTCCACTGGAGAAGAAAATTTTGTTTGATGAAAAGAATTAATTTTGTATCAAGATTGTAGTTTTCAAACGGAATGTCCATCTTGTCCCCGATCGATTAATTTCCATATTTTAATTAGTTTTCCTTCTCTTGACTTTCAATCTTTCATCTGACTTTCTTCTCTGATTTCTTATTCTTCCTTCATTCCTCTGTCCTTGTGCTCGAACCCCGGAAAATGACAAGAAAATTTTTTCAATTAAAAACTTTTTTCCACTTTGTAATTAAAACAAGAATTTCTCGCAGTTTTCTTGTTCGTCGATATCGATATTTTGGACGGGGTGAAAGGATTTTCTCGTGCCAATCGAATGGTGGAAGTTATTAACATATTTCGTTCGAACATTATAATTCCGAGTTCCCATGATTTCTCACGTCTACCAATTAATTTTCTTCAACGCCGCACATTCTTGAATGATTTATTCCCAATTAATTACAACGGCTGAACTATGTCGGAAGCATTTGGAAGTTCTATGATGCGATTGTGTGTCAATTCTTTCTCATTCAAGCTAATTAAGACTTTTATCTGCACATCTCATTAAACTCGAAAGGTTTTCCTTATGAAACTTTTTTTCTTCTCATTTTATGTCGCCAGACAAAAGAAAATTCCGTCACAATGAAACCCATCATTTGCAGCAATTATGCTGTTTTCGACGTTTCATTTACGACTATTGAAATTTTTCATTTTTCTAACCGCTGCGATGGAGCAAACACAAGAAGAAAGAGAATGAAATGCATTCTCTCAAGTGCAAGCACATCAAGTGCAAAGAAACGAACAAACAATAGCATAAAAGATAATTTTTCACGAGAAATGTCTTTGACTTTATTCTTTGTGTCTCAAAACAGTCGAAGCAAGGTATTCACATTAACATTGTTCTGGTTGTTGTTCACCAAACATATGCAAATATATCAAACTTTTTACCAAAACACATTTAATTAAGAGTCTTAAATGACTCAAAAGAGGGAAAGAGAGAAACAAAGCAAAAGTTTTCCACGACGAGTCGAAATCTTCTTTACAAAATCACTTCAATAAATCTTAAAATTAGGTTTAATTATTAATTAACCATAATACCTTTTAATTATTTAAATTATCCCTCAAAAACTCTCTCAATTCTCGTCTAAGATATTGCCTAATACAAAAAAAGCGACGATGTTGCTTTTGACTTTCATGTTTCGACGGTTATAATTACTTCAGTAAACAGAATAAACCGTGAATATTTAATGCGCGACTTTTTATCCACGTTTTTGAAATGGTTCAAGTTTACGAATATTCCATGGATACTTTTTTACCTCGCTGAAATATCTTCCAACACAAAATCTTTTTCTTTTGATTGTGACGGAATTGACAAACGTTTTCCAAAAAAAGAAAAAAATTGAATCCAAAATTTCTCTGAAAAATCAAAAGAAAAAAGTTGAAAAGAAAAACAACTCCTGATTTTAACTTAAGCGCTTTTCTTCTGGGAAAGTAGATTTTTCCACCTCATCCTTCATTTAAATCTTTACCGTAAACAGAAGACGAACAACTTCTGGGGCTCGTGTATTTGTCTACTTTACATTTTGATTTTATCGCTTTTTGGTGAACTCCCTTTTTCGATTAAAACAATTTTCCTTATTTAAGTAGAAAGTCGATAAAAATCAACGCGAAAAAGGTAAACATAAAAGTAAAAAGTTTCTTAATTAAATTAATCGTTGAACGACAGAAGCAAAGCAAAGTTGGTAAAAATTCAAATGAGCTGTGATTCACTAGGTTTTTATTAAGACAACGTTTTCTAACTTTAGCTTTTTGCGAGGGAAGTAATGAAAATTAAAAAGACTTATGGATGATGTTGCTGAGGGAAGGGAGAAGATGATGAGATAAATTAGCTTTCATCTCAATTGCTGTTACTAAGGTGGGGGACCAGAAATTTTAATGACTTTTTTATTCGTCCTTAATTCATCGGAATTGATCATCAATTGGATATCAAAATTTCCCTAGGATATTCGTTTTATTTCTTCGACTATCACCTCAAACCAACAAAGAAACAAAAAAAATTGTTTGACGTATTTCAACTCAACTTAATAATCTTTGATTAAGGAGAAGATTTTTACAAAATTATTGACGCTTTATGTCTGCTAGTCACAAGAACTCATATCAGTTCATTTATATTACGATGTTCATCCTTTTTTCGTCGAGAATCGATAACATCAGCAGAAAAAACCAAACGCAAAAGGCAATGATGGATATAATAAACTATCATCTCTTAACTTCTCAAAAAAAAGGAGGTGTTTGATATTTCATATGAGGTAGCTGTATGTGTGTGTTTGGATAACGAAAGCATAACGATAACAAGATGAAGGACTAAAGGGAGATAACTCCCAAAAAGGAACGAGCTGATATCATTCTTAATGTACCAAATATTTGTTCAGACGATATTTGAACTGCAAATAGCTTTTAATGGGATAAAATTTCATATTTTTGCGTTAGACACAAAAGGATGGAAATGAATCCATCAAGAGATGAACGTAAAGGGTGAGAATGAAGTTGAGGAAGATTCTTCCGTTATATGATGTACCTAATGAATATCTGTTAGAAACCTCTTCGTTATGTAAATTATCTCGGTAGCTAATGACTCTGTCGCGAATGTTGAAGGAAGCATGTCCGACAAGACAAAGTTTAAAAGTTATGACAATGAAAGATATTTCATAACTTTCACTAAATTGATAACTGATGTTGAAAAATAGAAAAAGCAATCAGAAAAACACTTCAGGGGACTTTTGAATATTAATTACCCCATCGTCACACTCACTTCTCAGTTACACACCGATGGACCGTCAGAAACAAATAATAAAGTCATATTTTTTCAATTACTTACTCTCATTGTTTTCCCAAGGAAATTTATGTTTAAAAAGCAATGAAAAAAAATATTTCAGATTCATGTTGGTTTCGTTAATCATTTCTGTAACCTTAAAATGAATGAAAAGAAGCTTCAAAGATAAACTGAAAGGTCGGAACCTTCATTCAGTTCCACAAGCCTCGTAGAGATTTCTTTCTTTCAATTCTCTTATTTTTTATGAACACCTCATTAAACCGTCGTCCCCTGAAGCCAAGGGAAAACAAAAACACGCGAAGAGAGAGAAAAGCAAGGCGGAAACCCCTCAGCAAAGGAATTTTTCGTGAATTTATTAAAAAAAGTGTAATTTATATTTTACACTTGGCAAGATGAATACACGCGATCAACGGAAAGATGAAAATGAAGAAGAAAACATTTTTCAATCTCACACGTCAATGGCGCTTTTCATTACAAATTGCAATTTCCTGAAGGCCTTGATCAACTGTCGCTGACACTTCTTAATGCTACTTACACCTTATTAAATGGAAATCACCAATTTTTCGTGAAGAGATTTGTTGTTCTTTAAATTTCAAGATTCGTTGGATTTATTCTCTTGGAATTTGATTTTTATGCAAATGAATTTTGTCAATGACTTGAGATGGAAAACTTACACACTTCCCACTTTCTCAACAAACATCTCAAGAGGTGGCACGAGGGCAATAAAACTTTGACTATAAATCGGCGGATTCTCATAACTGCTGTCTCATTCTTGGAAGGGTTCTTTTTCTCTTCTCGACATTACATTCACCATCGAATCCAAGAAAAAGAATCATAAGTTTAATTTTTAGACACAAATTTATTTATTGGCGTGGCGCGCGCGAAAGGATATTAAATGGGATTTATGCCAAAGCAATTTTTAATGGTTTATGATTTTATTATTCGACAATTTCTTATCCTTTTCATTTTATCAACAAATTGGCTCAGACATTTTTTTATATTTATTTATTTATGTTGACTTTCTTGTATATTTTCGCTCTTTCTCTTGTTCCGAGATGAAGCCTATTAGGAAGACGATGGCAATGGCGATGACATGATTGGCTTTAAAATGAATGTGGTTGACTAGAAGTCTATTGTCTGCTTATTATTAATCTATCTTAATATCAACAAATCGAAAAAAATATTTTCTGCCAACAATTATTCGAATCATTTTTCATTGTGGAAGAAGATTCAAGACTTGAAGATTCGGATTTAACAATAAATTCAAATCATAACAACCCATTCGCTTTTATTGTTTTTATTGCCATTTTAACCCGCTCTCTTCGTCATTTGATGGGAAATGTTAATTGTTAATTTAATTTTTCACTCATTTTCTTACATTTCTAAGAATGAATGTAGACTTTTCATTTCTTTTATTTCCTCGATTCAAACATTTTATGTCACGCAGTTATCCACGACAAGAATTCGCGTCGAGAGTGTTCGATTAAATGAGCCGCTTTTATTTCAATTTCACTCTCTCTTGTCGACTGATGCGGATGATGAAAAAAGAAAATGAATTTTAATTCTATTTGCAACTTGAATCATCGTGGATAATAATTAAGGAAAATATTTCTCAAACTTTTCTTCTTTACATTTTTTTGTTGTAGTAAAATAATTCGAGACTGACAAGTTCTGTAAAACTTTAAGGAAAGAGAAATGAAATGAGTGGAAAACTGTTGACGAAAAGAAACTTGTCATAATTTTTATGATGATGACTTTTACAACTCATTGTCGTGAAATGCAACGTCCTTTTCATCATTTCCAACTACCATACGATGGCATCGCATCACATTATTCTACGGTTGTAATCACAAATTTCACATTTTCTTTTAAATTCAAGAAATATGCTACGATTGTTTGTTTTATGGTGTGCAGCAGCGTTGCTTTCGTGTGATGATGAAGCAATGTAAAGGGGATGAGATGGAAAATTCATCAGATCAGGATGGCGCACAGCATACGGATCAATTCACAACCATTGAGGATAATGATGGGTTCAAAGGACAACAACGATGAGTAGAAGTATGACAGATTTTCTTTATGATTTTATTACACTTTTCCCGTTGTTTCCCGCCCACCAACCGCACGGCAAAAATCACACAAAATTTAATATCAAAAAGTAAATTCAATGTTGATGATGATGATCTGTTTCGTCCCCGTTTCTTCAACGACAAATATTTCATAATTCGTTCTTTTTTTATTATTTCATGTCATTTGAATTGTAATTAAGGACTCTTGTCGATGAGTGATTCTTCAGAAACCATCAAAAAATAAAAGAGAAAAAAGCGATTCACTGTTGCGTGAAACAAAAGTAAAATGTTGAAGTCGCGGACAAAGTTAAAAGTTCCCTGAAGTACAATTTTAGTGGTTGTTTCAACGACCCAACAACCCTCATGGGAAATTGTTTTTATTCTCAGGAGATACTTTTATAACTTATCTTATGGTGGTGGAAGGAAAGAAGAAAAATTACTTTACAATTTTCCCTAACGGTCGTTAACATCAGAAAACAATTGAAAAGAAATTTTTCCGATGAAGATGCAAATTAATTTTCCACGACAGGAGCTTAAACTTCAATTTGAATTTTCACCAATTTTCCATTTATCTTCGATTGAGTTTTAAAGCCAATCGAAAGGCCATCAAATCAAGAACTTTTCATTGCGTTTTAAAACACTTTTGTGAGGATTATTTACAAGCTCTGTGAAATTCTCTGATTTCATTCGATATTTCAACATTTTTAAGATAACGAAAGAAAAACGAATAATCTTCCAACGCAATTGTTTCGATTACAAACTCGAAATGAATTTCCATCCAGTTAACTTTAAAGCCAAAATAAAATAAAATTAGCATTTGAAAATTGAATTTTATCTTTGATTATTCAAAGTGATTGAAAATATTCTTCATGATTATTGCGTGGGAGAAAAAGAAAACGTTTGCTTAAAGTTGTAAATATTTAGGACATTTGAAAGTCAAGATGATATTGAAACATCTTTCTTGGAGCTACTCATACTTATTATCATGACGATCTGTTTATCATAACTCCATCTCCAACAACGCTCGAAACGAAGATATCGCAACAATATTTCTCTAATCGAAAAAAAGAAAAAGACAATAATAAAGGAAGAATGTTGTGATATCAAATTTTATTGTTAATTATGTGCGACATTAACGCAATGGCAGTTAAATAATTTTTTTAATGTTCCACTCTTCGGACATCAAAAGATCAAAATTAATTATCTTTTATAGATTCATCATGGCCCTCATGATAATTAAATTGGACACAAGCGTGCAGTTGTCGTGCTGTTGACGGTGCTGATGTTTTGAAATTTCCATTTATTCGATTGGAATTTTTATAGCAATTAAGTTGATTGAAAATTACTCGCGAAAGTTTCTTTTCAGCGTCTCCACCACTGTCAAAGATCGTTCTTCATCCACTTTCTATCTTCTTCTAACGAACACAAACCAATCATAATGATTTCATAATTTTTTAATGTCCATCATAGTTAATAGCATCACATTTTCACTGGTGCGCGATTAATAACTTTCATTAATAACTTTTCTCGAATGTTGCCAATAAAATTTTATTTTTATATCAAATTGTATCAACTTTCATAGCGTCTCTCATTCCCTTTTGATACAACTAAAGTCAATGTAGAAAACAACACGCGCCTAAACTGAATTAGGTGGTAATGAAAACGGGACATGGAGAAGACCCATCAAAAACGATTCTAATTAAAGATTTTTATTGGGCACTTTACGTTTGACGAGATGACGAGTTATGTCATTAAAATAATGTTCGTTCGCCGTGCGGTTAATTTTAAAAGCGAAAAAGAGATTTGAACACTTTTAAAAGGGGTTGCTGCATTTCATTGAAGTGTATTGCATTTTATTGCCCGTCCCAATTGTTTAACATGCAAAGATGATGAGTTATAAATTAAAATTAATAGCTCAACGAGATGAAATTTCCATCAGATATTTTTTTTCAATCGACGAAAAAATAAAATTAAAAGCGATTCATAAAGGATGTGCAGTGATTTTTCCTTCTCGATGTGCAAAGGCAGTAAAAAAATGGAAAAAGCAAGTGAAGGAAGAGAAACGACGAATATTTTTTATCGTTCAAAGTCCACGATTCATGTTTCCACCCCCGCACATCGACCAGAAAATTATATTTTTTATTTCTTTTTGCCCATGTATCATCTACTAGCAGCAAGTCTTCGCCGATGATCCACGAACAGCTCAAAGCCACTAATTCAAATGAATTTATTATCGAGGACATGGATGAAATTTCAAAGAATGCGGGGATGAAAATAATGTTGCAAACAAAGGAGAGAACTAAAACAAATTTAAATCCGTAATCTGGAAGATGAAAAATTTGTTCTTATGAAGAAAGAAGATCATGCGACGTAATCTCATCTTTGAAAGCCACTTGAATAACTCACAGAAAGGGAATCCAATGAATCTTGTTAAAATATGATTTATTTAAATCTTGGAGAAACATGCTTCTTAAAAGGATAAATCTTATGGAAAGAAATGAAGAGTGTAACATTGTGGGAAAATATCCGATAATAAAAAAAAAGAAGTTGAATTGAAATTAGAAAATGAATCGAAAGTCAACGATCTTCAAACTTCTTGATAACTGTACAAATGAAACTTTGATTACTTTCGAAAGCAATAAAAACTCTCATAAATATATAAATAATTGTTTCTGTTGTCAACATTATCAGAGCACTTAATAAATAATAGAATAGAATAGCAACTTAATGTTCCTCAGGAAAGAGAGAAAATTGAAAACTTTTCTTATTATAGACAATTCATGTGTGTAAATTAATGGAATGATATAACATCTAACACTAAATACTGCGACGAGTAACACAAATAAGCGAAAACTTTTCAAATTGCTTATGCACATTAGAAAATTCATAAACCATCCGTATTCATATTTTAGCCGTAGATTGAGTCACATAATCCATGTTGAAGAAGATTCAAGTGAAAATTTAATTTCCCTGCGATAGAAGAAAACTAATTCATGCACATATAAAGCTATTGAAATGAAAAACGATTCACACAGGATTCTCATGCATGTTTTGTGGGAAATCAGGAGTGAAATCTTCAACAGGGATGTTTTGTAAATGATTTCTAAACTTCAAAGTAATAATGAAGGATTTTTTAGTATAAAAATATTTAATGTTTGACATCATAAATTCATTTTTGTTTTCATTCGTAACATTATCAAATTTGCATGTTACATAAACTTAAAATAATTCCTCTTTAAATTATTATCAGTTTCACTATTTTCTCCTCCTACTTGTTGTCACCGCACAATGTAGAATGAGCACACATGAAACTTTGATTAGGAAAATGAAAAATGTTTGGGAAATAAAGAGAATTCTTCCTTTTTCCGCATACAGAAATTTTTCAACTAATATTTCATTAAATGCTCGTTGCTCGAGGAGTTGAAAAAGAAGTTTTTAGGAGAATGAGATTGTATGAAATGCTGAGAGAAAATTTAATTCTTTTAGAATCATGTAAGTCGCTATTGTGAAGATTTGTTCTATCAGTGACGGGTTTATATAAACTGCATCTTCCTACCAACATCCTTCCATCTTCCAAGTCTTCCCTCACTCTGACCAAAGACAAAAGCACAAGAATAAAAATAAACAAAAAAAGTTTTTTTTATTCTTTCAGCACAGAACTGTTTGTGAAATAAATGTTGATTTGCTGTTCAACTTCAGTATTATAAATACAATTAAAATGCATTTTAATTCTTTCATCTTCCTTCCTGAATGAATAATAAAAATTCTTTGTTAGATGTGACCAACTACAATTCAACGACGTCGTCGTTGGGAAGATAGTTTTCAGATGATCTTGCGTCGATAATGCTTGAATTTCTGCAATCTTCAGGACGATTTTCTTTATTCTCCATTACGCGAGGTGATGTTACTTCCTCAATGGATGAGTCATTGTCAACAGAAGATGCCACAATATTTGATTTCCATATCATAATGTGACGATCTTTACTTCCAGTGATGAAATATTCACCATCTTTGCTGAACTTCACAGCAGTTACTGCATCTTGATGACCTTTAAGTGTGTAAATGTCTCGTCCTTCAAGTAGATCAAGCACTTTAGTAAGCCCATCATCAGATCCTGTTATCATGAAATGTCCAGATGGATGGAAATCCAAGCTATTAACTCCTTTGTTGAAGATTCGATAATATTGAATGAGTTTACGCATTCTCAGATCGTATATTTTAACTCGTGCGTTTTCTTGTGCAATGGCAATGATGTTGTTGTCGGGATGCCAACGCAATTGATTACCGAATCCTTTCTCGTCTTTAAAAGTATGAATTAAGTTTCCAGCGTCAGCATCAAAGATTTTAACAGTTTTGTCTTCTGCACAAGATGCTATCATCTTGTTGTCAGGTGAGAATCTTGCGCATCTTACCCAATTTGTATGTCCAGTGAAAGAAGACATGAAATAACGATGCGACAAACGAAACATTTTGATAGATTTATCTTCGCTTGCAGTGATGAAACGATTTCCAGAATTGGAGAAGTGAACGGATCGAATGTTGCTTTGATGAGCAACGATCGTCTCTGTGTATCCTTTGTGAATCTTCGGTTCAAAAACATTGACAATTTTATTCTTTCCAACTGATGCCAGAAGATTCTTTACACTCCAATCACAATCAAGAACTTCGGAACTTTGTTCAAACTTCAAACATCGCGTATTTTCCTGCTTCAATGCATAAATCACAAGAGTTTTGTCCAATGACGATGCTACAAATTTATCGCCTTCTGGATTAAAAGCAAATGATGTTACGGCTTGCTTATTTCCTAAAAACATACAATTCTCTACCTAATAACAGAATCTTTAACATAAACAAATTTCATTTCTTACCTTTCAAATGAGTTACTAATGCAGGAGCCGACATTCTCTCTTTTTTATCTTAATTTCTTTCGATCTTTTCAATGAAATAAATAAACTTCACTTTCAAACAATGATTACAATGATACAGAAACAAATGATGTAACACAAATAATAAATAAAACTAAAGCTTTTATTTTTGATTTTCAGAAAAAATTTATAGTTTTGAATTTTAACGAATAATGTTATTAGCAAAGACACTTTGAGTACAATTGAAAATCAGTGAAGACATTTTAGTTATGATTTTTGTTCACAGGTGTCATTGCATACGTTTTTTTTCAAGTGTGTCCTTGATTGAATACAGCGCACCAAACGGATAAAAAAGGCCTGTTGCGTCTTTACTAATCATTTTGAATTAAAGATATGCATGCGAATAACCCGATGTGTGAATTCAGAGATAAATTATGATTTATATCATCTCATGAATTCTTTCTCATTTCTATCGCAAGTTTAAAATCTTTCTTACTAAATTTTACAGACAGCGGTTGACGGAAGTTGTTGAAGAATTCCTTCTAAGGAAGAATTTTGAGAGACTCCAAAAAATATTTTCAATTTATGCCTATCGTTTTCATTGATTAGGAATTATTTTGATAAGACTTTGACTTGAGGTATTAGAAAGATTCGGACATATTTTCGAGACATTAAAGCTGTCATTAAGCACATTCAGCAAAACCAAAAGGTAAGAAATGAACTGGCGCAAAATAATTCCTGGGGGATTTTGTTAAAATCCTCGTTACTTATCTCGGAGTGTGGGAAATGAAAACTCCAACTTGTCCACTTCTCAAAATACACGAGTATAAAAATATAAAAAAATAAAATATAAAATAAAGTAAATAATAAAATACGCCCAAGAAATAATCTTAATTGCATTGTACGTGCTGCCCGATGATATCCGTACTCTAGTATCATCAGAAGTCGTCTCCCCACGTATTATTTTATACTTAGCTTGTGTTTGCATTAGGGTTTTCACCATGACGCCATGCATGTCGTCATGGCGTGACGTGACAACCCTAGTTTGCATTGGCTACATGGAAATTTTTTGCCAAAATACCGTCAGAATCGTCATCTTCTTCTTCTTGATCGAACAAAACATCTTCCTGTTCTTCATGATCAATCGAAACATCTTCCTGTTCTTCATCAAACATCAAAACGTCATTTTGTTCTTCTTCTTCTTCACCAATCAAAATATCATCTTTTTCTTTTTCATCAATCATCAAAACATATGTTCTTCTTGATCAAAAGAAGACAATTTTTGATATTCGACTTTTTCAAAGTCGACTTTGAAGTAGTGATATTTTGAAATATTTTTATTTTTAATGGATTGTTTAGGCAAATATCCTCCAATCCAATATCTGCATTTATTTAATTTATTATGAATTGGTTTGGAGCATTATCTGAGAAGATATGCNAAGAATTGTCAGGAAATGTTGCGACACTTACGCTATCCGCCGATAATGATTCAACCATTCTTCAAGCATTTGTGCAACAAGAAGTGGCCTTTTATGAAGCTTCTGTTGTGCAACCATCAATCCACCTTCAGTAAAACAAACATCCAACCAAGTTTTCATGATTGTTTCTTCATGACCCATCTGACGAGAGAGAAGGATTTAAATTGTTTATCGTCGCAATTCTTAACATTCAAAACTTACCTCTGACTGGGAAAGGAAATGTATTGGTATCAGCTTATTCTCGCAATCCATCAGCGGCAGGAATGTTACATCTTCTTCTTCCTCACGCGCTGAATCAAGCCTTTGATAAGGCTCCGAAGGAACTAAAGCACTAAAGTGACCTGTTCATATAAATTTCGATTAATTATTAATTATTCATATTTATGAGAATGTTTTCGTTAATTAATTCACCTCTTGTGTAACCTAAAGCAATTGGCGAACGAATGCAGAAGCTTTGCTCCCATAATAAAGGCAAATAGAGACCTAAAGTTCAAATTAAATTGAATCGCGCTTGTCAATTTACATCTCTATTAATAAAACAAAGAAAAAAGAAGAAACTCACCCTCAAATCTTGCATATCCAATGTCTTCTCCACGAAAGCTTTTAACGTACTTCACACCATAAACGATGATTGGTCGTCGAAAGATGTGCGCTAATACAAAGATATGAAGTTGTTCGAGAGAAGCGCTAAAACAAAATAAAAAATAAAAATTTTAACATTTTAAAACTGAAAAAGAACTAAAATAATCATTACCTGGGTTGACTGGCGAGTGATAAGGATATGTCGATTGAATGAAGAGCTTGGAGTTAATCATCTTCCGATAGGTCAGATTCCTCCATGTATTTATTTTTTATTTCTTGCGCTTTTTTCCAAGCTGCTTCTCGAATTCTGTTAACACCTTACTTCCACATGCCTCATCGTCATATCGTGGAAGCTTAGTGGAAGCAGACATCGAAGATCTTGTTTTTCTCTTGAGAGAAGCTTGACTGTCATCCAATGCTTCAACCACCGACATTTCATCCATAATTTGGCTCATGTTGAAGGAGGTGTCCTCATCAGTCATCAGATCAAGGACAGGTACCTATAGGCCAATCCTGGCCTTATAGGAACCACCATCAAATGCCGAAGGCATTTGAGGGCAATGGTCATAAGTGGCACGTGAAAATGACAACATTACTCAATTTCATTGAAATTGTTTTTGTGCTGACTATTCACTACCGACCGTTTTGCATCCACCCAAGGTCTTTTCTAGAAAGTAGCCTTGGGCTGTTTTTACCATCATTTGACGATAGAGTGTTTCATCTTCAACTTCGTTCCGCTAGAGATTCTAAGCCTGAATATAATCTTCATTGTTCGAATTGAATAACAATTCGAGACAAAGAGATATTTCAGCACTATTTTTCATCCCAGCGAAAACTTAGTTAAAGACAAAACTGTTTAAGGGGCGAAGTATCTAAACTTCTGAAAACCTCAGATCTACATGACCACCACCAGTCTCGAACCGGCCGCGCCGTTGGCAACGCGTTCGATACAAAACCGTGGTTTAGTCACTTAGACCAATGAAGCAAATTGCCCCCTTACTTAATCGACTCATGAGAAAATTATTTGAAATTTGACTTTCTTTAGTGTTTCCGTGACGAAGATATGCTTTTATGTAACATGATGGAATTGTTAATAAATGTTGTTGAAGTGAAGCGTTTACGTCACCGACTCATGACACCGGAATATATCATCGAATTTTCAGATCTTCTTGACTCAAACAGTGATGTAAGTTACATGGCTACTGGCATTCTTGCTCACATTGCATCTGATGGTATTGGAGCTTGGACAATTGAATCACCCACACGAGAAGAAGTTCTCGATCGAATGTTCCGAGCTGTTGAACGATGGACTTTAGAAACAGAAAGAAAAATTAGTTTTGGTTATTGCAAAACCATTCTCGGATTGATCAAATGTAATGAGTTCGAACGTCTTGTGAAAATTCTTTTGGATGGCGTTAGTGAAACCAAACATTTTAATGCAATTTNATATCTGCATTTATTTAATTTATTATGAATTGGTTTGGAGCATTATCTGAGAAGATATGGACGGTTTGTGGCTGTAGTGGGGATCTCTTCCTTGAATAATTTGTGGAGACAAGGAACAACCCTCTTCTTCGAGTGGTCACTCGAATCCAAAGCGACAGCCATTGATTGCTGTCCACGATACCACATCATTGCAGTGAAAATTGAAATTTCTCTTCTTGTTCCAATAGGTGGCTTGCGTCGAATCTTGAAGGAAGCACCTGTAGTTTTGAGACCAATCCACTGGAAGAACGGCAACTTGTTGCGTTCTTAGATTCTGCTTGCAGGCGATATAACTCGAAGCAATCTGCCTGGTTTCGCTTAACAAGCACATGAAGTAAAAATTTGACCTTCATTTCTTTAATGTGCTTGATCAGGTCAGATTCAGTGCCGGTCTTCGTAACTCTTTCTACTTGTAAGAATATTCCTCCACCAGGCGCTTTTTGCCATTGCTCCCATGTCACCGATTTTGTGGCATTGACTTCGTTTTCTTGAAATTTCTCGAAAAACGCTGGTACATAAGCAACATTTGTTGGAAAAACATTCGTGGCTTGAAATGGAACAAACAGATTTTTCGTTAATTAAGTTATCGACATGTAAGTGACTAAAAATGTTGGTTGCATTCTTGAGGGAAGTGTTTCATTTGAAGTTTTAGCACATTTACGACGGAAAACCCCTGAGGGGATTTCTAGGGGATTTCGTTAAAATCCCCGTTACTCATCTCGGAGTGTGGGAAGTTAAATGATATCCGTAGTCTCGTATCAACTGAAGTCGTCTCACCGCGTATTATCAAGTGATTCCAAGAAACAGTTTCAAACAGGTTCAAAGTTTACACTTGAAAATAATTTTTTTTCTATATTTGGTACCTAAAGGAAGTTACAGCAAAAAGAAAATGCAAATGTTCCGTACCTAAGAATAAATTTAATGATGATTCATAATTTACTATAAAATAAAAAAGAACGTTTATAGATTTTTAATGATGCAGATGAATGCCTTTATTCATTAGATCGTTCTGTCAGTTCTGTTAAAGTGTGTAAAACTCTCCCATAGAGAATTTTTAATTCATCAATGGATCGTCTTAAGCTCTTGAATTCTTTTTTTATACTTTTTGAAAGCTTTCCCTGTTGCTTTCGCTGTTGGTTTTTCTTTTTTGTCTTAGGCTGATGGGGAGTGTAATTTTCGTCATCCTGGTTGGACACTGGATCGTCAGTGGATGATAAGATTAACTGTATTCGTCTGTCGGCAGACACTCTGGAAAATAATGTAAAGAAAATAATGTAAAAATAATAATGATTGTTTTCATTTCACATACTTTGTTGAACTGGACCTGGTTCCACATCAGAGCCAGGAACCTCTTGAGAACTCACTTCAGTGAGTGGAGGAAGATGAGTCTGCACACCCTCAGTATCTTCAGGAAGATCTTTGTTAATGATTGTTTTCACTTCACATACTTAGTTGAAGTGGACGTTGATCCTCATCAGAGCCAAGAATTTCCTCAGTGGCTGGAGCAGAATGAGACTGTAATAAAAGAAGATATAAAGAAGTTTATAATAGAAAGATATAATATAGAAGTGTAAATATAAAGCGCTTTTACCGAATCCCCTGTAGAAACGGGCTCAAAATCATCCAGGTTTGATGAAGTGTCATGCAAAGACTCATTAAGTTCGTTTTCATTGATTGAGGACTCAATAAACGATTGAAACTGCGTACTAAAACGACCAGGCACCTGAGCCGTTTCTACGTGGATGTTAACGTCCCCGGGAGATGTTGACGCATCCAATGCACGCAGACCAATCCACTTGAAGAACGGCAATTGTTGCGTTCTGAGATTCTGCTTGCATGCGATATAACTCCAAGCAATCTGCCTGGTTTCGCTTAACAAGCACATGAAGTAAAAATTTGACCTTCATTTCTTTGATGTGCTTGATCAGATCAGATTCGGAGCCAGTCTTCGTAGCTCTTTCTACTTGTGAGAATATTCCTCCACCAGGCGCTTTTTGCCATTGCTCCCATGTCACCGATTTTGTGGCATTGACTTCGTTTTCTTGAAATTTCTCGAAAAACGCTGGTGAATGTTTACATAAGCAACATTTGTTGGAAAAGCATACTTTGTTTTCGCCATCGCAAATAAAGTTTTTGTGCATGTTAATTCCAATAACTACATCTTTGGATGTAGGATAGACACTAGCTAATGCTAGCAGTGCAAATCGCATATTCTGATGGATACTGCAAAGGCATGTGTTGTGTGGGATTTGCTTTAAAGTTTTTATAAAATCTGGTTTCAAGTTTGTAAATCTTTGATAGGAGATTTTTTGTTTCGGGAAATCTACCTTAAATGTATCATGTGCTTCTTGCATACTAAGCAGCATATAGCGATGGTTCTTTTTATTTGAAATTTCACTGATGTCATCGTTAATGTAGAAGTCCCTTACCAATTTTTCTTGTTTCAAAATCTCTCTTGATTTTGGTTTACTTAAGGAACCAACAACAAGACCAAGTCTTTTAGCAAATGCGGCAAAGATTACTTTTTTCTTTTCGTCATCTTTTGGGAGAACATCCCAACACTTTTCGAAATGTGTTTCTTCTATTTCTTTTATTTGTGCACTTGTAAAGAGAATTGTTTGAGCGGTCTCATTGATACGTTTTTTTTCTTTAAGTGTTCCCGATACCTTTTATTTTTTTCGCGGATCAACTTTTTATCTTCAGCATGTTTCTTGGGGTCGGCTGCTAACAACTCTTTGTGTTTCCTATAATTTTCTTTTCTTTTTTCACTTTGACTCTTTTTAAACTGTTCAAGTAAATCGGGGTTGGCATTTATGATGGCTTTTTTTTCCTTTTTTGACTTCTTTGAACTCAAGTTGTTCTTTTCCAAATGTTCAGCATATTTCTTGTTTGTCTAATATTTTTTCAACGAAATAAATATCTTGTTCGTCTTCATTCTTCTTCTTAGATTTTTCCATTATTAATGCACTAAATAGTTTTGTTTTGTATGTTTCACAGTCAATCTCAATTGATTTTTAATAATAAGAAATTGAAAAATCGTTAGCAATGAATTTTAAGCTTTCGCAGGGCTCTGCAGGGGTGTGTAAATATTTTTAAAAACATCATTAATCATCATTAAGATTTAAATTTGATGCGCTGAATGTGTTGCTGAATTATGCTGAATTGAAAACGCCTTGGAAAACGCGAACAGCAAATTTAATATAAACACATATTACACGTTTAACCTTGAAAATGGAAGGCATACGCGAAGACATTAAGCCACTTATAAGCGCGCTCTTGCTCGCATTAGGTCGAATTACAACAGAAACACAGTTCCGATTCGAATATCATAATCTTTTTGGTGAATCATTTGATACAGTACTAAGAGGAATGGATTTCATGGAATTTATGCGAACGATGCCTGATGTTTGTCGTGTATGGATGAATACTTACGATTACGAAGTCGTGATTCAACGAGTTTCTACAGAGGAAACAAGACACATGGACCTTTTGAGTATTCGTGGACCTAAACGAAGAGGATCTCCTGGAGGAAGTAGAAAAGATATGGAAAAAAAAAATTCGTTTAAACTAGACCTTTCATCCGTCAATACAGGTATAAATGGCCTTAAATTGAACGAATTCACTTCTTTTTTTTCTTAAAATTAATACTCTTTTACAGACAAAATATATTTCATGTATCTCAACCACCTCGATCTAACATTTTGATTAGGCTTAAATAGTGTATTCATGTGGAAATGCAGGAAATGAACGACTTAACACACTTCAAGGAGAGGTAAATAGTTGACTAACAATAATCATAATCATTTTCTTCACAACTATTTCAATATTTCTTATGTTTTTCATGTTCGTAGATATTGGTGGCTGAGAGAAAGTTGGAGGGATTGGAAGCTCGCATTAAAGCTGCCGAAACCAAGGCAGCTGGGATTGAAGATCGTGTGTTCTCTGAAGAGGTAAATAGTTGACTAACAATAATCATAATCATTTTCTTCACAACTATTTCATTATTTCTTATTTTTTTCATGTTCGTAGGCAGTTGCTGCCGAAGCTCGCATTGAAGCTGCCGAAACCAAGGCAGTTGCTGCCGAAACCAAGGCAACTGCTGCCGAAGCCAAGGCATATCGCTTCGAAAGTGATGTGTTCTTTGAAAAGCGGCGCCTTGAGGAAATATCAGAACGGGCTCTGGAGGAAGAAGCTCGTGCTGAGGCTGCACGAGCCCGTCGTGATGCTTTTGAGAAAGAGATCGTGGAATTAAATAAGAACTATGAAAAAGTCGTGGGAGAGTTACAGGCGACAGAACTTCGTGCTGCTGAAGCAAAAGATGAGTATCATGGGTTCTCAACAATGGCAGCCAAGGAAAAAAAAATAGCTGCCAAAATACGCCAGCAAACAGCAAAAAAACGGGCAGCCATGGCAAAAAATTAGCTGCCAAAAAATGCCAGGAACCAGCACAAAAACGGGGTCGCCCTATCTGTTCCGATTGGAAATTAACTTTTTATTTCTTATCATTAAAATTTTAACGACAATTAATTTTTTATCAGATGCACAATTTTTGCATCTTCACACGCACACTAATTAGATGATGTAATTTTTTATTGAACGCACCTGAAGCCATTCTTGTGTGAATATTATTTCAAAGCGTGCAAAAATTACTTTAAAAATTTATTTTCAACATTTAAACTACATCAAATTAAATCATCTATATCTAATTCATTTCATGTGAGTTCGATCTATAAACAAAATGTAAAATTACTCATTCAAACCTTTATTTTAGCTGGAAATAATCCAAAATCATTTTGTCAAAGGAAATTTTCTCCTACCAAACATTTTCATTCAATCATTCATTAAATGGTAAAAACTTTAAATTTGAGATTCAAAATATGAATGAAATTAACAAGTAATGTAGAACTTCTAGCTTATGCAACCAAGTTCAAATATCTGAACAATATCATCATTTTTCAAAGGAATTTATTCTTCTCATACATTACCATTCAAACATCAAATCTATTGGTAAATTCATTAAACATTTACATTAAAATTAATACTCACATGAAATTCATTATAGCTTATGCAAAACAAGTCTAAATTACAAGACGATAACAAATAGCTAAAACGCTAAAACATTGAAAGACCGATAACGGTAAAGAAAAACAAATTTATTTACATGATCGAAAACTTAATGTGAACTTATTAACTTTTTAGGTCTTTTTTTTCTATATATCAACTCTTTTTCCATATATCAATTAATATTCAACTTATGTTATTCTTGTCAACACATATCGAAGAAAATATATCTATAAAGAAGAGTCAAGATTTGATTATTTTTCAAGAGTTTCACTGAAACAAAAACTTTTTCATTTCTTCACTTTTCAACATTTATTGAGCCAGTTCTCGACAAGAATTATTCATCAGTGTTTATCGCAAACACTAATTTGGTCCTTCGAGCCGGATATTGCCCGGAAGTTAACGATATTAAAGTAAAATTCAACATTTTATATTCAAACATTCAACATGCCAGACGAAGAAGTTGATAGAGATTTTAAGTTTCCAGTTCTTCTTAAGTTAATTTCTGAATATGTTGAGCAATATGAATGGGAGAAAAAGAATCCTCTTACAACCGAAAACTTCATTGAATCGAAATTTCGTCTCAAGATTGTTACGGATCTTGCTAATCGAATCAAAATTCTGAATAGATGGTTGCTGCAAATATCCTCCAATCCAATTTCTTCATTTATGTTTTCGATCTCGGAGTCGTCGGCGATCAGCTTCAGGGTGACTTTTGAAAGTGAAGATTGATTTTTCACAAAAGTTTTAGCGTCTGAAATAGTTGCACCTGCCTTGGATCTATTTCTAGCAGCAGTCTTAAGGCCTCCACCAATTCCATCGGCAGCGCCTTTGCCATGCTGTTCAGCGAGATAATGCCATACAATCTTCTTATTATATTTTTTCTCTAATGCTGGAAGTACAGCCATGGTGTATTTGTTCTTGAATTGGCCTCCAGCATTATCCGAAAAGATATGTACGGTTGTGGCTGTAGCAGGGATTTCTTCACTGAACAATTTGTGGAGGCAAGGAATAACCGTCTTCTTTGTGTGGTCTTGAGAATCAAGAGCGACAGCCATTGATTTCTCTCCACGATGCCACATCATGGCAGTGAAAATTGAAACTCGATGTTTTTTTCGCTCCCAATAAGCAGCATAAATTTCATCTTGTTGCAAGCACAGGTAGCTTCTAGACCAATCCACATGAAGAACAGCTGTTGTAGCATCCTCAGATTGTGCTTGCTGGCGATATGAGTCGAGGCACGCTGCCTGGTTTCGCTTAACAAGCACATGAAGTAAAAATTTGACCTTCATTTCTTTAATGTGCTTGATCAGGTCAGATTCAGTGCCGGTCTTCGTAACTCTTTCTACTTGTAAGAATATTCCTCCACCAGGCGCTTTTTGCCATTGCTCCCATGTCACCGATTTTGTGGCATTGACTTCGTTTTCTTGAAATTTCTCGAAAAACGCTGGTGAATGTTTACATAAGCAACATTTGTTGGAAAAACATTTTTCCTTGTTACCATCGCAAATAAAATTTCTGCTCATGTCATTTCCAATAGCTACATCTTTGTATGTGGGATCGGCACGAGCTAACGCTTTCAGCGCAAATTCCATATTTGCATGGATGGAGCAAACACATGTGTTGCGTGGAGTTTTGCTTCTTAATTTGATAAAACGCTTTGGTCTCAATTTTCTAAAGTTATCAAGGCAGATTTTGTGGTGTGGGAAATCTTCCATTGCCGTTATCCAACTCGTTATTTAATTGACAAATTGAAATAACTTTATCGATTTATGAATTGAATTGCTAAACTTCAAGACAAAATTCTTGGAATCGATAAAGTTATTTCAAATTAGCTGACAGTATGACTGTTGACGTTGCTGATGGAAAACTTTCAAACTTTCAGGGTTCGTGTTTGAGATATTTTCCATCAGCATAAATATGGATGTCGCAACAAAAAAACAAAAACATGCTGAATGTCTAAAAGCTTATCGTCAAAGAGACTATGAAGCTAAAAAGGGGGCGGGTACATTGCGGCAGAAGGAGAAAAGAGAATTCATAAAGGCTAACAATCCCGAGAAATATGCTGAAGCAAAGAAGGCCGACAAGGAAAGAAAAAAAAAGTGTTGAATAGCAACGCAGCTTCGAGTCAGTCATCCTTTCCAAATGGACAAGCAAGAGCATGTCGTATCAATTATCAATTGAATTTACTCCCTAAAGATGAAGCTATGAGAAAGGAAATAGTTCTCGGAATGGCTAAAAAACTTGGTCTCAATGTTGGACCTTTACCTCAAGCGCTTTCAAGTAACGCTTTGGATCCAACTGTAGTAAAATCGGCAACTGATTTCTACAGTAACGATAAGATCAGCCGAATTCCAAATGCCAACGCGGTTGTACCAATTGAAAAAGGTGGAGCTGAGACAACATCCCTTCGATTCATGACCTGCACTATTCAAGAAGCTATGAAAAATATAAGGAAGATTTCCCACACCACAAAATCTGCCTTGATAACTTTAGAAATAGTGGCTCATACATGAACATCACCTAGACATTAGAAAAGCTTTAACGTAGGTTTAAAATATTACTCACCAAACGTTGTATACTGTTATCTTCCCCGGGTCCTTCAAATCGGGTGTTTCGGGTGATCCATCCCATTTTCTTGACATCGTATTGCGGGAATCGTTCTTGCAACTCGTTGCCAATAAATTCATCAAAAGCTGCTTGTGATTTTTCTTTTTTTACAAATTCATGCTTAGCTTCGTCGTAATCAAATATCTTAGCAAAGTCATTGAATTCGTTCCGAAGTTGTCCTAAAGGACCTAACTTTCTTGCAGCCATTGTTTTCAGTTAATTTAATTTTTTTAATTTTTAACAAAAATTTAACACGCGCGCCAAATTTCGAAATTTTCAAAACAGGGGCATTTGCGAAAAACCCTGTAATTTCGAAAAGTCCAACAAGATTTCGAAATTTTGTTACAAAGTTCTTTGAAGTTAAATTAAAGCTAATTATTTTTTTAGTCTACACACTCCGAGTTTAACATCAGAATATATTTTCGAAACCTTTCAGTGACCTAGTTGACTGTCACTGAAATCCGTGAAACCGGTTAATTATTTTTGTCGTAAAACTTGTCGTATGAATATGTGCTATTAAGAATATGGATTTTGTATCTTCTTCTGCAACATTGTTTGAAATTTTTCGGAAAAATGAAATGTATTTCATTGGTTCCAGAATTTTTAACTTTTTCAATATTGCAGTACAATTTCGCGCGTTCCTTATTATAATTCTTGGCTGATTTTATCCATTCGTACCAAGAAAGAACTTGTTGATTAACATCAAGTTCTCTTGCTAGCTCATGAAAATTCCAAGTATTCAAACAGTATTCGCATTTGTTGAAAAAACATTCGTCGCTTGAAATTGAACAAACAAATTTTTCGTTAATTAAGATATCGACATGGGAGTGACTAAAAATTTTGATTGCATTCTTGAGGGAAGTGCTCATTTAAACTTTTAGTACATTTACGACGAAAATCCCTGAGGGGATTCCTGGGGGATTTCACAAAAATCCTCGTTACTAATCTCGGAGCGTAGGAAGTGAAATGATATCCGTAGTCTCGTATCAACTGAAGTCGTCTCCCCGCGTATCCTCGTACCCACCCGCTGTCGGTAATAAGAAACGAAATCGCAACGCAATGGAAGATAAGTTTGTTAATTCACAGATTGCTTCGGCTGTCGTCAACATATGTTTGCAGGCTGTTGAAAATTACTTTCTGTAAACCTTCGAAAAATATCCCTGGATTTTGATTTTTTTTTATTACTAGCTTTAAGGCGTGATTGAATCCTTCAACATGATTGTTGGTGCGGTACACTAGAGTACTTGTACTCCAATCGTAAGGGTTGCACGTGCCTTTGTACGTTGATGAAAAATAACTTAGAAAAAAAAAGATTATTACAAGGGGGGAATTACGGGCGGTTGTTGTCGTCAAAGGCGATTTTTCACAAAAAATTATTGTGATTATGTTTTAGCACTTATTATTTACAGATATTCCATTTGCCAAGAGTTCCTTCATTTCTTCAACAAAATCATATAATAAATCATTTAAATTCAACGGCTGACGTGTACGATCATAAATTCCAATTTTAAAAATAACATTTTTGAAAGTTGATATGCATTCGACCTAAGATGACCTAAAAGCTTTTCTTACCGTAAACGGTAAAAATTGATACACCATCGAATGAAACATCAAGCTCATCTGATCACTTAAGTTCCCAATTTCATTCAACATTTTGTAAATATTCTTTTTGACACCAAAATATTTTCTAGGGGCTGCATCTCGCAAAAATGTAGTTCGTGGTGTTCCGAGCAGATTACGATAATCATTTGGTAACAACGGGAAGAATGGTTTAAAACGTTTTAATAATTCATAAACGTTTGATCTCGCAAAATTGTATTCTACAGCAACTTTTTTAACACATTCACAACGTAAGAGTTAACCTTTTCACCTTCATTAACTCTAATGAGATGTTCTATATTTTCGCGTTATTCTTCAATGTGCAGTTGCTGTAAATTATTTTCAATAGGCTTCTTTTTCTTTGAACTTGAAATGTCAGTGAGGTTGCCGCATCTTTTAATGCTTTTATCACACAAGTTTCATGTTAATGAAAAAAAAAATTGATGTTACCTAATTTGAATTAAAATCATTAACTATTAAAATTTTTCAAATCCCTGGATTTCTCAGAAATTTTCCAATTGTTATAGTGAATTTTACGAACTTTGTTTCATTTATTCATTAAAAATTTTATTTTGTCACAAATATTTACAATTATTGAAATTTACTCAAATATTTCGCAATTTCATTTCCTGCTTTCCAACCTGATTCAACGGCTCCATGTGAGTAGCTAGAATATTTATGATGTGTTGCTTCTCCAGCGAATAAAACCACGAGTTTTCCGTCTGAATTGTACAATGGTAGTGCAAGTGTATCTGGAGTGACTCTGTACTTTTGACTTTCCATAGTTAAATATGAATAAGTACCAAGGAAGTTGTCATTAGAAAACCATCGATTCCTTATCATAGCTTTGGGGTTTTGCACCTTTTTTCCTAGAAACTTCTCTAACAACCATGTAAATTGATCAACGAGCGTCTTGTCATCAAATCTTTCGAACTCTTTAATTGAATCATCTCCAACAATCATTCCTTCAAGAACGTTTGGAAAACTTTTTAATTTAAAGAAACCAATCACATTAACAATCCATTTCAATTCGGTTGAAGAAATATTTTTAAGATCGTCTTCATTCCACAGGAAAAAGTATTCACTCCAATTATTATCGTCCACTGGCCAAAAAGGTTCATCGAATTCAAGAAAAACTTTTCCTAAAACTCCAAATCCAATATTTTCAATAGCTTTAATTTTATTTTCTGGTAATTTTGGAGTGAAAAGCTTTTCATGACGTGCTTTCAATACGCCAAGTGAACCTGTGAAGACGACAATATCAGCAGTATAAGTTGAACCATCACTACAAGTAACTTTAACTTCTTCTGTATAATTTGAGTCTATGTCCCAATTTATATTAATGACTTGCTTATTAAGTTGAACTTTGCTTTCGACATTGAGAAATTTTGAAGGGTCTGGAAGTTTTTTCTATAATGAAAAATAATCTGAGAGATTTTTTATTATTAAAATCTCATCATTACTCACAGTAATAAAATCAAAGACTGATTTAAATCCTTTTGTTTTCCATGTTATCGTTTGATTTCCTTCACATTCTTGAGTATAATTATTGTAAATTGCAGACACATCATAGAGTGAATTTGAAGCGTAGTTTGCATTCTGTTGTTTGAGAAATAAATCAAACACTTGTTTTGCTAAATTTTCATCGACAACTTCATCTTCACTGAGAAGTTTTAATATTTTCTCATAGCCAGTTTCTAATATTTCTCCAAGAGATACATTTTTTACACCGGGAGAATATGCTTCTTCATAAAGGTTATACAGAATAGCAAACAAATTATTACTCTGTTCCGGATTAGCGAACTTTCCATTTGATAACCGAAAATCCATTAAATTTTCGTAGAACTGATCATTTCCGAGATCAAAATTGCCACGAACCATTTCAAAGATCGCGTTGCCTTTTTCGCCATGAATCCACTGACCTCCAAGATCAACAAATCCATTAGAAAATGGTACACTATGAATTCTTCCTCCGATACGATCTTCTGCTTCAAGAATCACGAAATCATCAATACCATTTTCCATCAATTTTGCACCAGTGGACATCCCAGATAAACCTGCGCCAACTATCACAATTTTATGTGATTCACTTTTACATAGTTCAGAACATGCCTAAAATTTTTCAACTTTAAAAAGTACACGATTATTAATAAACTTTTAAAACTCACTAAAATGTAGATTACTACAATTAAACTTTTTTTAAGGGACATTATAATTTAATAACGTCAAGCTTGGTCAAGCACTCATGATTAACTAATAATATTTTTACAGAAAACAAGAATTACCGGTTTGAATTAGTATGAAGAACATAAAACATGAAACTTTGAAAGTGATTAAAGAGCGACAATTATCATCTTCAGATTTATAAAAATTCTCAAAGTGAAACTTTGTAAGCTTCTCTGATTATTAAAAGCTCTCGAAATTTAAACATTGAAAGCTTCCCTGATTATGGAAAATTTAACGTTAAAAATTCAAAATATTTTTGCTTCTTTTCAGTATCTCATTTGGATTATGCTGATTTATTGTGCCGGATTAAACTGAACAAGTGTGCATAAAAAGATAATTTAAAAATTTCGCATAATTATGGAATATATTGATTCAAGAAGTAGCACCAGTAGTAATGCTGGTGCAACTAAGATGTAAGTTCATTTCAGTCATATGATATCAAATAAATTTAATAAGAATTCTTCTTTCTTAACCTTCGAAACTTTTTAGCTTATGTTGTTCATGTGGCGCATTGATCGACCCAAATCCCTTGAATCAGTGTGCAGCTTGCTTACGAACTCATGTTGATATAACAGAAAATATTCCCAAACAAGGAACCCTCTTCTTCTGTCGTAATTGTGAACGTTACTTGAACCCTCCTAATGATTGGGTTGCTTGCACACTTGAATCACGAGAATTACTTTCTGTATGTCTAAAACGAATGAAAGGACTTAAGGATGTGAAATTAGTCGATGCTGGTTTCATCTGGACGGAGCCTCATTCAAAGAGAATCAAAGTAAAGCTGACAGTTCATGGTGAAATCAACGGAGGAATTGTTTTGCAACAAGTTTTCATCGTGGAGTTTACGGTTAACAATCAAATGTGTGATGATTGTCATCGAACGGAAGCTAAAGATTTCTGGCGTTGCATGGTGCAAATCAGACAAAAGGCAAACAACAAAAAGACTTTGTATTATCTCGAGCAAATGATTTTGAAACATAAAGCACATGAAAATACTTTGGGTCTCAAAAATGCTCCTGATGGACTCGATTTTTTCTTCTCCGCTGAGAATCATGCACGTAAAATGGTTGATTTTCTTCAATCAGTTCTTCCAGTGAAGTTTACACAATCAAAGAAGTTGATTTCTCACGACATTCACAGCAACTCTTACAATTACAAGTTTACTTGGGCTGTAGACATTGTGCCACTTTCCAAAGGAAGTTTAGTGTGTTTAAACAAGAAAATGCAGCAGAGTTCGGGAAGTATTGCTCCATTATGTATTGTTCAGAATGTTGCCAATACAATTCACTTGATAGATCCACTCACAGCTCAAATGGCTGAAATATCAGGAGTCAACTACTTCCGGTATCCATTCTCGCCAATTTGTGATCCAAAACAATTGGTTGAATACACGGTGATGGATATTGAAATAATAAAAAATCGAAAACAGTTTCCTGGACAGGGACCGATTTCATTCAAACATGTTGTTGCTGATGTTTGGCTTGTTAAATCATCGGAGCTTGGAATAAATGATTCCATGATTCATACAAAAACACATTTGGGACATTTGTTGAGGCCTGGCGATGCTGTCATGGGCTTCGATCTTCGTGATGCGAACATCAATAATGATGAGTTTGAGAAGTTGAAAAGTGAAAATATTCCTGATGTGATTCTTGTTAAGAAGTTCTTCGGTGACAAAGACAACAGGCGACGAGCAAGGAAATGGAAATTGAAACATTTAACAGAGAATGCTGGTGGTGACACTGACATGGAAAAGTAAGTTAATAAATTTAATGAGCATTTCAAACTTAAGTTTTAATATTTCTTTTATTTCCAGTGATTATAATGAATTCTTGGATGATCTTGAAGAAGATCCTGACATGCGTCAACATATTAATATTTTCAAAGACTCTAAGAAGCAACAAATTGCTGTCGATGTCGATGATTTAGCTGATCCATCAATTCCACAAATCACTTTAGAAGAAATGCTCGATGATTTGGTTATTGATGATGTTGAAATGGGAGAAGCTTAAAATTGATTTTATTTCTGGAATTTCCTTTCTATAAATAAATAATTTATAAATAAAAATAAAAATTGAAATGTTATCTAATTGTATTTTAGTTAAATTTAATTTTTAATAAAAATTTTCAAGTAAATCAATTNTTTTCAAGTAAATCAATTTAAAATCGAAATAAGAAAATTTAACGGTAATTTTTAATTTAAAATTTGTTACCGTCTTGTACCGAATTAATCAACGTTGGGTTGATTCAGGGAAGTGCTAAATTTGGTAAAAGACAGTCCATTGAATGTTTATTTTTATTGCCTTCAAAACACCGCATAAATAAAAAGAAATTTATTAATCTTCCGAATGAATTTATTAAAGTTCAGAACTTTTAATTCTTTTAACCAACTCCATCATATTCGGCATATATCATGGATAAAATCAATGTTCAAAGTGGAGAGAAATATGCCTCCATGGGGACATTGTGTTCAAATTGGAGATCCGGTGTTGAGAGAAATAGCTGACGAAGTGCCAAAAGAATTAATTAAATCACCTGAGATTCAATATCTTATTAAACAAATGAAAGTTGTACTTAAAGATTATCGTCTTGTAGGAATTGCCGCACCACAAATTGGAATAAGTTTACGAATCATTTTAATGTTTTGTGGAGAACATCTTAAAGATGTTATCACACCAGAAACTTTTAAAGCGAGGGAAATGTCAACTTTTCCTCTTACTGTGTTCATTAATCCTGAATTAGAAGTCGTCGATCATAGAAAAATAATCATTGAAGAAACTTGTGCAAGTGTCGTCGGATTTGTAGCTGAAGTTCCAAGAAATTATTCTGTAAAAGTTAAAGCTTTCGATCGCAATGGGAAAGAATTTCAACACACATTCACAGGATGGAATGCAAGAATAGTTCAACATGAAATTGATCATTTAAATGGAATTCTCTTTACTGACCTTATGAATAGAAAATCATTCAGATGTACAAATTGGGAGATTGTGAATCGAAAAGCAGGCAGAATTGTGATTCCATTCTATCCTAAAAAGTAATTAAATAATTTTTGTGTTTACCTTGGTAGTAAATAAATTTAAACTTGAATCAAATTTATTTTAACCTTTTTTTATTAAAAACTTTTAAAAAGCATTGAAAATTCAATTATCTAAAGCGGTGATGGTCAAAGCATCGGATGAGGTGTAAAGAGATGCTGCAAAGACAATGTCTCTCTTAATGGCATTAGAAGCTTCTTCCATTTTACTGTGAAGAACTGGATCGCCAATAATCCGAGCTGCATCTTTAACATCGCGTAATGTTTCATGAAGTTGTTGAATACATCTAACGATGACACCCTCTTTGATGTCAGTTAACTGCATAATTTCGGCGAATGGCTGAATAAAGAAGTGTTAATATAAAGTTTATAATATCTAAGATAAATCAAACTCACTTTATTTCTCGCCCATTCATAAACAACTTCAATAAGTCCGAAATTTAGTTTATCCTTCTCAACAGTCTCATCAGCTTTCCCAACATTGTACTTTGCTTCGACTTTTCTGATGTCAAGATCAACCTCTTGAAATTCCAGCATCATTTTCTTCAAAGTTTCAGTGACATTTGGTTCGACATCGGTTTTCGCTTGAAATACGAGGCTTGATAAAAGTGCTGCAATCTCAGGTGGTTGAAGATTTGTCAAAATATTTCGAAGAACAAGTTCCGTGATTATCAACTCATTTTGTCCCATTTCACATGCAACTCGACCTTTCATTGCAACTTTTTATTTAAAAAATAAAGAAATTAAATTAAAATCATTGTTAGGATCAAGAATTAAACTCACCTTGATGAAGATCATCGATATACTTCAACTCTTGAAGAACAAGCAACTTGTTGCAATAATCGGGATAAAGTGAAAGATTCTTATTTGAAAGTTGAAAAAGTAAATTTTCTTTCTTCTCTTCAAGTGCTTTTCGATCGAAGACTTTTGTAAAGTTTTCAATGAAGTTCGGAATATTTGTGTATGGTTGGTAAACTTTAATGTTGTCCTTCAATTCATTGAGTTTCTTGAAATCTTCCATCAATTCAAAGCCTTGGCTAGTAAGAGGAATAATTTCAAGTTTCGCAGCTTCAGAATTATCAGCAACCGACATTGTAAGCTCGTAAAGTTCACCAACAGCTTTCACAACTGATGGACTTGGTGGGCTATCCTTGAATCTCGGGATTTGTCTTTGTTCCCAATTCTGAATGATTTTATCAGCTTCACATTTAATTGTTATTTTCGTTATTTCCACAATGTTTTCTGCTTTTATTATGAGAATTGTGTGATCACCAGTAGCACCAGATGGAACGAAAAACTTATTCGAATAAGCATACGATGTCATTCGATGCCACATTTCAGTTCGAATTGCTTGTGAATCATCAACATGTGGGTTGTCAAGTACAAGAACTTTATAAGTTGATTCTTTCTGTGTTGATGTGATAGTCGCAAGCAAGATTCCAAGTTTATTATAATGACGATTTTGTGTCACAAGAAGGATCCTTCCAGCCTTCATTTCATTGAAAATCTTCTGTTGATTTACAAACTTCACCATCAATTCATCGTTCAACTTAAAAAATTCACTGCAAGCAACATAAAAGTTGCACAAAGGCGAGAGATGTTCACTTATTTCCATAAGTTCCGATAACTTTTCTTCAGCAATCTTCAATTGTTTTTCATTTTCAGGCACTTTCAATTGTTTCCCAAACTCTCGGAAACTATGCTGCATCATGTCTTCAACTGACACACGTTCAACTCGAAGCAATGACAAAATCATCGCGTATGTCAATCGAAATTGACTTTCAAGTCGCATCGGCTTGCCGAGAATCATTCGTTTGAGTGTTTCAGAATCGGGTATGTTTGTTTTACATAAGATTATGACTGTGCCGGTTGTGTCAAGACCCCGACGTCCCGCTCTTCCTGCCATTTGCGTGTATTCAGCTGGTTCTAAATTTCTTGATGATTTTCCATCGAATTTCGAGATTGAATCAAATATTACAGTACGTGCCGGCATATTCACACCCATAGCGAAAGTTTCTGTTGCAAAAAGAAGCTTCACAAGCCCACATTGAAAGCACATTTCAACAATTTCTTTGAGAATTGGAAGAATTCCTGAATGGTGAATTCCAATGCCACGTTGTAAACAATCTTGAATCGTCTTAACTTGTGGCAATTGTCGATCTTCACTTTTCAACTTTTGCAAACACAATTGAAAGAATGAATTAATTTTAAACTTTTCGCGTGTGTTTGTTAAATCACAAGATTTTAATGCTTCAGCATTTGAATCACAACGATTTCTACTCAATGTGAAAGCAACAACTGGAAGGCGATTGTTTCGTTTCAAATGATCAATTAATCCAACCCACATTGTTTGTTCTTGTTTTGGATTTAAATTCGTGACAGTTCGTGAACCGAAATTCTTTTGGAAATCTTTTTGACGTGCAGCTTTTGTTGATTTTGCTTTTTCATAGCCTTCGGATAAGAATTTTCCGTTCTCGTCAACTGTTAAGAAAATGTCGTCTTTAGTCTTTCCACCGTTTCCAGTGTAAAGGAAATGTTGCAGTGGAACTGGACGTTTGGGTGTGCTGATCACATAAACCTTCTTTCTCTTCGTTTTTCCAACCCAATTGGCGAATTCTAAAGTGTTTGGGACTGTTGCTGACAACATGACAATACAAACATGATCAGGTAAGAGAATGAGAACTTCTTCCCATACATGTCCACGATCTGTGTCAGTGATATAATGAACTTCGTCAAAAATCACATATTCAAGATCACGAGTGACATCACTGCCGCAATATAACATACTTCGAAGAATTTCCGTTGTCATAATGAGACAATTTGCAGTTGAATCGATTTGAATGTCGCCAGTTATTAAACCAACATCACCGAAAGTCTGCTTAAAGTCGCGATATTTCTGATTTGACAAAGCTTTAATTGGTGACGTATAAATTGTCTTTGTCATGTGCTTCTTCGAGAGAGCAATCGCATATTCAGCTACAACAGTCTTACCAGCTGAAGTATGTGCAGCAACAAATACATGATTATGATTTTCCAGCTTCAAAATTGCTTGCTTTTGGAATGGATCCAATTCAAAAGGATATTGATGAGCCATGTCAGCAACTCTATCGTAAAAATTTTTAACGGGTTGTGAAATATCAATAATTTCAGCCCATTCTGCGACAGTATTTTGAGTTCTTGTTTCCTTAATCTTAAGAACGTCAGAAACTTGTGTTGGTTTTATTTCTAGAAGAGAATCATCGATTTGTGTGCTAAGAGTGATGATTCCACCACCCTCATTTCCATTTGCATCTGTTGATGCACTTTTTACATCAATTTTGAAAATATCTTCATCCTTGCTCTCAATGACACTGAGAAGATCAATATTTGATGATTCTTCTTCTTTATTTTGAGTATTTGACTTCTTAAGATGACTGAAGTCTATTCCATGTGTAAATCCAGGAGCAACAGAAAGTAAATTCTCTTCAAAATCTGTATTATCAATGACAAGATCCATAATTGCATTCTTTGGTTCATCAAATCCACCAGGCCAAAAAGGAAAATTCGCTGCGGATCCTCTTGTTGCTTGTTCTTGCGGGCCCGGCTTTCTCTGTAATGAAAATGAATTTCTTGCATCACTTCCAGCATTTTCTATTGCTACTTCAATGAATCTTTCAATTTCTCCTGTTTGCGGATCACGTTGTGCAACAATTTGTGTATTTTCTGGGCATGGTGGAATGTGAAATAATCGACTTAAATCATTGAGTTGGCGAGGATGATAATGTGGTTTCGGATCATGAAGTTTTGGTAAATACGGATCCAAAATATACTTTTTCAATCGTGTTTCTGCATCTTCAATCAAATCCTTCCACTAAATTAAAGTAAATTAAGTCAAGATAGTAACATGTCATTACTTAAAAAATTATTAAAGTTTCAATTTATTTTATTTGTTTACCTCCATTTTTTGCTTCTTTTCCGGGTTAATCCAAGCTCCCGTCCAATCCCACCCACTCAAAAAATAAATAAATTTTCACAATTCGAGAAATAATTTTTTCTACTGAAATATTTCTTTAAAATATATCAAAGGATGACCACAGAAATTGAGAATGGTAGGCCTGTTCTAACACCGGAGCAGATAGCTGAAGCTGAGAAGTTCAAAGAGGAAGCGAATTCTTATTTTAAAAGTGAATAAAATTTAATCATTTTTAACCTAATTTTTTTTATCTTAATCTTAATTGATAATGATTGTCATATTGATCTTTTTAGACAAAGATTACGACAAAGCAATAGAACTTTATACAAAAGCAATAGAAATTGATCCTCATAATGCAGTTTATTACGCAAATCGCTCACTTGCAAACCTGCGACAGGAATCGTTCGGCTATGCTTTGAATGATGCACTTTCCTCAATGAAAAGCGATCCAGGCTACTTAAAGGCATACTACCGACGAGCAGCAGCTCATATGAGCCTCGGAAAATTCAAGCTCGCTCTATCAGATTTTGAACTAGTCAGTAAACGACGACCAAACGATGCCGATGCTAAGAAAAAGTTCGTCGAGTGTAGTAAGATTGTGAAGAAAATTGCATTCGAACGAGCAATTGCTGTTGATCGACCTGAAAAGACACTCGCTGAAATGTATCAAAGTCTAGAATCAATCTCAATCGAAGATGAATATAATGGACCAAAATTAAAAGACGATAAAACTGTAACATTAGATTTCATGAAGGCTTTAATGGAACATTACAAAGATCAGAAGAAACTTCACAAAAAATACGCTTACAAAGTAATTCTTCTTTCAATTTTTTCTTTCCTCTTATCACAGTAAGTTTCTTTATAGATCCTATACGACATGGATGCCTACTTACGCAAACAACCTTCACTTGTCGATGTGAAAATTCCTGACGATGGAAAATTCACTGTTTGTGGTGACATTCATGGCCAGTTTTATGACTTGATGAACATTTTTGAGAAAAATGGACTGCCAGGTGAAACTAATCCTTATCTCTTCAATGGTGACTTCGTGGATCGAGGATCGTTTAGTGTTGAATGTATCTTCACTCTTTTTGGATTTAAACTTCTTTATCCAAATCATTTTTATATGAGTCGAGGTGAGTAATAATCCTTAATGTAAATAGAGTGATTGCGTTACACTTTAAAGGATTTTTTATTTATCAGTAAGTGACAAAGCTATTATAATTATGACTTTCATTGTTTTCAGGCAACCATGAATCTATCAACATGAACCAAATGTATGGCTTTACTGGAGAAGTAACTGCAAAATACAGTTGAGTTTTATTTTATAATTTGTCTTCATTAGATTAACCAAAAGATATTTTTAGGCTCAACAATGGCTGATATGTTCACACAAGTGTACAATTTCCTTCCATTGTGTCACCTTCTTAATAATCGTGTACTTGTTATGCATGGTGGATTGTTCTCTTCAGATGATGTAACGATTGATGACTTAAGAAGTGTCGAGAGAAATCGACAACCACCAGAAGAAGGAATAATGTGTGAATTGCTTTGGTCTGATCCACAACCTCAACCAGGTCGATCACCAAGTAAACGAGGAGTTGGATGTCAATTTGGTAAGTTTATTTACATTTATCAATGTTTGACTTTCACTAATCTTTTATTCTTCGTACCTTCAGGTCCGAATGTAACTGAGAATTTCCTTAAAAGAAATAAACTTGATTATATTATACGCTCACATGAAGTTAAAGACATGGGATATGAAGTTGCTCATGATGGAAAGTGCATCACCGTTTTCTCAGCTCCTAATTATTGTGATACAATGGGTAACAAAGGTGCTTACATTATTCTCAATGGCAAGGATATGAAACCGCAGTATGAAGTCTATGAAGCCGTTCCACATCCCAACGTTAAACCAATGATGTATGCAAACAGTCTGATGAACTTAATTATGTAGTTTTAAATTTAAAAAGAAAGTCTATGATTTGTAGTTTACGTAAAACTTAATTACTTTCGTCAATATTGTAAGTCTAACTCCTAAGGGTTTCTTACAAAATGCGGATCCTATCTTTTCTTTAATGATTGATTTTCTTTGGATAATTGTTTCCTTTTCTAAAAGTTTTATGCGTAAGATTCGCATCCATCACTGATCAATTTAGAGATTGTAATTTGAAATTAAATAAAGTAGAAATACCTAAATAAATAATATATTTGTAAGCTGAAATATTTACTTCTTTACATTTTACTAGACAATTACAAATTATAATTAACGACTTAAAATTTGAAATATTCGCGAACGTTTTAGGATCACATCAGTTTAATCCTATGGAGTTTAATGATTTGTTTTTGTTGGGCAAATACGAAGTCAGAAAAAGAATTTTATTAAATTGTTCTGGTTATTGTGAATATATAATTGAATCAAATGCATTAAGCAACAACTAAAACTTTAAACTAGTCAAAAATTATCGAGTATTATAAAAAAAATTGCGTTTTAAGTGAAAAAATCAATAAACATGAGTAGCCACTATCAGTTGACACCAGACGTAGAATTTCGTTATATCGTGACCTGGTTCAAAGATTTCTCAGAATTTGAGAAAGCAGACTTTATGGCTATTTTAATTCAGTGGTTATTGAAGAATAGTGAGATCAACGTTAATGGATTGAGTGATGACACTTCTATGACTTCTATCGAAGGCAAACCGCTCTCAATCTTTTTATGTCGAGTGTGTTTTATTTTATTATTTACAATCAATATCAAATTTCTGAATAAAAAATGTTCCCCTTTAGGTAAAACTCTTTAAGGAATGGACACCAAAGTGGCCAAATCGTTTACGTTCTAAACTCATTGAGAAATTGAATGAAATTGATTCAGAATTTGGTTTAAAATTGAATCAGGAGCTAGAAGACGCTTTAACAGTCGAAGAAGAAACAACTTCGGTTCAAAACGGAATCGATGCCGTACATAACGGAGTTGCCATGCTCGCTGTCACAGAGGATTAAAGAAAACTGTAGATGCTATGAAAAAAAGGTAACAAAACAGAAATAGAGGCCAACCCAATAAGCAGCAAATCTTTATATGCAGCTAATTCATTCATGTGTTATTAATGCACTTCGAATATCTTTTTTTTTTATTCAACTATTATATTTTAATTTATATCTCATAGCTTTGTAAGCAATGCATTTTTTCAACTCTCTGACTTGATTTCCAAGTCAATCTTCAATGTTGCGCACAGATTTTAAAATTCCATTTAAAAGTATTCCCTTAAACCGGAAATCCACTTAAGACTGAGTTGCGATAATTCATTAGAATAATTACTGATGATTCCAAGTAGCAAGAAGATTAATTATTTTCGATTTTAATTATAGTTAAAAAAGATGTTTCTAATAAATGTTATGAATTCCTCCCCATTTTAACAAATTGAAAAATAAATAATCAAAAAATTATATAGAAACGTCGTTGAAGCAGATGTTGATGAATCTAAATATTAATAATGTATTCAAAGCATGTTCTATTTTTGTCAGTCAGAGAATTTTAAAAATGTTTCTTAGTCAATTAAGAAAGGCGCATTTTACTCCTACAAATATGATCTTAATTAATCAAAAATACATTTAAAAATTAGACTAGATATGATGATAAAATGACAACATAAAAAAACATATGAATGTCTCAATTTCATGTTGAAGATCAAAATAAACTGAATAAAGGAAGAATCTCTAAATAATTTAATTTTTTCGTGAAGTCATCAACACATAAATTTATATATTTCAGCCTTCACCAAGTTCAATTTATACGGTCTAAGGTTTACTGAATCAGATCGAATAAACATATTTGTTTTAATAATTTGATTTGCGTAACAAATTGTCAGTACGATGGTCCGTTTCGTGTCTTCAGCCATGAAAAATTTATAAAGCTTTTTACAACAGCTTTTTATTAACTTATGTTTATGTTGAATAAATCTTCTGTCAAAGTATCTATAATCACTTAATACATTTTATTCAATAATTGTGTCTAAATATTAAATCGAAAAGAGTATTGGAGTCAAGGTCGAGTGAAATTTCTAAATCTGCAATTTGAAAAGTTTTTTAAGTGTAGCTGAAAAATCGATTTTTTAACCCGAAGGTTGTGTCGTGAAAGGTTTTTTGGACACTCATAATTTATGTTGTGAGTAATCAGTTACTGATATTGAGAGTTTGTCGTGTTTTCGTTTGATAAAGAAGAACTTGAATTTCTTTATGACAGAAAGTAAAGAAGTTGAGAACATGCAGGAAAACAGGAATATTTAAATAGACAACTTTCCGAATCCACTGGTTCTATAAAATGAAATAACTGCCAAGAATCTGTTGATTTATTTTTACATTAATTTTTATTATGCACAAGAGGAAAAAAGAAAAAAAATTAAATCATTAAATTTAAAATTCATTTCCATTGGAACGTAAGTTTCTTTTGCAGAAGGACAACNGCTCCGATGGACTGCAATAAGACAGTCAAGACCACCTGAGAAAATAATGGTGGCTGAAATGACGTGGAAAAATATATTAGATTTTGAGCAAGATATTGAAATTGACATTTGGGTTTAGATGAAGAGTTCAGACCTGAGATTGACAAAATTAAGACGGTTGAAATATATGACAGGGACTTGAGTCCTGAGAGTGATTAATCCATAGGCATGTTATTGCCTGCATTTTCTTTTCTTTTCTTTCAGATTAAATGATGATGACACGGAAATAAATTTACACGAGATCTACAGGAGCTGATGATTGATTTTTAATTTTTAAGGGTTAGAATTATGTTTTGAATTAATGTATTTTTTTTACAACAAAGTTTAGAAAAGATTGGGTTTTTTTATGCAGATTTTATTGAAAATAAAATTTCGATAAAGTCGGCTTTTTACCCCAACAAACAAAGATTAAATTGAAATTCATTAAAAATTTCAAATTGTTCCTCAACGTTAGAAATTCATATTTTTTTTGTTTTGAATATATTTATGTTAAGGGTTAGTCATCATTCGCCTAGAGGAAGTGATGGAAGAGTAGATTAAAGGGCGGATGTGGGATCTAGCAGAAGAACAAGAGAAAAGATAAAATTCAAGAGAGAGAATTAGAAGAGAATTAAAATTAAAATGAGAGAATAAATCAGTCATTTGACAGAGTTTGGAGAGAACAGTTGTGGAAAAAAGAACTCGTTGTTTTATTTAGTTTATTTAAATAATTTCAGCATTTTATTCGAAATTTGTTGGCAAGGATCCGACATTATGCACAAGAGGAAAAAAGAAAAAAAATTAAATCATTAAATTTAAAATTCATTTCCATTGGAACGTAAGTTTCTTTTGCAGAAGGACAACGGTAAACATTCATTTATCTGCAAGCTCATCATCTTTTAAATAATCCAGTGCGGTGTTAAGAGATTCGAGTAAAGTATCAAACATGAGTGTAAAGAAAAAAAAAAATCCAATGGAAGTGGGGAATGAATAATTTTTATGATTCAATTATTACTCGAAATATTGGAAGTATTTTGCTCAAAAGCTTTTTATTTATATTCTTTTTCAGTTGTCTCTCAAATCTCAACGTGGTCGGATGAATATTGTTTTTGTTTATAAATTTCAAGACATCCTAGGTAGTTCATTAGTCGAATTAATAATTTAATGAAGCGTTGATAATCGGTGATCGTTCAATTTAATGAACGAAGATCATTAACAAGAATCTTTCAACAATTCGAAGGTGAACCTATGCGTTAAATTTTGGTCTGTTCAGTGACAATTAGAGATTATTGAAATAATTTTATTATCGCCGTGACCTTACACAAGACTTCAACGAGGCTTTACAAAGTTCATTCAAGTTCAGTTTGCGTGCGAAAATGACGATCGTTTATTTTTGTTTTCCTTTAATTAGTGAACCATAAAATTTGTGAAAATAATCAAGACATTGCTGAGAGATTATTTATGACTCACTGAAGACAATCAATTCTCTTTCCCGAAAAAATAAAATTGTGATATGGCAGAATTCAAACATTTGAGTACTATTATAATTATTTTACAAACCTTTTGTGAGTATTTCAACTTTAACAGATTTCTTAGATATTCATCTGAAATTCAAATCAATTTACATTTACTAAATAAACAAATGAATTTTTGATGGAAACTGTTTTAGTTCTCGCACATGGTCATTGGCCCGACAGTTATGAAAGTCATCAGTATGATTCGCATCGAAATGTCTTCTTCAATAACGACATGGAAGGCCCACAAAATTATCACTACCTGCAAATGAATGGAAATCAACTTGTGAATCACCATTCAGCATGTAACTGTGTAAAGTTGAAATATTGTAGTCCAACAATGGAAATGGCGCGTAAAATGTATACCGGATTTATTTCCGACTACATAAACTCTCAACTGCAGGTTATCGCTTGTGATTTCATTGATAATGAGATGGCAGTTTGTTGTCCTAATAATAAATTAAATGTTAATGGAAATTCAGTAAGATTTAGCAAGCATAGAAGAACTTCAAATCGTCAACGTCATCATCGTCATAGACACGAAAGTGATGAACATAAAAAGTGGGTTTGGGATATTGAAGAGGCGAACAGTTCTGAAGAAAAGTTTTCATCGACAACGCAAAGTTATAAGACAACAATAGAATATTCAAATTATCCAACTCAAGACACTACTTCACCACCTAAATCAAAAACATATAATTCAACTTTCTTTATAACTCATGAAGATCCCAAATCAAAGAAGAATTGCCCACCCCCACTTTCTGAAGAGTTTGAACTTCCAAAGAATCATTCTTTTTTCAAAGAACCCCAACCTTCGACAACACAAAAATCATCAACAAATATTCAATCAACAACAACATCAGACAACAATCTTGTACCAACTGAAAGCAATTCAAACACTCCCATTCAAACAGAATTACAAGAAAAAATGAAATTAATTAACAAGAAATCTTGCGGATTATCTTTTGGATCAAGAATCATTGGTGGAGAAGATGCTGGTTTTGGTAGATTCTCTTGGATGGCTAGACTTGCTTATAGAAATACAAGTGATTGTTATTTATTCCTGTTATGATTAAAGTTGATTAAAGATTAATTTTCAGCATCTGGCAGAATAACATATCGTTGTGCTGGATCTGTAATCGCTGATAAATATGTCTTGACAGCAGGCCATTGTGTCAGCAACTTAGTAGACAACCTTGAAATGTAAGTTCATTTCGTACTTATTATAAATGATGTTAAACTTTTTTATTATCTTAGTACATTGATCCGCCTTGGTGATGTTAATGCTGAGTTGGAGAATGAATGCGATGAGAATGGAATTTGTGCACAGGAAGAAGATTTTGAAATTGAAAGAATTATTGTTCATCCCGAGTACAATAATCCACGTTATGCTAATGACATTGCACTTATAAGATTGAAACAGTCAACAGCTTCATCAAGTAAATGGAAATTTTATTAAATTTTTAAATCGATATTTCATTTCTTTCGTAGATAGAATTGGTACAATTTGCCTACCGATTGGAGAGTATCAAGACGCTGCAACAAGATCATATGATGCAGGAAATGGAATCGTGGCTGGTTGGGGGGCTGGATCAAGGATGAATAATGCACAAAATGAAATGCTTCAATGGATTCGACTTCCATTTGTGAACACAACTGAATGTGCTGAATTTTATTCTAATTACACGTCGGGCTACAGATTACGAATAATGATCAGCAACTCACAACTTTGTTATCAAGGGCGAGAGAATGGTGATGCATGCGCTGGTGATTCAGGTAAATAAACTTCTTAATTTCAATTGCATATTCACACAAATTTCATCTCTTTAGGAGGTCCGTTGATGAATGAAGCTGAACTCAACAATGACAAATTTGTTATCTTAGGGCTTGTCTCATTTGGACCTCGACTTTGCGGTTTATCAAACTTTCCTGGTGTCTACACACGCGTGTCATCATACGTTGAGTGGATTTTAAGAAATATTGAACCGTAATAATGAAACTTAAATACTTATTTTGTGATTTTAAACGAACAAGGAGAATAAATTGTAAATTTTTTAATCTGGTTTTGTTGATTAGTTACATGATGAATGTTAGTGGAAAAATTGAATCGCAGTTGACGATTGAAATCATTTTTCGCATTGCTACAGATTTGAAATTTTTTTCATATTTTTCAGTCTTTTTTCTTTCTAAATTATGAATCGTGTAAATCAAATTCACAGTGAAAACTTTGCAAATGAACATTCAGGTGAATCTTCTACCAGAGCTATTGCAGTCGTTAAAAATGAACAAACAAGAAGAAATGAAGAAGTTAAAGTCAAAATTGTTCCACCATCAGCGAATAGAGTTCATGGAAAGATTATTGCACTTCGAGCAGACCAGCCAACATTGGATAGGTCTGGAAACATGACAATGAATAATTCCGATTATGATCAGATCCATCCGATATTAACTTCAACACCAGGATCTAGATCAATAGACAAGTCAAGCATGTTGGCTAGCAGGGTGCATAGAGCAGCAGATGATATTGTTCATGATATTATGGAGATTTCACCACCGTCCGGTATCAACAGTTCGTTGGAATTCTCAGATAATGCAACGAATTTTCAAGCACATGAAGGTGATCTGTTGGATATTTCACCACCAGCTGGCATCAATAGTTCGTTGGAATTCCCAGAAATTTATTGTCAGAATTCAGAACTACCACCAGTCGAGTCTTGTAACACCTTGGATTCTTCTGACGAACCAGCAGCTGCTGCTAAGCTCAGTGCAATTCTGGAAGATTCTTTTGAAGAATATTGGGACCAGCATCGACAAATATTGTCGAGAAAACCCACTTATGACAATTTCTTGGAAATGTTTGGACTTCATGATGTTTATAATAGTAGACGGAATCCACCTTGTCAAGCTTCAGATGGTGCTCGAACCATTAGCAAAAGGTTTGATCGATACAAACATTAAAAAAGGTAGAAAATAAATTTCACTCATTACAAATGTAGGTACAATGAACAAAGAGATCGTGGTTACCAAGCAATATTTGATTCGCTACCACCAAATTACCTTGAAGAAATTTTCAATTCAAACCAAGATGAATCATCTTCTGATAAAAGGTTTAATTAATTATTAAGCTATGCTTGCTTATTTTCCTATCTTTAAAAACATTTTCAGCTGCTTTCTTGAAAAAGTCAGTAGAGTTCAAGAGACTTTATTCCCACGTACAACTTCACAAGCACAAACGCCCATTCAAGGAAGGTTTGATAAATCGTAAACATTATTGGATTATGAAAAATAATTCACAATTTTTTTCTCTAAAGGGTCCAGAGACGTGTTTATAATAAGCCACTCCCAGCGCCCAAATTTGAGGAACCTTTTGATACTGCAGTCTTTGAAGCTTTAGTAGGCAAAAATTATCAACCGGGTTATCCATCGTATTACTATGAGCAATCAACCTCAGCAGCTGCAAAACTTAGAGATGAAATTCAAGCAGAATTAGCCAATCAAGGAAGGTCTGATAAGTCATAAACGTTTTCAGATTATGAAAAATAATTCACCATTTTAATCTTCAAAGGCCCAAGCAACGTGTTTTTCAAAAGATAATCCCAAGACCCGAACATGGACAACATTATGGAACTGTCGTCTTTGAAGCTGAGGGCACAAAAATTCAATCCCCTCAATCAAATTACTCGGAGCAAGCACCCACCTTTGATAATTCTATGGACGAATTCTTGCATTATGAACGTTTAGCTCAAGGTTCAGACAACAATGCAGAATTAGCCAATCAGAGAAGGTCTGATTAATCATAAGCAGAGCTAGATTCAGAAAGAATTGAATCGCTAACTCAAATCATGAAAATTATTTGATTCTGAAAATGTTTTAAGTTTTAATTTCTTTTTTACTTTGAAGGGTCAACAATGCTGGTTGGCGGTGTGTAACACCCACATTTGATAATTCTATGGATGCAGAATTAGCCAATCAAGGAAGGTCTGATAAGTCATAAACGTTTTCAGATTATGAAAAATAATTCACCATTTTAATCTTCAAAGGCCCAAGCAACGTGTTTTTCAAAAGATAATCCCAAGACCCGAACATGGACAACATTATGGAACTGTCGTCTTTGAAGCTGAGGGCACAAAAATTCAAGGTTCAGACAACAATGTGGAATTAGCCAATCAGAGAAGGTCTGATTAATCATAAGCAGAGCTAGATTCAGAAAGAATTGAATCGCCAAATCCAATCATGAAAATTATTTGATTCTGAAAATGATTTAAGTTTTAATTTCTTTTTTACTTTGAAGGGTCAACAACGCTGCTTCGCGGTCTGCAACACCCACATTTGATAATTCTATGGATGAATTTTTGCATTATGAACGTTTAGCCCAAGGTTCAGATAACAATGCGACTCCACCGGGTCTTAATTTAGCAAGAACTGGAGAATACCTAAATAATCTGAGGTTTGTTCATTGGGAACATTAAAAACTATTTATATTTTATTAATTTTACAATTTCATTTCTAAGACTGGAGGATTTAAAAAGGCGAAAATTAACAAAACGTTATGAAGATGCGCTAAGTAATCCAAATAATTTTATTCTAACATCTCCCTCCTCTCCTGGAACAGCAGCTGCTTCAAATGCTGCCCAATCGCCACGTGATTTATGGTTTGATTTAACGTCAACATCAATAGTTTCGTTTTTAAAATTCTCATGTAATTTTTAGCTTAAATGCTGGAACCAAAAGAGATCAACTCATCGATAATCTTAGATCACCTCCACCCTTTTTATCAAGAAATCGGAAAGCACGAGAACAGCTTTCACCATTTTATCAGAGCCCTCCAGTTAAACTATCTCGAAGAGAGAAGTATAAAAAAGCTCTTCTTAATGATTTTAATCAAAGAGCTCAAAACAATGTGAAATTCGTTGATAATCTCACATCACCACCACCCTTTTTATCAAGAAATCGGAGGGCAAGAGAACAGCTTTCACCATATTATCAGAGCCCTCCAGCACAAACGAGACCAGAATTCATGCAATTTAGTCCCGGTGGGCCATTTATGAATTTTAGTCCTACAATTCAACAAACTCCAAGGTAAGTTAAAATATTTAATTAAAATTTTATCATTCAATACTTTTAAACAATGTTTTATTTCATTTGAAGTCGTCACACACCATCTGGTCCAAGAGTCAATTATTCTCCACGAGCTGTCCCTTCAACTAAAAAAATACGAAAAACCTTGAGGTTTACGGATGAAACTAGAAATAATGCGCATCAAAATTTAACTCCACCTTCAATTTCAATAACACCACCAAATCGACCTCCGTGTTCTCCCAAATATAGGACTCCAACACGAAGAACTGTTGATGAGGATTTAATTGAATTTAATCCACTTCATCCTTGCATGCCAGCTCCCAAGTTTGTTAAAATATTTTATTTACATTTCTTCATTCAATGCGCTTAAGCAAATTTTTTTATTTTAATTATTTAGACCTCCTAGTTTACCATCCCCTCTTCGACCAGTACCAGTCAATATGGTTATCCAAAGACACCAAGATGATAACAGTGCTCAGAACCAGGTACGAGAACCTATTCGACAAGTACCAGTAAATGTTCAAAGAGACCAAGGCCAAAACAGAGCTCAGAACCAGGAACGAAAAGTTATTCGAGAAATAACAATAAATGTTCAAAGAGATCAAGATCAAAACATTGTTCAGAACCAGGTACGAGAGACTTTTCGACAAGTACCAGTAAATGTGGATGTCCAAAGAGACCAAGGCCATAACAGAGCTCAGAACCAGATGCCAGAACCTATTCGACCCTTCAACGATAATGAACGCGAATTTCTGATTCGACGTTTAGTAATGAACGGAGTTAATCAACTACGAGCTGCCCAAATGGTTCTCGGTGGTAAAAAATGATCAACTGGAATGAATATTTTTGTTACTTAAATAAAGACAACTTTAATTAAAATTATTCACTTTTATTTAATTTTGTTTAACTAGATAATTAACTTCTACATATATGTAATTATTTCACATGGCTTTGCAATACAAATTTGTGTTTTCAGCAATCATTTCTATTGAAGTATCGCAGTTGACTTATTAGCTTTTTTTACTTTTATTGATAGTTTTTTATCTCATTCAATTGCTAAATCTTTAAATTTTCCTATCATGAGTCGTGCAAATCAAGAGAAGGTTTCTGCAACAAATTCTTCTGAATTAAACAAAATTCATAGTATAATTAAAAATTCTTCTTTTAAAATTTTGGAAACTTGTATAAAAACTGGAAATGAATTCTTAAAACAAGCCAAGAAATGTGATTTAGATCGCTTAGGATTGGCTCCGGGACTTGCAAAAATCGAAACAGACACGAAAGCTTTATCTGAACTGAACAACTTCTTTAAAAAAATAGAAAAAGTTTTCAAACTTAATGACGATTTCAAGATTATGCTAGAACTGGGGAAGATGACAGCTACTGACAAATCGGTTATGGCTAAAGTGAAAAAAGTCAAGATGATGTATGAAACAACTGGAGAGGAACTTAACTTAATGATTGATAATGTTCCAGCTGATAAAAAAACTCAAGAATGCTTGCAAATGTTGATAGAAAGGAATAAAAATGTTTCCAATTGCTTGGATAATGTTCACGAGACTGTTTTAAAAATTTGTCAAGAGTTAGGTAAAGAAAATGTTTCTTCGAAAGCATTAGAAGAATCTAAGAATGAAGCTACAGTTAATGACGTCACTGATACTATTGAAAAGATCCAACAAAGTTTCTGTGGAGGTGAAAAACAAAATGTTCTAGAAAAGACTCCGGAAGTGACACAACATTCATTTCTTGAAATGACTAACAGCACTCACAATGCTCAAAATACTCAAAATGATATTGAATTAGAAAACAGCGGCGTAAATTCAAGTGAACCTTCTCCTAAAGCTTTTGTAGACATTAAAAATCAAGAAACAAAAAGAAATGAAGAAGTTAAAGAAAAAGATTTATCATCATCAACAAACAGAGTAGGTGGAAAGATTATAGAAGTAGGAAACAGCGGAGTAAATTTAGGCGAATTTTCAACCAAAGCTATTGCAGTCGTTAAAAATCAACAAACAAAAAGAAATGAAGAAGTTGAAGTAGAAATTGTACCACCATCAACAAACAGAATACATGGAAAGATTATTGAACTACGAGCAAAGCCAGCCACTTTCGATATACCTGGAAACAAATCAATGGAGAATCTCAATTATAATCAGATCAACCCAACATTATCTTCAACATTAATTGATGACGACAATGAAAGGTGCAAATATTTAAATGATGAGTTGAATTATTGATAAATTTCCCTCTCATCACAGCTTTATAGATTTTGGGAACAAATTTACTTACTCAAAAATGAAAAATGTGAAATTCGATCGTGATGATCGTTTTATCGTCAGCTTGGGGTCGACGATTTCCGATGATGATAGCGATAAGTGAGAACGGTTTCGTGAAATTTTTCAATTTTTCATTTCAATTTAATTTTCGCAGCCACACAGATCCTCAATTTCATCAATCAAAGAGTAATCATTTTGTGTCAGGAATGTTAAATCAAGATCACAAATTGTTGACTAACGTAGTGGAACGAGCAGCGGATGATATTCTCAAAGCACTGATGGATGTTTCGCCTCCAGAAGGTTTCGATAACTTGTCAGGAAATTCACGAATTCAACAAAATTTTAATCCATCCCCACAACAAATGATCGCTGATACATCAACTCCTGAACTATTTTCCGACAGTTTTGGGCAATCGAATGATGGTGCACAGAATTTAAGGTTTAATTATTCAAGAATGTGAAAAGATGACAAAAAAATTTAATATCATTGACCACTTCAGTTTCAGTCACAGAGTCAATTCAGCTCGGCAAACTACAACCCCGTTTAAAGACTCTATGGAAGAATATTTATATCACGAAGGTTTAAATAATAATGCAACAGCAGCTGTTTCAAGACCTGCCCAATCGCCACATAATTTAAGGTTTGAATTAACGTGAACATCAAAATTTTCTTTATTTAAATTTCCATCTTCAGTTTAAATACTCGAATTAAAATGGCTCACCAAAATTTCTTAGAAAATTGTCCAGACAGAGCAACGCCTCCAAACTCTCCAGCTGCTCAATTGTCACATGATAGAAGGTTTGTTTGTCAAATAAATAGAAAGTAGTCGAACTAAGAAAACCCAGTTCATATCAAATGATGATATTTTGAATATTTCAATGCTTTTAAGATCGTCTTTTGAATCCCTTAACCATCCGAAGTCTGATTTGTCGCAAACTTTATTAGATTATTTTTACTAATACAAATTTTTATCTACGTGTAGCTTTAATACTCGACCTCAGAGGACTCCACTAAAGTTTACAGCAAATGATGATCTGCTTGAAAATACCTCAATGCCTTCAGGATTTGAAGAATATTTAGAATCACCTAATGCTTCCACGTAAGATTTCTTAGCAACATTTATTGCTCAATTAATAATTAAGCCATTTTTTTAAATTTTCTTTGATTCAAATTATAGTTTGAATAATCGACATCAGAGGGCGCGAAAGGCACTTCTGAATGAAATCGAAGATACCGTTCAGAGATTGGCAGATAATCTGAAACTCGTTGATGATGTTAAGTCACCACCACTTTTCAATAAAATAACAACTCAAAACCAACGAGATCAGCTTTCACCATATTATAAGAGTCCTCCAGGTCAAGCTACAAGTCCGAAATTTTTGCAATTTAGTCCCGTTCAACCGCTTATGGAATTCAGTCCCCATCATCTCACGCCGTTCAGTCCCTATCACGCTGTTGAAACAAGTCCAAAGTAAGTTGAAATATTCAATTACGTCTCATCATTCCATTAATTTAATCACATTTTTAATTTAATTAGAAATCTTCGTCCAGCATCCCCCAGAGTCTCACCCTATCAAGGTGCACAAACAAATTCAAAGTAAGTTAAAATTTTCAATAACTTTTAATGATTCCATTGATTATTTAATAAGAAATTAGATTATCTACTTAGAATAAATACCTATTAGATTATTTTCAATAAAAGAACATTTTCATTTGCATACAGCATTAATACTCGACGCCAGAGGACTCCACTAAAGTTTTCACCAAATGATGATAATCTGCTTGAAGATACTTCAATGCCTTCAGGATTTGATGAATATTTAGAATCACCAAATGCGACCAAGTAAGAACTTTTAACAACAATTTTAGTAAAATATTCAATCTATCATTCCATTGCTGTTTCAAATAAATTTCCTTATAATTAGAAATCTTCGTCCACCATCCCCTAGAGTTTCACCCTATCAAGGTGCTCAAGCAACTCCAAAGTAGGTTGAAATATTCAATTACAATTTATCATAGCTTAGATTTATTCAAATTTTTATTTAATTAGAAGTCCTCGACCAGTATCTCCAAGAGTCAGGTACTCGCCACGTGCTGTACCTTCATCTAATATACGACGAAGCTTAAATAATTCTCGTGAGTAAAACACAAAAAATGGAAGTTCATAACACATTTACACCATTTATCTATTTTTGTTTAGGAAGCCCACCAAAAAATGTCGAAAGAAGAAGGAATGATAATAACGATCAAGGAGGAAATCTTGATAACATAGCTCAGATACAAGAGCCTATTGATCTTCCTCTAGATCAAGCAGAAGATGAACCACAATTAATGTCAGAATTTCAAAATTGGCTGGACCAAGGAGTCGTCCCAGTTCCATGGGGCAGAACTGAAGAACCTCTTCATCCCTTCGACGATCATGAACGCGAATTTCTGATTCGAGGCTTAGTAATTAACGGGGTTAATCAACTACGCGCTGCCCAAATGATTCTCGATGGTCAATATGATTACATGAATTAGACATAAATTATCAATTTGGGAAGTTAAATAAAACACATAAACTATTTTTCTTAAATTAAAATTTTCATCATTTTTATTCAAGAATTTTCTTAAAATGTATTAAACCGGAATTGAAAGTTTTAAGCGTTTCGATACAATTTTTGCTGGTTTTGGAGATCGTTTCGTTAGAATGATTTGTGTATCTCATGATAATATCAACAATTTCGTCAACACCTTTATCATCAACTTCCAAATCAATTATGAGCGATGCGTAGCCACTCAGAATCTCATGTTGCAATTTAAATTCTTGAGTGAAGAATAAATTTTCTTTTTTATCAGTTGATTTAAATGTTTGTCTCAAGAAATTATTAAGAACAGGAATTGCTTCGTTTGTAGCTCTTTTAAGTATAAAACTTTTAGCAAGTTTTGAAAGGAGCACAAGAAGACGAAAAGAATTACGCAAAACGACGAGATTTTTGCCTTGAAATTGTTTCGTGAATGGATACCACATTTGATGAACAATTGGAAGAAATTCATCTTCATATAAATGTAAAATCGGTAAGCCTTCAAGGAAGATTTCATGTGTAAGAATAACTTCAGTGGGGTTTGTAGAAGCGAAGAATTGAAGTGAAGAATTAAAAATTTTAATTATCAGCTCTATGTGAGGTGGAAGCGTCTTCTCATCCATCTTTTCATCCACTATCTCTTCTTCATTTACGTCTTCAGAACAATTTTCTTCGTTAACAGTTTTCGATTCTTCAATGTTCTCATTGACTTTCATTATTTCCTCGTCATTTTCTAATTCAAATTTGCATTGTTCTAAAAATTCATCCCATTTAAACTTCACTTCAGTCTTATCAATTTCAGTATCATTGAAACAATCTTTCTGCCAATATTTTATTGAACTTACGTATAAATGAAACATTTTTAAATGTGACGCGTTTTCCGCTTTACGTTCGTCCACGATCCTATCAGCAATGGTATCAATAATGTCTTTAACGTAGGCAGTCATCGATGACTGTGAAACTTTAAAAATAACTGACAGCATGTCAATGACTGCGTCATTTTCGTCCTTGTTTCTTAAAAGCTTTTTAATGTTGAACAAAAGAAAATCTGAATGTTCATCAATCAATTTTGAAACATCTTTGAATCCCATACCATCAGATATATTCTGTAATGCTTCAAGTCCTGATGTTCGAACAATGAAATTTGAATTTCCAGCTTTTTCGAGAACTTTGTGAAGTGATCGAAGTAAAAATCTTTGGAATTTCTTTTCCAGGATCTTTGCTAATGTTCCAATAAATTCAACAACTAAACAAGTTGAGAGAATGTTATACTTGATTCTTTTTAATGTCAATTCTTCTGTATAGTCATCTTCATCTTCCAATGAAACATCACGTAATCGAACTTCTATCGCCGACTCATAAAGTCCTGGTGTAGTGTCTTTAAACCATTCTTCTTTTAAATCTTTCTTTGGTTTGTGACAAATTCTTTCACTTGGAAATATTGGCATTGTCCAATAAGTTTGATCTAAAAATTCTTCTACTATTTCCTCAAGAGCTGAATTTTCATTTTTTCCATCAATGATTTCAATTAATAAAACAAGATATTCCAAACAATCCATGTTATCTTGCAAGTGGGTAATAAAAAGTTTGGCAGATTGTGATTTTCCAATGTTTTGACAAATTTCAGAAAACTTTTTAATTACAGCTGTTGTTTTGAGATACTTAAAACATTTCCACGGCTTCTTCATTTTGTAGAAATCATCTTGTAGTGTATTCATTGTTAAATTTTCATAAAATAATAAATCATTTGGCACTTCGAGTTCGCAACAACTTAATAAATTCTCAATTAATTTCGCGAGAATCAATGGATTGTCTAAGATGAAGTCGAGTTGTGAATTTTCGGATTTAATCGTGACGATATTGATAATGAAGCTGTTGAGGAGTGTAAACCCAGCTATTTGTTCTGATTCATCTCCATTGATTATGATTATTGGTAAATGTTTTAGATGTTCTAAGAATAACTCATCAATCTTCTGATTAAATGCAGGATAATTAATTGACAATTGTTGCAATGATTTCCAACTTAATTCTTTAATTCTTTCTTCAGAATCATCAGAAAACAAAATAAGATTTTCCAATAAAAATGGTGCGAAACTTTGAATATTTATCAAACATTTATTAAGCAGATTCCAACTTAAATGAGCGAGTTCAAAGCGAATCTTTTCATGTTCACTTCCTTGAAGTTTTTTTAATCGCATGACCGTAGGAGCAATTTTTCTCGATGCTGCGTTTATCCACTCCTCAGATTTGGTGAGATTTGCAATAGACTCTGTTGAATTTTTTGAGTTTGTTTGCAGCACTGAATCATCGTCCTTTTGCAATTTTTGAGAATTCTTTAATAGTTGCACGAAATCTTCAGAAGAATAAGCAACAATTGATTTTTTCTCATAATCTTCAAACACCAAACATAAATATCTGCCAAAAACCTTCGTAGAAATAGCAATAAGATTCGATGCTTTAAAAGAACTCTCAAGGCAAACATTAAGTAACGCTGCTGATACTTGAGGAAGCATTATAAACACCATCTTCGATATTTGATCTCGTAAGACAATATCATTGAAATCCGCTTTATCATGAAGTTGCATAAGAGACATAATAGCCTCAGTAGCACATTTCCTGAGAAAATATGAAAATTAATTTATCAGAAATGAGATGGATAAAATTTTGTACCTGATTTTCAAATATTTTTCTTTCATTATAGCTTCCTTGCATACAAAGACACATTGACTAAGTAGAATCTTGTTCTCATTGACCATGAAAGTTTCTACAACATCAGAATCAAGGCGCCGGGATGAAATTTCTAAACATTCAAACGTTGCAATTTTCTGCTCTTCTGAGAGATTTGATTTGTATGAATTTGAAGGAAAATCGAAGATCTGCTTCAATGTTATGATAAGAAGAATTTTGTAATGCAAATCTTTGGTCAATTTTGAGCTGTAATAAAATTTCTAGATTTGAATCATTATTTTAAGGAAAGCCTTTTAAAATTTTACCCTAGAAGAATTAAGTTGATGCATTTAACCAGTGTTGTTTTAATCTCATTTGATTTTCTGTAACAGATTTATATTATTTATTTATTTTCCTCCAACAGCATTTAACTATCTTTCATCACTTACAATTCATAATTATTATCCAGCAAACTTATTAACGTTGTAAGAAACATTTCTTGAACTAGCTGAAAATTTTCATCTTTCAACTCACGAATTTGATTCAACATTGAATTAGCATTATTCAAAGTTGGTGTTTTCTTGAGGTGCTCAAGCTGAACTTTTAATTTTAATACTTTAAAAGACATGTCATTTGATATTTTAAAGGAAAAAAATAGAAAAAGCTTCCGCTTATTGTTTTAAGCGTTCTTCTCGAAGAAGTTTGTTTACATTTGTCATGTTCGAAAATCTTTGCATCAAATTTCGCATCATTTGTCTTCAAATGTAGGAAAAGTTGTTATTTCTTCTATAAAAATAAATGATTATTAAATCGTAACATCCTAGAGCATGTTGTTTACAAACTTGTTAGTCATCTGGTAGAAATACTTCCATACTGTGCAAATTTTCTTTTTTCTTTCATAAAGCTTACTTGAAAAGATTATTTTGTCAATACCTACATTTTGGTATCATAACAAAAGGAAAATTCGAGGAACTGGACCATTTTTTCACTTAATTCCGAAGTACTAAAAGGAAAACCTTTAATTCACTTATAAAATTCAAAGAACACGTTTTTTATCCACTTGAAATTAAAACCGCGTAAAATCCGTTTGCGTCATTAGTGACATTCCGACATAAACGGACATTTTCAATATCTTTTATTTTAGTTTTTCACATTTCTCAAATAATGTTATTAGGAAAAATTTAAATAAAACAAGTTTAGTTAGCATGGATAACAACATAGAATTTGCAAATTCCCCTGGTATTGAATTGCTCGATGATGACGAAATCGCACAATTGGACTTTCAAACAATGTCAACTCTTCAATTCAATAAAATACCTTCGGAAGAAATCATATATCAGAAAAAAGAGAAAATAAAGATGATAGGAAAGTTTGTTATGGGCGATAAATTAGGTGAGGGAAGTTATGGAAAAGTCAAAGAAGTACTTGATACTGAAACACTAAGTCGCAGAGCTGTGAAGGTATGTTGTGAAGTCATATGATATTTGATCACAATAGCCTTGATCAATTTGATCTTTCTTTACTTTTCTTTTGTATAGATTCTTGCAAAGCGAAAGCTTCGACGGATACCGAATGGCGAAGTTAACGTTCGAAATGAGATTCTCTTTCTACGATCTCTTAAGCACAATAATGTTGTTCAGCTGATCGACGTCCTCTACAATGAGGAAAAAGCAAAAATGTATATTGTGATGGAATATTGTGTTTGTGTTCTTCAGGAGATGCTTTCATCAGCTCCTTCATCCAAACTACCATTATATCAAGCTCACAACTATTTTAAACAACTTATCGATGGATTAGAGTACTTACATGGACAAAGTGTGATTCACAATGACATCAAACCTGGAAATTTACTCTTGACACTTGATGACACTCTAAAGATTTCTGACTTTGGTGTTGCTGAAAAATTAAATCCATTTGCTTCTGATGACAAATGTACAAAAGGACAAGGTAATTAATAACATACCTTCATATTTTTCCAATTCAAAGTTAAATTTTGTTTTTAAGGCTCACCAGCATTTCAACCACCTGAGATTGCAAACGGCCATGAATCATTTTCTGGTTTTAAAGTTGATGTGTGGAGTGCCGGAGTGTCTCTGTATGTTTAAGTTTAAATTTAAAATATTTCTTTGTGTTAATCATCTTGTTTTAGTTATAATATAACAACCGGACTATATCCATTTGAAGGCGACAACATTTATCGTCTTTTGGAAAATATCAGCAAAGGTGTTTGGAGTATTCCTGATGGTCTCGACCCACTTCTTGCAGATCTTCTTCTTAACATGTTAAAATTCGATGCTAATGAACGATACACAATTCAAAATATTCGTTCTCATGCTTGGTTTATTTCATCGCCTATTTCAACAGGAGATGCGATTCCAGTGCCGCCATTAAAAGGAGATAGTTTAAGAAGTTCGACAGTGTTGCCTTATTTAGAATCTTATCATTATGAAAGCCCTCAGCAAGAATCCAATCCTTACTTCACTGAACATGACCTTCATGGTAAGAATAACGAAAACGTTCTTCTTATTTGCTTCTATAAAATATTAAACATTTCATTTCAGCTGAAGAAATGGCTTTATCAGCATCGTCTTCTCAAAAAATCAACACTACACAAAGTATTACAAATCATGGCACGATTGCAACCGAAAAACCTCTAGAGTTAAGCAAGAAACGACGAGCAAAGAAGAAATTTGTTTCATGTGTTAAACTTACACATTGCCGTCAATCTTAGAAAGGCAGATTAAAATCTTAATTTGGGAAATAATTTATTTTCATGTGAATTAAATAAGAACATCGATTTATCTTTTATTTTTCTGCAATCTCGATTGAGACTTCAAATTACTCCACAAGCTTCATAAAGACTTTTTAGAATGAGAAAAAAAAAACTTGTTGATGTTTCATTATATTAACTTGGTTCAGAGAATTTTCTTTTCTTTAGAATTTGGTATAGGATTTGATTCTCCAAGTGATCCTCGTCTTAAAATATATCGTAGGGATACACAATGCTGAAAATAATAAAATAAATTACGCATACATTTAGTATGGAAAATAAAATCGATTTGGATGCATTTGCCGTTTGAAAACAGACTGGCTTTAAAGAATTTTCCTCAAATAAAAAATCTAATAATAATAAAACAAAAACGAAAAAAATGAAATAATATAGATTTCTTTGATTTTTCTTCTCGTAAAATTTAAATCTTGAGATTTCAAGTGAGAACAGAAATTTGAAATTTTCATTTAAAGATGAAGTTAAGTTTTCCACCATCAGAGGGCGCCCCAGTTTGGGTCTACTCTTGATCATTGATTGATATTAAATGCTTCATCTTGACCACACGGAATGAAAAATATATTTATTTTCCAAAATGTTTATTAAATTATATTCTTATAAGAAAGAAATAGCTTCGTATTCCCGAGAAACCAAAATTTGCATGTGACTGCCATATGACTGCCACTTGCAAAGCTACATATTCAGGGCAATTTTTTATATGGAGAAATCAGTCACATGGCTGATTTGAAACGTACATGTAAATTTTGGTTTCTCGGGATTCGTTTTAAGATGGATTCAAAATCAAAGTTTTAACGTTCTAAAGACAAGTTTTCTCATTGCACTCTGAATTCTGGAAAGAATTATTTTTAAAAGATGAAAAATAACACGAAAAACTTCACTTATTTCCTTTATTTAATTAATGAAAATGAAAACTTAATAATCAATACATATTGAAAAGATTAGCATACATGCTTGAAAGATTAGAAGCGATAATTATGAAAAAAAATGAAACTGCAAATAATTTTGTATAAATAGTAAAAAAGAAATTAACAATTTTAAGATGGAGAAGAATCGTTTGAAAGGGAAAACACATTTTGAATTTGAAGTCCCACAGATTTTTTTGGATATGATTCAGATTCATTTGACTGTTTGGTGGGACTTGTAGTTGGTTTCACTGTTGATTGCCCAATTTTTCGTACAACAATTGTTTTGGTTTTGTCGGTTTGACGTTCGGGTCTTACCGTAATATGAAGACGATTGCCACGATTTGATGAGTCAGGATCGCAATCATCATTGGTACTACGAACAACAATATTATTTCCAAGTTCTCCAACGTTTTCAATATTTCCTAAACTTGGTAAAAGCAATGATGATCGATGTAAGATCCCTGGAGGCACATAGTCGTTGACACTTCTCAAGCAAGTTGATTCAATCGACGAGTCAGGAGGTTTGTAATAAATGTCGTTATGATGCGGCGGTGTTTTATATTGAGAACGTTCACAATAAAGCGGCAAACGTGATCCATGTTCGTTGACAATATGTGATCGAATCATCTCAACTGTATTCGTACCAAAACGACAATAAACACATTGATATATTCCAAACTTATGGCATTGCATCAAATGCTTCAATAACAATCCTTTCGATGTCTTCAATCCACATTTTGTACATTTTGTGTTGAGAGTTGTATTATGCTCATTAAGATGCATCAAAAAGGTTTTGAACACGTAAAAAATATTTCGGCAAACTAATCAAGGGATGAGATTAAAAATAATAATTAAGTAAATTTAGAATATTTCTGAAATTTTTAAATACTTACACACACAAATGATTGGTGGAACAACGTCAGTCATTCGTTTCTTCACACGTTCCAGTTCTTTTGGATAATTTCGTACCTTTTCAACATTCGTTACCATAATCGCATGCTTTTTCATTTTATGAAAAGTATTTTGATGAATGAACACATTTAAGTCGCTGCAAGAACGATAAAAGCAGAAACTGCATAGAAATCGATCAAAACAATGTTCATTTTTGATGTGAATGATAAGTTGTTCAGGAGATTTTTGTGCGGTAAACTTGCAGTAAGCACACGATAAAAAGTTAATTCTATCACTCAATGTACATGTCATATGAAATCCCAAATGTTGAAGAAACACCTCGTTTGAACTTGTGTAAAAGCTGCAGCCAGTTCCAAGGCATTTGAATGTTGCAGCCAAGGCATTTGATGTCAACATTAAACTAGCTGTAAGGAATGCTTTCTGCGTTGGTCTCTCAAGCCAAGGACATAAAATTTCTCTAAAATTATTTTGAGAATTTATGACAATGCTATTTAATGTAACTTCTGGAATTGCAAGCGAAATAGATCGTGGATGTGTTGAACAGTTTTTCATTTCATCATTTGTTACTTTTTTTTCAACAATTGCTGATGATGTTTTTACTGGCCTGGATGGAAGTTGGGTCATCTTTGGTTTATGATCAAAAGTTTCCTCATGATTTTCACTTGCCATAACTGGAGTTGAAATTTCCAAAGTGTAGTTCACATCTTGATTTTCATTTTTCTTCTTTATACCACCAGTAGATAATGTTGTTGATGTTGAATTTCGACTTACAATCAATTTATTCTCATTTATATTTTGTTTTATAAGAATTGGACGTTGAATCTCAAGTTTTCCAATTTTTTCAGCCATGACAGGAATATTTGGCTTGTGTTGTGCTTTTACAATTGAAGCTTCTGGCATTCTTGGATAAACAATTGCTGACGATTTATTCACAATATTAAGAGGCTTTATTGATGATGACTTCGTGCCTTTTATGAGTCCCATTGGAATGAAACGAGCATTTTGTGGTAAAGTTATGACACGTCCAACAATATTTTTAGAAATTGTGACACTCTTTGTTTCTGAAGGCGATGTTGTTGTAGATGTTCGAGTAGGGAAAGTCATAGAAATTGATTTGACAGGCGGTTTAGGATCTTTAATTTGAGGTTTTTCTGATTTCTCATCATTACTTTTGGAATTTTCAAGAATATCTTCTGGAAGAAGTTCACTTAAAATGGAATCAATTCCCTTCATTAGTTCAGGGTCAATGTCGCATGGTTCTTTAACGCTTGGACATTTCGGCTCTTTTATCGATAAATTATGAAGTGAATAATGAGCATCCGACATATGAATAAACTCATTAATCAACGAATAATTTCCTACCTTTTTAGGCAAAATTGTCTTCTCACATGTGTGACAAAAACCACTCCAAGTTATATCTCGATGTCGCATATCAAGATGATCAACAAATTTGTGCTTTTGAATTGTTGAAATGCGACAATGTTTAACAAAACATTTATACCAAATATCTTCATTACTTATCGCATATCCCATGTTCCAAACTGTTTTAAATTCTTTAAGATTTGGTTCAGTCTTCATTTCAATTGAGTCGTCGCCATCCTCCTTCTCTTCAACTTCTTCCTTTTCTGGAAACTTTGTTTTATTGAAGAATTGTTTCGTTTCAGACAGTTCACTTTGCAACAAGCTACTTGTTGACTTTCTAGCTGTTGCTTTCATTACAATAGGTTTCTTCAGCATCTCTGGTTGAACGACAGGAATATTAATTGAACAAGGCCTCAAGTTGTAATTTTTAACAATATCATTCGATTCTTCTTTCTTTTGAATTTTTTTATTCATCGACGACTCTTCAATTTCGTGATTATTTGTCTCCATTAATGCTGCTCTCTTTCGTGTTATTCTTGTTGACGGTGACGTTTGTTCCTTAACACTTTTTGATTCCGATTTTCTTGTTAAACTTTCATCAGCTGCTGTTTTTCTAGTTATTCTATACTCTTGACAATCCTGAGATGAATCATCAGTCATTGACAAATCGTCACCACCACTGTTTCTCTTTAGAGTACAAGAACGTTTGGTATTGAGTGGCATATCATGTTTAACAATATCTTCATGTAAACGACGCAATTCTTTATTTCGTCTAAGCTCATTGTCAATTTCCTTTCTTTTACTTCGCAAATTCTTTCCTTCTGTTTCAGACTTCTGATCTTGTGGTGATGTACCTGGACTTTCCAAAGGCTTTTTATCTGGACTCCATTCGGATTGTGCGAAAAGTTTTTCCGGTCCTTTGACTCTTATCAAAGGAAGAGCTGAAGAGCTTTCAGAATTTTTATCGATTTCTTTTGTATTTTTTTTTGTGTCTTCCACTAAATCCTTATAATCAGGAAATGATTTTGCATATTCGGATTTCCCATCAGTTTTAGTCTCATAAATATTAACGACCTTCAATTCCGATTCGTTGCTCTTTGTTGGATTATTTTGAGAAGTTTTAACATTTGAATCTTGATTTCCAACTTTAGGAATTTTAAAAGGGGATTTTAATAGAGATTGGCCAGAAATAGTAGATAGAAATTTCGGAATAATTTTAGTTTTATCTTCAGTTCTAGAATCGATTGACCACGAACGTTTATTCGAGATGGTCAACTTGTTTACATTCAGTCCACGTATGGGATGAATTAGATTACCTTTTAAAGGAATAAA